CTGTCCAGTAGCCTTCCCCTACTGTTGCCCCCCACTGATATTCTAAGAAATACTGCCTCTGAAGATGAAAGTTCCATTTAGCCATTATGGCTACTAGCCATTGTCCCCTATTTAAGCCTCTCAGATACAAAGACCAGGCTTCCAGCTAGCATCCACACATTGATAGCTGGTTAATATCTGCATCTTACAATCTTCCATATTTAACCTTGTCTCTCCGCTTAAATATTAATTTCTTCTCTGACATTTCTTGGTGAGTAAAGTGCAACACAATTCCAACTCCAGGGAGATAGACAGATAAGGCCACCTACTGAGATCACGACTGAGCAAAGAGTTCACGGCTGGTTTCCCAGGCTGAAGCAGAAGCCGTGTGCTACTTCTGTTTCCAGCCTTGCAAATGGTGGTGTAGGTTTTGGTGGGTCCTGGGCAAAACACCATCATCAATCATTTGTATCCTCTTTTCCTGATGGGGCTTTCCCACAAACCTCCTAAAAACTCATATAGACAAGAAGCTGACCGCACAAAGGCATATCTCTCCAGGTCTTGTGAGCTCCCTAGTGAAAGGAGTGTCAAAGTTTTTAAATTGCAAATAGTGATGACTACTATATACTGTATAGGAAAATAGAAATCTGCCTGATGCTGAGACTGAACTACTGACCCATCTAGCTCAGTACTGTCAATATGCTGACTAGTAGCAACTCTCCAGGGTTTCAGACAGTGAGTCTCTCCCAGCCCTATGCCAGCACCTTCTGGATGCAAAGCAGCTGTTCTACCTGTGCACTAAATGCACCTGCATACTGTATGCCAAGCCCCTTTCATTGACCAAAAGCCACAAGGGAACAAACATCTTCCTGCACATGTCATGTGATAAGATGTTGCTGGAGAAGTGTTTTCTCTCCAACACCCAATGTTCACCCTTCTTTCTCTCCCACCTGAATGAGTGAAAATTTACGCAGAAGCCCCACTGTGTTAAAAAAAGATTTGCTCCCAGGTAAGTGCATGTATTTCCAACTGCAGTGTAAATCGTACAGCAACTCAGAGGCATGTGTTTTGTACAATCACTATTGCCAGCGTTCCATCCATACGTGTCTTGGAACGTGGAGAAATTACACTTCTTTTAACCAATCTCCCTCCCTTTTCTTAAATATACATCCAAAAATGGGGGATCCGAATGTGCGCATTCATTTATCTCTTTTAAGCCATTTTTTGAAAATGTTTCTTTCCGCAAAACGGACAAGTAAAGCAGTTCTTTACTTGTGCTTCCGTAACACTGCAATCAAACAGCAATCCGGGGAAGAAAAGCACCAAGCGCCCTCTTTATCGCCACGCATCTAGGCGCACGTGTGTACGCTGCCCGAGCGGCAACAGGTGGTTTGACGCCGGTAGCTCGAGTTTGGCGCCGCCACGAAGGGGAGCGCAGAGCAGCGGCGGCGGGACGCGGCGGCCGAAGCCCCTCGGTGGCTGAAAATGCGCTCTCTCGAGCGGGCGCCACCAAACTCCCCGGTTGCCCAGGGCGATCGCGTAAAGAAAGAAGTTACCCGCGTCAGCAACAGCAGCTCCAGGCGCGCCGGCAGCCCCGGAAGGGGAGGCGACAGGGCAACCAGAAGCCCCCCTCTCGGGAGAAAGAGGGGCAGGTTGGGAGCAGGCAGCGAGCTCCGGCCCCCCAGGAAGGCCCACGGCAACCGGGCGAGGGAGCGATGAGACAGCGCCGAGCGCGCGAAGCTCAACGGCGCGCTGTTGACTTCGGGCTGGCGAGAGCCGCTCCGCGCGAGTTGCAGTGATGTAATGTCAGCAAGAGCAGCAGCAGCAGCCTCCGAGTCACATGCCTGAACTTTCCCCAACTCCACCCCCTGGTGTTCCTTTCGCCCCCTCCGATTTCTACATCCTGGCGGCGTGGTGTGCATGAGAACCCAATACACAAGGGAAGAAGCCCCTCCTTCCTTTGCACGCCGAATGCTTTGCTTGCGAGGATCATTTGTGCGTTCCACGTTTTTATACCGCCCTTCGTCAGAAACATACCGGGGCGGTGTACAGAAGATGTAACATAGGCATGATTATTTAAGGACTTTTTTTTTTTTTAAGGATCCTGCGCAACCCAAAGCCTTGCTACGTTCCCCACAGGGTGTGCCTGTTAAAAAAAGTATCACAGTCTGAAATCGTTTGGAGCCTGTTTGGGACCGACATAGCACCCCTTGTCCCAAGCTTCGCTGGGAGGTCAGCGGACTATTCCACACCGATCCACCAGCCAGCAAAGCCGGCGTGTTTACAGATAAAGGCAGCTGACAGCCTTTGCTGCGAAATGCCACCCTGTACTTAAAGGAGTGGGGATATGGCTGCTCTCCAGATGCTGTTGCCTGCAGCTCCTCTTCTCCACCATTGACCATGCCGGCTGGGCCTGGTGGGAGATGCAGTCCAACAACCTCTGGAAGGCTGCAGGTTTGCTGCTCGGTGCTCTTCCTCGACTGGCAATGTATAACAGGTTGCAAATAGCAGCGCACACAAAGCAAGCATAGGAACATAGAGAGCTGCCTTATTCTCAGTCGGAACATTGGGTCCCCCTAGCCAGGGCCAGCCCACCCATGAGGCAAGGTAAGGCAACTGCCTCAGGTCTACAGGGGTGGCAGATCCTGCCTTCTGCCTCCTAGGAATTCATGTGGCCCTCCAGATACTGTTGTCCTCCAACTCCCATCAGCCCCAGCCGGCATGTCCAATGGTCAGGATGATGGGAGTTGTAGTCTAGCAACACATGGAGGGCCACAGATTCCCTATCCCTGCATTAAACCACACTGTCACTTGTTTTAAATCACTTGATCTAAAACACCAATGAATTCCCCCACGCTCTCCCTAAATGGCAACCCCCTGGAGAAGTATAGGAACGTAGGCAGAAAGATGCCCAGAGATGCTTCTGACCAACCATTTGCCCCAAAGCAGGATTCTCTAAATGTCACCTTCCACCTCTCAAGAGATCGGCAGACTTTTGAAAAGAGACATTCAGCTCTTGGGCCTGTTGGTCTTTGCTCTTGATGATCCAGACAGCCCTCATCAGAGCATGGCTATGCTTAATAATACAATTAGACTTTTCAGAATTGTTGCCTTCCCCTTCTGCTTCACTCATACCAAGGGTACATGAGGAAAAGGCAATATGAGTGTGGCTGCAAAATTAAAACTATTTTGAAACATTACTGTTGACAAAATATTAGGTGAGGAGAACCAAGGTTGTTTCAGGCTGGAATGCCGTCCCTGTATACCTGGACATATGTCCTACTGAACTCAACTGGGCTCACTTCTGAGTAGGTCTGCATCAGATTGCACTGTTATTAACAACACTGCTATGTGGTCCTCCTCTCACAACATGCTGCTTTAATCTTCATTGGATGTTCTCTCTGGGGAAAGATTTTGTCATGGGGCAATTCCCAGAGGGGTAGTAGCCGTGTTAGCATCTCACAGCAAAAACAACAGTCTTGTGGCACCTTAAAAAGTGCATTGTGGCAATATGGCTTAAGATTTCATGGACTACAGTCCATTTCATAAGATACTTGAAGCATTATCCTGAGCTGGGGAAGGGGGATTGTAAACACTCAAGGTCAAGGTTCTCATGTTAAAGGCCCATAATAACTTGGGTCCAGGATATCTTAAGGACTGCCTGATCCCTGTTATCGCTGTCATATCTATCATTGACATCTCTGGGGGAGTCTCTCTAATGGTGGTCCTTGCAGGGGTCAGATGCATGGCTTGTAACGACCAGAAGCCAGAGTGACATTAGACAGGCCCCCTTCCTGCTAGACCTCAGGTGCTTGACAAGGACTTTCATGTTTCAGCAGGCATTTTAAGGTAGCTTTCTGTTTGTAGGATGGATTTTAATTGTCTGTGTTCTTTGTATGGCACTTTTAAAACATTTTATGTACACCACTGAAAAATTATTAATATCAAATGGTTTATAAATACCAAAATATCTATATCTATGGATTGTTTGCACATTGCTTGTCACAGTGATGTCACTGTGTCATTAGTTTTAGGAAAATTACCTATAGATGAAGTTGCTTAGGGCCCTGGGACGTGAATTAAAATTGCACTCTCATTTTCCACCAGCAGGGGCTGGGAAAGACAGCTCGATTCCCACCTTTCAGTGGTGGCAACAGAAGCTCCAGAAGCTCTAATGAAGCGGGAGCAATAGTATGCAACAGCCTTTGCCAACCTGGTACCCTCCATATTTTCTGGGATCTATGGATAAAGGGCATGTGCTGACTGGAGCTGATGGGAAGCAGTCAATTTTTCAAGGATTATCTTGTTTTAATAGTATTTTATGTTTTATTATATTAGTGTATATTGTTGTACACTGCCTTGCAAGATGGTATATAAATACACAGACACACACATACATATATATAAGTAATTTCACATTTGAGTTTTTTAAGAACTCCTGGCATGGGCATTGCCAGGATTTTTGTTAGAGGGGTAAGGACTTTTGTGGGAGGGTAGAAGCGACATGTTTGACCAAACTGCGGGAGGCAGTGGAAGACAGGAATGCCTGGCGTGCTCTGGTCCATGGGGTCACGAAGAGTCGGACACGACTAAACAACAACAACAGAAGCGACATGATTGGTCAGTTATTAAGTATTTCTATTGTTTTCCTTGATCTGGGGGGGCAGCTGTCCCCCCACCCCCCTTTGCTACCCGCATGACTGCTAGCTGGATTCCATCTAGATCTAGTGATTTGTTATTTTTTCATTTGTTGCTAAAGCCTTCAACGTCTCATGTCACCACTTTTGCATCAATTCTGAATACTCCCTGCCCTACACCTTCTGCAGTGCAGACAATCACAAATAATCCATCCAGCTTTTCTGCAATCTCCTTAACCTTTTTAAGCACACCTTTAAGGTTCCCTTCTCGTATCGTCCCACTGCCTCCCTAGCTGGCTTCTGCTTCTGGCGTATTGTGGTTTTTTAATTAATTAATCTCACTGTTATAAGCAACATGCTTCTCGAATTCTGTTTTTAAACATCCCCGATTACCTCGTTTCGCGTTTGTGTGGGCGTGTGCATGGGTTTGTGTCAACATCTGTTCCCGTTTGGGCAAGACTTTCATTGTCTTGCTTTTAATAACTTCCTTGCCTCTGCTGTTTATCACGGTCCACGCCGGCATCTTCGTGCATTCGGTGGCCCCTTTCCCGATCTGCTGTATACTGTATACAGTACTTTATTGTTATTATTGTTGCTGTTATTTTGCATACCCTTTGTGATCGTTGCAGGAAAACCATTTCCGCGACCTCTCCAGGGACTTCCACTCCCTCTAGTGGTTCTTCATAAATAACAGTAAAACACTCAGCCATTTCGCGACTGTCCCATTTCTAAGCAAAATCTCCCTCGGGGAGAGGTGGGGAGGGAGGTCACAAAGTTCAAGGGAATTTCTCAAGAGCCAATAAGCGAGATGGGCACCAGCAGCTTCGGTTGCCGATACTGAGCATGCTCGGAGGAGGTGGAGCATGCTCACTCCCTCTTTCCAAGGTACGGATGCCGAGCGAGGGAGCCTCGGCGCGGATAGGGAGCAAAGCCATGGAGGGTGGAAGGAAGCGGCGGAGCTGGCGAAGCGCCTCTTTCCCGCTGCTGCTGCTGCTGAGTCTCGCCCTTGAGCTCGTCCTGCCGGTCGCCCAGGCTCGGAGCCTCCGCTTTGTTACCTTGGTGAGCAGCAGGAAAGGGAGGCAAGAAAAGAAAGAAAGGGATTAAGGGGGGCGATCTTTTTTGGGGGGGTTGTCACGTGACACAAGGCTTCCCAAGCCCCAAATGGCCAGCAAGGAAAAGGAGGAAAATCTCGATCTGCCCTTTTTAAAACAACAACAACACACCCATGGAATTCGTGTTGAAAACAAGTGGCTTTTCTTCGCTGCATGTTGCGCTTTGCAATCGAAGCCGAGATCGCGATTCTCCGTTAAGAAAATAATCGAAAATTGCAAGGGTTTGGGTTTAATAATCATCATCATCATCGCCCTAAGTATTGGTATAGCAGGAGCCAGGGAAGACCCAAGAAGATCAGGGTGCTTGGTCCCCACCCCCCACCCCTCCGCCACTTTCTTTCTTTGCTGCGTATCTACCAGCGCCTTCGGCTATCTTGAGAGCCGGCTGCAGGGCTTGACAGCAACCTCGCCTCGCTTCAGGGTTGGGGTGGAGCAAGAGCCCTAGTGATCTCTGGCCCGAGGCAAAATGCATGGGAATTGGGCAAACAGGAGAGGTAGAGGACGCCAGCACCTGCTAGCTAACGGTGAACTATTTTGGTTTTCAGTTATACCGCCATGGAGACCGCTCTCCTGTGAAGGCATACCCCCGAGATCCCTATCAGGAAAGCGCCTGGCCTCAGGGATTTGGGCAACTTTCTCAGGTGGGTATATGAGAAAAAGCGACCTGTGGGAAACTGAACCCCAAGGAGACCCATTTCCCAACAGGAGAAAGCAGAACTATTTTCTTTGAAGATGAAATTGTGTCAAAACATGGCATGTTGTTATTTGTGGTGGTGGTGGGGTAATTCTGCATACAGCTCCAGTCTGAGGTTTCCTCTTTTGCCACTGCTGCTGCTGTTTTTCCTCTTGGGAGCTATTTTTAGTTCCACTTTCCTTTTCTCTTTCCTACCCCGGGGAAATGACAGTGCCTTTTAAAATCAGATAAAGCAATAACTTTATTCAAAAGACAAGAGTTTTCCCTGTTGTTCTTGTTGTTTTTATAAAAGCAAAATATGTGTAGCTTACAAACCTGCAAAACATGTTGCGGGGGGAGCGGAGGGCTGTGTCATTCATTTCAGAACAGATTTTGGTTAACATTTCGTGTGTCAGCAGTGGTCAGGCTGTAACTATTTGTTCTCATTTTCGTTGGTGTGTGGTTGTGCAAGTAAGCACAAAAACCTGCTTTGCTGTTAATTTGTTGCTGTTGATACGCCTAGGAAGGAATGCAGCAGCAGTGGGACCTTGGTCAAGCACTTCGAAGGCGTTATAATGGATTCCTCAATTCCTCATACAATAGACAAGAGGTTAGTGCATTGTCGCAAATTGCTAGAGGTATCATGACCATGCAGTGTCCTCTTTGCCCTCCCTGTATTAAAATCTCTTTCCTCTAAGTAAGTGGCTGAGGAAAATAATGGAACAACATGAAAGCCTGTTTTTTCAAATGGCATCTTCCGTGTAAACAGTTTGTCAAATCCCTGCTTGGGTTAAAATAGCAAAGGAACAATAAACAATTGCTGACCAGGGCAGTGATGTAAAGGAAAGTAAAAGGAATAAGATGGCATCTGAGATGGACTGGACTTTGTTTGGCCAAACAGGCCACTCAAGACAAAGGGAATCGCACGGGACACAATAAGAGACTGGGGTACTTGATAAGAGTATGGATCAGATGATTTTCTCCTGCTCTCATGCCAGTGGATGGACCTGTTTGAGCGTGTTTGTTGAAAAATCTCTTGAGAACTCTCAGGAGTTCTCTGGTGAGTTGGCCTGTAGTTTTCCACTGCCTTTTTTCTCAGTGATGAAAGCAGATAATGGAAGGCATGGCCCATGAACCAAATTCAGGTAAATACAACAGTAAGAACATCTCCCAAACCCTGTGATGCACTTCAGCTGTCAAGCAGGAATTTATGACGTCTGACTTGCCTTGCCCCATGCACAAAAACCTGCCCAACTGGATTGTTAACCACCTTCTGGTGTTTTTATTTAACTTTGTCTCAGTGCTACTCAGTAAACAGTTTTAAATGTGCATAAAGGACAATATGAAATGGAGCAATAGGCCTATTTTATTCCTGTTAGGAACATTGTTTTTATTTATTTATTTCTACATTTATATCCCACCTTTTCCTCCAAGGAGCTCCAGGTGGCATACACAGTTCTCCTTCCCCATTTTATCTTCACAACAGCTCTGTGAGGTAGGCTAGGCGGAGGGACAGCGACTCACCCCAGATCACCCAGGGAGCTGCCTGGCCGAGTGGGGATTTGAATCCTGGACTCCCAGGTCTAGTCTGGCAGTCCTAACTGTGGCAACGCTGGTGTGGTGTTATAGCATAGCATGACTGTTCTACAGCAGCAGCATATATTAGACAACGTGTTCTTCCTATGCAACAGCTTCTTGTAGGCCCTCAAATTTTCCAGCGAAAGCTACAATTTAAATGATGATGAAAGCTCTTCAGGAACATTTTTATTAGCCTTTGTGCCCATCCTGTTAGAGCTCAACCTAGGTAGGCAACAGCAGTGCTGCTTTGGGGATTTCTTCCTGTGTCAGTTTCCAAGCTAAGTGCTGCTTCATGCGATGGGCCCTGCAGTTCCACCATGGTCAGCTGTGGTCTCTCCTTTGTGTAACACCTCCAGGAGATTTGCATGCCTGGAAACACAGTTCTAGAAACTGTGATTGGCTGAGGCTTCCAGAAGTCTGCTTAGCACACCTAAAGAACTCCACTAATGCTCTTTAGGTGTGTCCAAAGCTCAATCAGTTCTTGTTGCAAGTGGGGTAATTGCTCTTTGGCTGCAATGTGTGAAGTGGCAATGAGACAGAGAACTGAAAGCCATCTCAACTCATCCTGGCCACAGATCATCCCCCATATTATCCGCCTGCTGGCCCAGCCCAGGATGAATTGAGAGCAGGAGCCCTGCTTCTGTTGCCTTCGCTGCTTGTGCCTTCTAAGCTGATGCCCTGCCAATCTGGGTATGCTGCATGTAACTTGCACATATTGCAGAGAGGACATTTTCAAGCCCCACATCTTTGTTCCCTTGACTGCATTACAGTCATTGCTGACATAGTGGCTGCACCTGGAAATACAGCAGTAGTGGCAACTGAAGAAGGTGTCAGAGGGAAAGTTGCAGAGGGTTTTCTCTTGTGACATGTAGCTTGGGCTTGCTCTGGAGCAATTTGGTCTCCAGGCATCTATTGTTTCTTGGTGAAACAGCATGGTCAAGTGACTTCTATGGGGCTTGAAGGCAAGAGTCTTGACTCTTGTACATGGGAGTAGGATTGAATAGCTATTGAGGCCTGAAAATTGTACATTGTTTTAAATTTGGCTGTAAGTCATTTTGGGTTGCCTTGGGCAAGATAAAGCAACCAACAAATGTAAATGAATGAATGAACCTGCACCCCACCTCATATGCCTTGTAGAGTGGATATATCGACAAGCAGCACTTTTCTAGTTGCTGCTGAACTTCCTGGAAAAGCCTGTGTCGCACCTGGTCTGATTCAGCCCATTCCTCTCAGAGCTGAAGACTAAATCTAACCCAGGCACCTCTCAGCTTCCACTATCTGTTGCTTATCTTCAGGTAGCTCAGCTTGCTATCTTTTTGGAAGACTAATGGAAAAAAAACTAATATACTGTGTGCTGACAGTTGTCTTTTTAAAAGACTGCGCCAAGCCCACTGAACTCATTTGAGAGCAGACCAAAATATGTGGAGTAAAGGTTCACATTCTGAAATGCTTTGGGGAATAACAACATCAGGTGCCTGTTGAAAACAAAGACTAGTTAAAGAAACAGGGATAAATTAAGGGATTGGGAATTATCTCAAAGGGTGCTTATTTCCACACTGTTTTGATTACGTTATGCACTGGTGTTCTTAAGTCCTAGGCTATGACATACACTCCCTTCTTAGAACTCAATTTGTTTATTTGCATAAGTGAAGATTCAAGTGGAATATCCTGTTTGGAGGGAGCTGATTTATTTTGCCCTGCAGGTTTTGTGCTGTCATAGACACACTCCTGTTAGTGACTTGCCCACCAGGGACATTGAAGCATTAAATTCCTTGTGGAGAATGATACGTAGAGGCACATCTGTAGGGCTCTAAGATAGGGGTTACAGACAACATATCTGATTTCCACAGACAACATATGCAGGCTTCTTCAGTCTGTGCCAGTTCCCCTCCATTCCATATGTCCTTTAGATAATTAGGGGACCACTATATGATCTTTCCTTGTAGCTAGCCTAGAACAACACTTTGCATTTTCAAGCCATGATACAACAGCGCTCAGCTCAGCATTCAGCGTGGGTGGCCTGTAGCCTTGGAAAGTGACACACACATAACTCAAGGCTAGAACATCTGTGTTTTGGATTTGTGAAGTTCCATTGCCATTTCTGTAGCTTCCCTAACCACAGCTATGCTTGATTTTCTAGCTCATCTGCTGCCTCTACTTTACTTTCCCTCCCAAGCTCCCATCCTATTTCCTGGCTTTCTATAGCAGCTCAGATACTCAATAGCAATGCGTATCAAATTGTTCTTTGATCAGACTCTGTTGGGACCTGTTTATTGCCGGCTTCCTCACTATGTCTCTTGTTAAGAGCATGTCTAAATCAGATCAGCACCGCAGCAGAACCATGAACATAAATGACCTTCTGTATTTGATGCTATACTCTGGCAGATCTACATACGCAGCACAGATTTTGATCGGACCCTGATGAGTGCCGAGGCCAATCTGGCAGGACTGTACCCTCCAGAAGGGTGGCAAGTGTTCAACCCCAATATTTCTTGGCAGCCTATTCCTGTCCACACAGTACCTGACTCAGCAGAGCATGTAAGTCACTTTCAGACCTAAGTACCAGTAGACTGGACCTTCTTGCATTAAAAACTTCTCTCTCTCTCTCTCTCTCTCTCTTCAATTGTTTTCATCTACCCTGAATGCTGCCATTCCACTTCTTCATCCTGACTCCTTAGCGATTCCTGTTTTGGAGCAAGTTGCATTTCTCAGGCCCCGTTTCACCTGTTTGGAGGCAGGCAGCCTCTCTTAGAAGTATCACTTTGCTTTCAGCAATTAGCCCATTAACAAGCAGATGCAACAGTTAGCATTGCTTGTAAAGATGGATTCACGGTCAAATGATCCTCTTAGTGAACATCTCTATTTTGCCTCTGTCCAGCTCCTGAAGTTTCCATTATCTCCCTGTCCCCGTTACGAACAGCTGCAAAATGAGACCCGGCAGACAGCAGAGTATGTGAATAAGACCATCCAGTACATGGTATGCCAAGCTTGATGTACTTCTCTATCTCTTTATACAATGGTGGCGGCATGGAGAGATGGAAGAGCTGACTGTCCTTTGCTCCTGCAGGGATTTCTGGAGATGGTGGCAAACAAGACGGGAATTCAGGATGTCTCCCTCGAGTCGGTCTGGAGTGTATATGACACACTCTTCTGTGAGGTGAGCTGTCCATCTGTAGTCATTAGTCATTTGCCCTACAACCCATTTAGTATCAGAAGCTGTCTGTGCTCTTGGCTCTAGAACCCAGGCTCAGGGGCCAAATGCAGCCCTCAAGGCCTTTTTGGCAGCCCTTGGCAACATGAGGTGTGTTGGCAGCCCTTGCACTGCCAGATGAGGAGGTGTGAGGGCTCTGACAGGGTCCTGGAGTCTTCCTGTCTCCTTCCCAAAGCCTAGTTAGTACTTTCCTAGCTTTGGGGAGGAGTTGGGAGGGCTCTGGGACCTTGCCAGAGCCTTGGCCTCCTTCCGAAAGTCTGGTGCCTTGGTTAGCCGGCAGTATGAGGACTGTGGGGGGTCAAATTTGGCCTCGCTTCTCCCCCCCCAAACGGGTGCGACAAAGCCGTGTGTGGCCCACAGGTTCCATGCTAAATTACTCTTGTGGCCCACTTGGTATGAAAAGGCCACATTCTCTCTCCCCAGGCTACACCTCTTGCTACCCCTGCTCTGCACCTTCCTTGAGTGCTTTTGCTTGCTTGGAGGATGCAGAGCTAGCTGTGTGTGTGTGTGTATGTATAGAAAGCTCTGGTCTCTGTGTGGCTGTAACATAGCCAGCTGCACAAAAGAAAGAGTCACATCTGTTGTTCCACCCACTTTTTGCCTTTGTCCTCACCCACCACTGACATGTGACCACCCAAACAAATTAACAAACAGCCCCCCCCCCCAAAGATTTTAAAAACTGGGAGGGGGCAAAAGGCCTTAGTGGGCACCAAGGGAGTTACCCACTACACTAGGGGCTCCATTTCTGGCAGACCCTTCCACATGGCCCTAATTGTGGTCTAGGGATGTGGGTGGCACTGTGGTTTAAACCACTGAGCCTCTTGGGCTTGCCGATCAGAAGGTTGGCGGTTCGAATCTGCACAATGGGGTGAGCTTGTGTTGCTTTGTTCCAGGCTCCTGCCAACCTAGCAGTTCAAAAGCATGCCAGTGCAAGTAGATAAATAGGTACCTCTGTTGTGGGAAGCTAAATGGCGTTTCCGTGTGCTCTGGCTTCTGTCACGGTGTCCCGTTGTGCCAGAAGTGGTTTAGTCATGCTGGCCACATGACCTGGAAAGCTGTCTGTGAACAAACACTGGCTCCCTCGGCCTGAAAGCGAGATGAGCACCGCATCCCATAGTTACCTTTGACTGGACTTAACCATCCAGGAGTACTTTACCTTTACTTAATTGTGCTCTAATGGGAAAACTGCATTGAGAAGCGAGATGATCGCAAGAGAACAGAGCAGATTTGAAACTTCCTTCCGACACAATTTCTGTTCACAGAAATTCTTTTCTGTGGGAAAGGCTTATCCTGTCTACTTTAGAGTCAGCCACAGATGTGCGAAGAAGCTTCCCTTGTCAAGTTGAGAAACAGGTGTTAGTGCAACGTTAAAATTTGCATAATCAGTTTTAACTTAAAAGTGTGAGCATCACAGTCAGACACGTTAGACCTGAAACTCCATGCAAGTAATAATGAATATTGTGTCACTTGGATAAGTAGATTGGGAGTTTACAAAATGAAGGCTACCGGAGGCTGTTAGGAAAGCACAGTTCCTTCCTCTGCATCCCCAACCCTTGAGCACACCAAAGATTTGAAAGCAAAGTATTTTCTCTGCATCCCCAACCCTTGAGCATACCAAAGATTTGAAAGCAAAGTATTTTCTCTTCATGAATTCTGATCATAATGACTGTTGAGTTTTGATCCAAACAGTATTGCTTTACAAATGCATCTGTGGTCCTGGGTTGAGGTGTTTAAGTTCAGAGGGCAAAGATTTGCCTTAGACCATAGGACTAGCTCATCCCCGGACCGGCGGCCATAACTCGGGGGGGGGGGGGCTTTCATTCTTGTTCGCCTAGTTTGTATCTCTGAGTGGCCTCTCTCTCTCTCTTGTGACATCTTTCCAGAAAACACACAAAAAACATCTTCCCGATTGGGTAACTCTCAATGTGATGACTCAGCTGAAGCAGCTGAAAGATTTCAGCTTCGAATTCCTCTTTGGGATCCACAAACGGGTGGAAAAAGCTCGTTTGCAGGGTGGTAAGTGAAAGAACATGGAAGGCAGGTTGGGAAGGAGTGGAGGAGCATTCATTCACTGGTCAAGAACTAGGTTCTGATAGTTTGTTCTGTTTCTGCAGGGGTCCTTCTGTCTCAAATAAGGAAAAACCTTACTCTTGCTGCAAATGCCTCCACACCTCGCCACTTCAAAATGCTAATGTACTCAGCAGTAAGTTTGTTTCTGGGAGGTGTGCTTGCCTTCTCCTTATTACCATCTTGTGAACAAAAAAAAACCAGCTGCAGCTTCCAGCAGAGATTCTCCTGCTCTGTGAAAGAAATAAGCAAATTAGCACTTCCGTCTCTTTGCAGCAACTACAGATGCTACAGAAAAACCCCCAGATGCTCTCACAAGCAACAGAGAACTTTGTCACTTAGCATCACCTTGTAGTGCAGTTCCCAATGTTCCGCTTAGTTTATTTATTTACTTACTAAATGTGTTAGTCGCTTTATCTTGTCCAGGGCAACCCAAAGCAACTTACAACCAAACAGGGTGTTGAAATAGGTGCCAGCCTTTTTTCCATGGTGCTGGAGCCCCTTTCTTATTCTTCCTACCAGCACTTGGGAATCTCTGCCAATCTGCCTTTTTCTGAAATGTGGTTTTAAGTCCCCCTTCCATATGCACAAAGGAGATGTTCACATTTTTCTTCCTCTTTCTCAGCATGACACAACCCTTGTGGCACTGCAGATGGCTCTGGATGTTTACAGCGGGAGGCAACCACCATATGCCTCGTGTCATATATTTGAGCTGTATCAGGAGGATGATGGGTGAGGGCTTCATGAAGCAATATCAGTCAAAGGAAATAGTATTCAGAGGCAATAATCTATCAGCCTGCTGTACCTTAACTTTTGTCCACATATTCACAGGAGATGAAATGAGGTAAAAGTAAGACTTGCAATCTTAAGATGAAGAAGGGTTTATACTTCTCTCCCCTGTGCTGATGGAGTTACCAGTGAATATATTAGTAAAGCCTTACGTCTGATATGACTGTGATAGAATTCCAAGCAGGAATATCAACAGTATTTTTATGCATCTCTGAATTTAAGAACACCTGACAAAGCACATATAGTATATTCCTGTTAACAGTCCTGTTTGTAACCCAAGGTACCACTGTACTTTTAGGAATTATTTGTAAGTAACATCCAGTCTAATTTTTAGTTTTTGCCCCTTGCTCAAGAACAAGGAGGGACGCGGGTGGCGCTGTGGGTAAAAGCCTCAGCGCCTAGGGCTTGCCGATCGAAAGGTCGGCAGTTCGAATCCCCGCGGCAGGGTGCGCTCCCGTTGCTCGGTCCCAGCGCCTGCCAACCTAGCAGTTCGAAAGCACCCCCGGGTGCAAGTAGATAAATAGGGACCGCTTACTGGTGGGAAGGTAAACGGTGTTTCCGTGTGCTGCGCTGGCTCGCCAGATGCGGCTTTGTCACGCTGGCCACGTGACCCGGAAGTGTCTGCCGACAGCGCTGGCCCCCGGCCTCTAGAGTGAGATGGGCGCACAACCCTAGAGTCTGTCAAGACTGGCCCGTACGGGCAGGGGTACCTTTACCTTTACCTTTTTTTCAAGAACAAGGAGGGACAACCCAGCATTTGTTAATTTCTAGCATTTCTCATACATCTAAGGGTGGAAGGGGGTTGTATGGTGATTCAGGGCTTGATTCCAGCAGAAAACATGATATGAAGACGACGGCAAATAATCAGAATCTCAGTTCCTCTCTTCCCTGTTTTGCTCCTAGTAACTTTTCAGTGGAGATGTTCTTTCGGAATGAGAGTGGGAAGGAGCCTTACCCAGTGCAGCTGCCTGGCTGCGCACAGCGTTGTCCCCTGCTGAATTTCCTGCAACTCACCAAGCCTGTTATTCCACAGGACTGGAAACAAGAATGTCAGATAGCAAGCATCATAAAAGACACAGGTGAGTGGAGGCTGTTCCAGTAGATAAGCCAAAGGAGGACTGAAGTGATTTCAAGTGCCATAAGCAATTTTTTTTTTTCATCTCACCCTCTGCAGAACTTATTGTGGTTTTGGCTGTCTGTGGATCCATCCTCTTCCTGCTTATTATCCTGCTCCTCACAGTACTCTTCCGTTCCAAGTCCCAGCCTCCTGGTTACCGGCACGTTTCCAATGAAGGAGAGGAACAGCCTTGACATTTGCTCCAGCCCCTCCTGAGGCAGCAGGAGAGCACGGTGCTGACTCTAGAGACAAGAGGGGCTTCTTTCAGTGACTAAGGGTCTTCTTCATTTGTCCTGATTGGTGCTTCTAAGCCAAAAGGCCCAGACTCTGCAGTGGAGCTGTTGTGACTATCGGATGCAGTCGAGCTGCCAAGCGAATAATACAGTCATGAACTAGGAGTGAAATGCAAACATGATTTGGGGTTGCTTTTTGCCAGTACGTGACTCGTTCTATCAAGGACCCCGTCTTCAATATGCTGAAGTCTCTGCTAGTGGTGCAGAATGGGCAGCCTTCCCAACTGAAACCTGCTGCTCCTCAGAAAGCCTTGCTTCCACCTGGCAGTTGTTACTTGAACCTCCCTGAACTGTGGGAAAGGGGCCTGGTGCTATAACTGCCTTCTCCAGCTGAGTTATTAACTGGGAACCAAACCACTGCCTCTCTGTCTTACGTACTTGGCTCTTAGCCACTGGGTCCATACAGAAGGATAAGGTTGGGGCTGGACCCAATCTTACATAACAGAGGAAAAAATGACTTTCTCAAAAGCAGCCTTCTTCCCATTTGTCACTGACTACAGAAATTCAGTCAGTGGAACGCAGTACACTTCCTCTGTCTCCCCACTATTTTCAGCCTCAACGTATTCTTACAAAGCAGTGCAGCTTTGTGTTTAGTGGGAAGTGAACTAGTGGAATTTAGAAGTGCTTATTAGCAAAGGCCTGGCTAGAATCATTCTTTAAATGCCCTATATCATGTACAATATTCTGGACCAGCAGAGATTCAAAGAAAATCTGCTGTTTTAAAAACAAAGGTAAGTCTCTGAGGCAGAAAAAGATGCAAACGTAGCTAAGTATGTTGCCCTATAGAAAGAATCTTCGTGTATCATGTGTAGCATGAGAATTTCACGGTAAGGGTCTGCAGCTTTTGTGGAAAACCCTCCTATCATGCCACACTTTATAGATGACGGCATACATATTTTTTCTAATACATCTTCAAGCACTTTCTCATCTGACATGCAAAGAACACAAAAATAATCATCTCTGCTGTTCTAAAAACACAAAGAAATTAAGAACACTCACCGCTGCACACAAATGTCTTGGGTACAAACAAGAAGACAAAAGCAAGCCCATACCCAGTCTTGAACAGAAGTACTTCTGAGCATATACAGAGTGTGTTTCCTTCATGCTTGAAAAACTTCAGCTTACCTGCTCTCTACATACACTAAGGAATAAGAGTCCAGGCATGATTGCAAACACAGGCACGAGTTCCCCAGCATGCTTTGCAATCAAATAACGCAGTCCTCCTCTCCAAAAAACTGAACACACTCTTTGCTTTTCTCTCCTCCCCGCTGCTTCCCATCCCCTTTCAGACATAGCTCCTCAAAACAAGAAACAAGTCTTCTCTCCGCACATTTCTCTGTCCTGCTCCCATAGGCAAGAAAGCCTCATTCCTTCATCTTCACCCAGGGCTCAGTCCAGGAAATCTGAGGCCAAATCCAGAAAACAGAGTCTTTCCTTTCCCTCCTTAAAAGTAGCCCATGCTGGTTTTTCTCCCCACCTTTCCTAAGTGCAGCAACTGAATTCTTCAGAAAAGAATCAGAGGCTTGAAAAGAACAAGAGGTGCTTCATAAGAACTTCACTTGTTTGGTGTTTTCCCTTGGATGCAGAGAGGAAGCCAGGATTTTTAAATATGGGAGCTGGATGAGAAAGCAGCTCTGCTGAGTGGGAAGAGTTAGTTACTGGGAGAACAGCAATCAATGTTTAAAATGGCCAGTGCAATTATTATTTTTTTAATGAAAAAAAGTGCCAGTACTCACCATGAAGTTCTTACAGTAAGTGCTGCACTTTTAACATTTGGAGGGGGCGAGGTGCCGGCACTGCATATCCTTGAATACCCCTAGGAAAAAACCACTGGAAATAACAGACATATCTAAGCATGGGATTGTGGGGAGTTGGCAGTCCTAATCTTTCCCCCAGAAAGATGTTCTGCTCATTCTGAGGCTTCAGCAAATACATTAAAATAAACACAGAGTATTCCTGTCCCTCACCACATTACCCATCTTCCTAGTAATCATATTTATTGATGCTTCCATAGCAACTAGCGCTATGCAAGAACCACCCTCCTAGGTAAGGCCAAAGTTTCATGACAGTGGCCAGTCAGGTGCCTATGGGAAGCCTACAAACAGGACCTGAGTGCAACAGCACTCTCCACACTTGTGATTCCCAACAACTACTTTCAGAGGCATACTGCCTCCAACAATGGAGGTGGAGCATAGTCCCCATGAATTTGTCTTTCAAAGTCACTCAAAGCCACTTTCTGCGCTGCAGCTTCTCACTGTTGATAAGAGACCTGAAGAGTTCTGGGTTGACAAAGTCCATTATATTATTGCAGAGCAGCTGGTAAAATGTGGGCTGCATGAGGTAATTGTTTAGGGGGATTTGTAGCACTGGCAGAGGAAGGGGGTGCCTGGGTGTCATCCCTTGGGGGGTGACATCACCCCTCACCCCCCTGGGATGCTTGCCCCACCCCCACAGGCAGCTAGCCCCCCCCCCAGTGCACAGCATGTGTGCTGCTTCAGGTGCTAGAGCAACTAGCTCCGCCTCTGATTTGTAGCTGATTGACTGACCAAACCCAAAGAGTGCTTACTAATGGTTCCTCATCATCGTGGATAAAAGTGACGAGTGGGGTGCTGCAAGGTTCTGTCCTGAGCCCGTTGTTATTCAATGTCTTTATAAACTTGGATAAAGGCAGGGCTGTTTTTCAACTGGAACTCGCCGGAATTCAATTCCAGCACCTCTCAGGTGGGCACCATTGCCATTATAAGAGAAGGGAGGCATTCATGGTGAGTTCTGGCACCTTTTACCAGAAAAATAGCACTATGTAAAGATATTGAGCATATGCTCATCAAATTTGCAGATGACACCAAACTGGGAGGGGTAGCTAATGCCACAGAAGACAGAATCAGGATTCAATACAGTGGTGCCTCGCAAGACGAAATTAATCCGTTCCGCGAGTCTCTTCGTCTTGCAGTTTTTTTGTCTTGCGAAGCACGGCTATTAGCGGCTTAGCGGCTATTAACGGCTTAGCGGCTTTAAGTAAAAGGAAACAAACTCGAAAGACGTTTCGTCTTGCGAAGCAAGCCCATAGGGAAATTCGTCTTGCGGAACGACTCAAAAAATGCAAAACCCTTTCGTCTAGCGAGTTTTTCATCTTGCGAGGCATTCGTCTTGCGGGGCACCACTGTATGACCTTAACAGATTGGAGAACTGGATCAAAGCTAAGAAAATTAATTTCAATAGGGACCAAGGTAAGGTTCTGCACTTAGGCAGGAATAACCAATGGGGACACCTGGCTTGCCAGTAGAAAGTGAACTCAGGGTCTTAGTGGACCACAAGATTAAGGTGAGTCAACAGTGTGATGCAGCAGTAAAAAAAGCTAATGCTATTCTACGCTGCATCAACAGAAGTATATTGCCCAGATCAAGGGAAATAATATTCTGCCTTAGTCGTACCACACCTGGAGTGCTGTGTCCAGTTCTGGGCACTACAATTTAGGAAGGATATTGACAAGCAGCAACATATGCAGAGAAAGGTGACCAAGATGATCAAGGGATGAGAGGAGATATGATAGCCATCTTCAAATATCTAAAGGGCTGTCACATGGAAGATGGAAAAGTCTTGTTCTCTCCTGCTCCAGAGTGTAGGACCAGAACCAATGGATTCAAGTTACAAGAAAGAAGATTCCAGCTAAACAACCAGAACTTTCTGACAGCAAGAGCTGTTCAACAGTGGAAGAAACTTGCTCAGAAGGTGGTTGGCGCCCCTTCCTTGGAGGTTGTTAAGCAGATGTTGAATGGTCATCTGTTATGGTTACTTTGGTTGAGATTTCTGCATTACAGGGGGTTGGACTAGATGACCCTCAGAGTCCCTTCCAACTCTACAATTTTATGATTCTATGAACCTGCATATATTAATTTTTCCAACTGCTGATCACCCAACTGCATGGCATGGCTCCTGCAGGGCAGGATGCAAGCACAGAGCCAAATGAAGTCCAGCACAATGGGTTGATTACATGTATTTCCTGCAAGCCAGGTAAAAAAATCAAGAGGGGCAAAATTTAAAGTTGTCTGCTTTGGTACAAATTGAGGGCATAAAATGTTTCTGTGATTTATTGTTTGAGTCTATGATTGTTGTCTTTGTAATTCACTTGGATAATTTTCTTAACCTCCCCCCCAATTAAAAACCAAGTGGAGAAAATCAAGACTGGACTCTTGTTCTTTCTTCCTCTGAGCAGGTTTTAGAGCTGGACCAAAAGGGGGGGGGGTGCAATTGCAAAATACATCTTTTTGCATCATGGATCCTAGTGAGAAAACATTTCCCCCCAAGGGAAAACCTGCCTTTATGAAAGTTGTCTGTATATACTACACTTTATTTTACTGTTTCTTTATGTAAATTGATGTATTTATAGGAGTGAGTTTATAGGGTTCCACCTACTCTGCGCATTTATATCTGGTGTGCAGTTGGAACATCTTGAAACTGCTTCTTTTTAAGGAATCAAACTTGAGCATATGGAAGTAGAAGCAGGGGAGGAGATTACGAGGTGAGTTGAGCAGATTTTCAACCAAGTTTGCAAAGATGGGGCTCCTGAACCTTTTTCTTCCTACTATGGTTATTATTCTTTGATTCCTGCCCAATAACACTTCTTTTGTTCCATAGCTCTTACCAGAGGGTGAGGGAGGTGGGAGTCAAGATCTAAAAGGCCTGGTTCTTGAAAGCAAAATTATGCAAGTTACTGAAACTTGCATAATTCATTCTATGCACAGAACTTCAGTTTATTTGGGATAAAGTTTGTAAAGCTCCTCATATCTGGTCTTTGGATATGCCTACTTTCTAGTTCTTTTTCTTCTTAGGGAGCAGTTCAGCTTCTCAGGCATTACCAAAAAAAAAGTTCCATACAAAACTTTATTGAATGTATCTCAATTTTGTAAATGAGGTGAACAAAACAAAATCCCAATAGCAACTGCTGCAATATAAAACCCAAGCCACCTGCCTTAGTCTCAAACAGCCTCTTCACAAAGTCTGTACTTCTATACCTAGGCCACAAGCAGTTTATCAATCCAGTAAATGCTTCTAGCTTAACAGTTGCCTCACAACATATCTGTTTTGAGGAAGCAGTGCTGGGAAAGAACCCTTGAGAAGGGAAATTCTCACATTTTGAACTGGCATGGGAAGACAAACCCAGGTTGCTCAATACACTGGAAGGGGAAATAGTGTGTTCTGAAAATGCAAACTGAACTGTCAGCATAGCCCAGTTCATTGCACTGTGCCATGTCCCAGACAGTTAAAAATCTGCAAGTGTGCACAAATATGGTGCTCCTTTAATTGGGTCAAATGCATGTAAGTATTGAGCGTGGACCCATTCTTTGCTCTTAATAAAGGATTTTGAAACATACCATCCGTGATCCAGCAACATAACATCCATGATCCTGAGAAGCTGGGTTAGGGTAAGGGCTTGCTTCTCTCTGAAGCCACCAGCACAGGCTTTGCTCCAAATGAACACCACATATGCTTGCCTGATCAGTCCTCTGAATATTTTCCTCTCTTCTTCTTCTCTTGTAATTTATGCTCTTTGCCCTTTGTTTTGGTGCTCTCTAATTCAAGACTAAATAGTTTAGTTTTAAGTTTGCTTGCTCCTGTGGTTGATTGTCTTTGGTTCTGTGTCCCCAGTCGAGATAAGCGTCTGCATCTCATTCCCTGCTCTGTCATGGACTGCATGAGACACTCCTGATTCTGGGTTACCATTTCCTCCCGACTCCAGACCAGAATATTAAAACCTGCCAGAAAAAAGTGACATTTTTAGGAATTCTGCTTTGGAAAGCAAAATAAAGAGTACATTCTAAGAGCTCTGACCATCGCCAGCAAAAATAAAGGAATCGTTCACATGATGCTGACACAAATGCTTTGCTTATATACTATGCAAAAGAATGAAACTACTCTCTCTCCTCTTTCCCCCATCTCTCTTCCCACTTTCTTTCCCGCCAAACCCATATTGCCTGTAACAGTAATGTCTCACTCTGAATGTGGCTGACCTATAATAAGAAATATCTGACTTGAAAACAGAGACTCTGTATGTACTATTGTTACCCAAGTACATATTTTAAATGGTGATGATGATGATGATGATGATGATGATAATAATACATCCAAGAGCTCAGACATTGTCTGCCAGACCTGCTTAATACCCAGCTACTAAAGTTTAATGGAGCAATTGGCTTTTGATGTTAGATCTACAAAGTCTCATTACAGGAACAGAATCCAAAGTAGTAGCTAATAATCAGGTATATCAGTAATTCATCTTTCCCAACACTTAACAGTACCTTTAAGTTAGACACCTATGCCTGAGTATTTTTTTTATTTTGTATTTTCAAACACCTCTTAACACTTTATAAACCTCTTTAACACTGAAGACAGTTTCTTAGTGGTTTATAAAATTGTGTGTGTGTGTGTGTGTGTGTGTGTGTGTGTGTATGCGCCCCTGCAATTATGTGTAGTATATATATGGAGAGCGAGAGACAGCAGACAAGGAAACTGAGAAACAATATTAAAATACAATACAATAAAATCCCCCCAAACAAACACAAAGTGGCAAATTATAAAAGCATCTTAAGAGTCAATGATCTCTTGACTCACAATATACAGCATTCATCTCAATGACACGCACACATCACATCCAAATTCTGTCTTACATCTACTCAAATCATACATCTGCTGCTCATTCAGTATCACTCATTCCATTCTATTCTCACACATCCACCAGCTCACACACACAATCCACACACTAACTCCCACAATATCTCCCACTCAGTCACTAGTCATCATCACCAATCACACTGTGCACTCAGCTAAAAAGGTACTGCAAAAACACCAGAAGACAATGAAGCTACAGCCTGACTGAATCGTAGAAAATAACAAAACTAACTGCAACCCATTAAGCACACAGATTTACTGCTCCTAACAGCAATCTGCCTGTCACTCAGGTTGCTGTCTCCCACCCAAGACTCTCCCCATGCCTCCTTCTCGCCAAGGAATCCTGATACACCATTTACTTATCACCTGGTGTTTCTCCCCTGTCCCTTGCTCTCTTGCATGCCTTTATTATGTTGCCAAATTAACTCCAAGCAAGGAAGGGTCCACTTAAGATATGAAGCAGACTGCTGGAAACTAGCAAAAGTGTACAGGTTCAGTCCACAATCCTTGGTACAGTGTAACAGACAAAGGCACTGGTATACTGGTACTGCTAAAATGTTTATTTGTCCCAGGTGCTAGGTAAATTTACTTAAAGAATCCATATAACTGCCAAGGTTAAATTATTCTGGGCCTTCTGTCTTTTGCATTACTGCCTAAAAGGCCAATAGATGGCAGCAGTACTCTCCTTTCAATAGACTGTTCCACCCTATCATTTCTAAGCTAAAGAACAAAGTAGTCAAGGGTCAAAGTACCGAATTTTTCCGTGTATAAGACAGTGCTTTTTGTTAAAAAAAAAAAAAGGCAAAAATTGGGTGTTGTTTTATACACAGATAATGAATGCAGAGGGGGGACATGTGATTAATGGCAGCAGCAAGCAGGAGACTGGCAGCGGTGATTGGTGGTTGTGGCAAGGCCTGCTGGTGATTGGCTGTAGCTGCAGCAATTGGGAAGGCAATCGGTGGCTGTGGTTAGGGGGGTAGGCAATTAGCGGCTACGGCAAGTGGGCGGGTGGGCTGTTGGCAGCTGTGAGCAGGCAGACAATTGGCGGCTGCGGTGAGGTGTGCGATCGGCAGTGACTGGCAAGCGATCAGAAGTGGCTGGCAGGTGGGGGAGCGATTGGCAGAAGTGACCTCCCCCATTCCCCCCCCCAAGCTAATCAATTTCTTAATTTTGGGTTAAAAAAAATAGGGGTCGTCTTATACATGGGGGCATCTTATACATGGAAAAATACGGTAGGTATGACGGACAGCAAGAGATTGCATGTGGAAATACACAAAACTGGCCCGTTCACATGCAAAGCAGGGACTGGTATCTTTAGCAGCAAGAGGATCCCACAGGAATGGGGTGATGAACTTTCCTCAACCTCATATTTTCTCTGTTTCTGGCACGCTTCTGGTAACAGAGCCAAGAAGGTGGCTGGAAGGTAAGGCATGGGATGGGTTCAGCACCACTCTCTCTTGTGCTTTTATTGTTAAAGTACCACCCATTCTTCTGTGTATGTAAACCGTCTTAAAATACAACTTTTGTAGTTGTTGAGGAAAGGTAGGATAAAAATGTCCCAAATGAACATCTAGAAAGTGTTATAGGTATAGCCACAAAATCCCACCCCATTGTCAGCATGCTTTTATCTGGAGAGTGCCTGATTGTTTTTATCTGGTGAGAACAGTGGTCCATTATCAAATGTGTAAGATTAAAGCAACCACTCACCCATTCCAGAAGCCAGTGTGTCTCCCATAGGGTTAAACTTATTGAGCTGCAAATGTAAACACAATAATGCATTGTAACCATGTTGGTTGTTCACTTAACATCATCAATCAAATAAAAAACCAGAACATTCTGGACAGCGAAATGCCCAGCATTGGATGTGGAAAGAGTTTTGCACAAATCAGCAGAGCTTTGAATAGCAGGTCTCTCCTCCATCCCCCACCTACGTTATCAGTCCATCACGAGATGCGTATGGTGACAAGAAGCAAAGAAATAAAAAGATTTTTAAAAGCCTCCTGCAGAAAATTAACTGACGCATCTAACCAGGAGCCTCAGTGAGCGGCTCTCATGAAATCTGGCTTAGGAAGAGGCAGCTCTGGCAACAGGAGATAAAACATTTCTTCCACCACAAGAATGGAAATGAACCTCTGCCTCAGAAACTGCATGGGAGCACAATTAAGATAGATTAAAAAAAAAAAAAATCAGGGCTCTGATTTCAATTCTGAACATCTGGTGTGGAAATAAACAACTCAGGTATTCTTTCCCACAGTCCACACACCAAATGAATTGACATGAACTTTGTTTATTGAAGTTTGGAGACAGCTGTGCATCTCCTCATTTCTGGAGTTTAGGAAACGAAAGGCATGCCTCTGGAGGAAAGGGTGGGGCTATTACAGTAGTCTGTCCAGGCATTCAGTGGAAAGGCTGGAATTTGCAACATTGCAAATGGCTAGTTCAGCAGCTCTTAAAAAAAACAAAACCAGCTAAGAAAACCTAAAAAAATACAAATGTCTCTGCTACAGTTCACAAACATACCATATTTTTCGCTCTATAACACGCACCCGACCATAGCACGCACATAGTTTTTAGAGGAGGAAAACAAGAAAAAAAATATTCTAAACGAAACAGTGGATGTATGATTTTTGTGGTTCATGCTGTGGCCACAGACATGTGATCTGACGGTGAGTTTGGGGTAGCCCAGTGCAAAAATCCTGAGAATCCATGTGGATCCGTGCTTTGTAACCACATTTTAAGTGGGGAGGGAAGGAAAAGCACTCAAGGGACAAGGAACACGCGTAGGGTGGGTGGAGAAGGATGCTGCTAATAATGCAGGAGAGGGGTATAAGAGGAGAAGGAACGCTTTGCTCCTTTAAAGGCTCTGCTTCTCTCCCTCCTCCCCGGCTCGCTGAAAAACTTTGCTGCTATTTAGCCAGCTGAGTGGGAAGGAGAGAGGGACAGATAGCCTGCTTGCAAAAAACTTTGCTACTATTTAGCCAGCTGAGTGGGGAGGAGAGAGGGACAGAGAGCCTGCTTGAGATAAACTTTGCTGCTATTTAGCCAGCTGAGTGGGGAGGAGAGAGGGACAGAGAGCCTGCTTGTGAAAAACTTTGCTGCTATTTAGTGAGCTGTTCTCTCCCTCCTCCCCGGCTCATTGAAAAAAAACAGCTCCGGACTTGTGTAAGCAGCTCCTCTCCTCTCCCGCTTTGCTCCTTTAAAGCAAGCAGGCTCTCTGTCCCTCTCTCCTCCCCACTCAGCGGCTCTTCTCCCGCTTCGCTGTTTCAAAGCGAGCTACGGAGGAGGGAAGGAAGGGGAACCATGGATCCTCTGCTCACGACTGCAGCAGATCCCCCCGCCATCTGTAGGTATTCGCTCCATAACACGCACAGACATTTCCCCTTACTTTCTAGGAGGAAAAAAGTGAATGTTATGGTGCAAAAAATACGGTATTCATCAGTGGCAATGACAAAAAACTGATTCTGATGACCTTGAACCTGCAGAAAGTGGAAGGTGCCTCTTCCTCCCTGAGGTCTCCACACAATGTAGAAACTCTGACAGCTCTCACACATCAAATGCATAGACACACAATCATAGAATTGTAGAGTTGGAAGGGACCACCAGGGTCATCTGTTCCAAGCCCCTGCAATGCAGGAATCTTTTGCCCAACGTAGGGCTTGAACCCACCACCCTGAGATTAAGAGTCTCCACTGACTGACCATACCTAAGTCATCCGACATGTACAGAAAACTCCGGGGTGGGGAAGGGGTCTCATCTCTGACCTTACACCATGCTTTGGATGATTCAGTAGCAGCAAGAAGCCTTGTTGCTTCCAAAGATCTCCCAGGTGCAACATGGGGTCAGAAGTGAGACACAGAGGAAGGTCAGAGTAATGGAAACCACAGGTGGTGGCTACCAAGACAAGTTAAAATGTGTGAAGCCCTGGCCACATCCAGTACAATAGAGCAGTCCAGGTATCAGAGGATTTCTCTCCATTAGGCACTAGTGGTCCTACCAAAAAGTGGTAACACAGCGCCTCCCCACCCAAGTGAACTCCTGCTGTGAATATGTCTGTCCTTAAAAAATAGCTGTGTGAGCTATTCTTAAAGAGAAGCCCTGTATTGGAGGCAAACATTTGTCACAAGCAAACCCATCAATCAGTTGCACCGTATAAGAAAAGACATAATTATTTCCCTAACCCCACTTTTTTGGGGTTGGGGCACAGTAGGTCTTTGGACATGCTATCTACACTTACCGAGATAATTCCAGATGCATTTGGATCGTGCAGCTGGCACACCATCTCCCCACTGTTTCCATCAAATATGTCAATGGTTCTCAACTCGCCCACTGTGTAGCTTGGGAACCTAGGGTCTGGGTAACGACCCACCACAATGAGGTCATAGCGAGGATGCCATGTCGCCTAAAATAAAGAAGAGGTGGTTAAGCAAGGTCAGTGCTAAACTGATACGTGTTACAGAGGACTAGGATGAGGACAACAACAACAACAACAAGTCTTATCAAGTGCTGGCGTTCTGTGGGGTCATCCAGATTCAGCTCGTACCCCTCACATGGGAGTAAACAAACTGCAGACCTTTCAAGGTAACATAATGTAGCAACGGAATTTCCATAGGTTCTTACTAACCCTACTACTTGGAACTTGTGTACAAATCTAGGGAGACGTTCTGTTAACAACTAGGTGCCACTGCCCTAGGATTCCTTCTGCCCAACCCTGCCATCAATAATGGTCTGCTGTCACTGTAGATTCCAGTCTAAGGTTGTATACTGGAACGCTTATTTATATAGATCCATAATCAGAAGCAGAATGAACCACTCTCCTCAATATCCTATACTTGAATCTATACATATAGAAAGCTCCTGTCCATAAGACTCCCAGCAATTTTCCATACAGGAGTTGTAGGATGCTTTTCTTCTTAACTCTCTGCTCTCTGCATCAAATGGGCCACACTCCCAGGTCAACACTCCTATTTCTTCACCTTGATAGGTGTAAGGTGCTGGAACTGCCGATGGGGATGTGAAATCAAATGCTGGGGTTTGGACCAATCAGAAGAGGAATAGACCCGGATTTCATTGTACTGGTCAGTACTCAGTAGCTTAGCCCCATCTGTTGGGCTGAAATATGCTGGGGAGGAGGGGGAGAAAACAGGAATATGTATAAATGTATTGTGGCCAATAACAAAATAATCAATGAAATATTATATTTATAGACATTGCAGCTATGATTACCATCTCACTATGCTTATTATTATTATTAGTCCTGTAAAAGAATTATAATAAATGTGTAAATGTTGAGTGATGGTCTCTTCTAAAACAGACAAGAGCAACATTTGAATATGTCCTAAACAGCACCAGTTACAGACATAACTAGAATGTAACAAGCAATCTTATCTGAGAACAAAATGCTGAATTTCCACCAGAATCAACCAAACTATCTGCATAAATCCTTAAGTACCACTGATTTCAGTAGGTTATTGGTGTCTCTAAATTCAGTTTCCTTGGACTTAAATAAATTCACACTGACTTCATTTTTAGCTTTACCACACACTTTTTAAACAAGACTTGCAAGATTCACAAACTAAAAATGTGAAATCACAATTGCAGAATTTGGGGAGGCAAGGACTGGTTTAAAATTCAGTGATTTTGAAGTAACATTTAATAGAAATCTTGAATATTGTGCTTGGATATTTGAAATACATAGTGTGGCCTAAACATCTCAAGTTTTATTTGGAATCTGTTTTCAGATGCCAAAATACTGATTGCAAGTAAATGGCCTAATCAAAGACCTCCTATGTTGAAGGATAGGGAAATAATTACTATGATTTGGAATTTGGCTGAAAAGATGTGCATCTAAGAGATGGTAAACAATTCTTGTTACCTTTTATTTATGAACACAATTAAGACATTAAGAATAAGATTTTATCCATGTTATACAAGTGTTGTGTTGTTTTTTAACATGGAAAATAATAACTAAGCCACCCCCTTCATTATTCTCTGTTGTTGTTTTTATCTTGTGGGGCTAACATTTCTATTAAAACTTCGATTTAAATTTTAGCAAGTCTATAGACACACCCTGTATAGACACACATTTCCTCTTTTTGACAAGACATGTGAAACTATGACATGATTAGGACTAGTGTCCCGTCCCCCCCACATACCTTCCAATTTCCTTCACAACTTATGCCAAGGTTTGAGGGCACCTTATAATGTGGTTGTATCTCATTTTATCCAAACAATCTTGTGAGGTAGCAGGACTGGCATTGACCTTTACAAGGCCAACAGTTGGTACAGTGAATGCAAGGTGGAAAGACAAAGGCATGTGGCACTGAGCTGAAACACACACAAGCCAAGAATGGTTAGGTGGCGGAGTATAAGCCATGAGCCACTTTGCTATCTTACCTGCATTAACGGGTTTATCATGTGGAAGTACATGAAGAGAACTTGACTTGTCCTTAATGTTTCTCAGATCCCAGATCTTTACTGTCTGATCCACAGAGGCTGTAGCTAAGAGCCAATCACAGTGAGAATTGAATTCCACGTGAGTCACTTTCTTTTTGTGCAGTTTCAGGTTCCATACCTGCAGTGGATAAAACAAAAGCCAAAATGCATTACAACTACAGAGCAAGAGATTAAGACATCAAACATACTTTTCTAGGAGATAGTAAAACCTCTTTTTTTAAAAAAAAAAAAATGATATGGAAGACAGGAGAATATATGCTTGTATTCTAAATCAGCCTAATAAAGACAATTCCAAAACTCTACCGGAGATCAAAGATTGATCTAAATAAGGAACTTCCAGGTTCTCCTCCTGGGGAATATGATCTCTGTAGTAAAGGGAACCTATGGTTCTCCAGATGTTGTAATACTACAACTCCCATAATCCTTGATCATTGGCCTTGCTGGTTGGGGCTGACAGGAGTCCAAAATCATCCATGATATATATTCTAAGTCAGGGCAACATTAGGCAGATGTTAAAAATACCAAAAACCTATGTATGTCTGATCAAAGCAGGCTGTAAGGCAAAGAGGAGGGGCACACTAACCTTTTCGCCCTCAGTACTGAGCAGAACTACATTGCCCACATTATCACCTGTTGCCACAGTCCGGCAAGTTGCAGATACATCAACACTGCAGTACCAGAAACTAAAAAAGAAAGAAGTACAAATTCAGAATGTTCACCCCCTACATGTATAACTAAGGTGGTTCTCTGTTCTTTGCAGAATGCAAAAACAGTATTTATATAAATAATGGAATCACAGGTGAGCTGAACTGAACCCTAGTGGCATTCTGATGTGGGATCAGTGTTGGATTATTTATCAAGTAGTGTAACAAACCCAACAGGAATCACTTGGAAAGACCAAGCACACTTTTTAAAACATTCATAATGTGTATCGCATCAGTTCTAAGTATTTGAAATGAACGCCAATTTTAAGTGTTGGAAAAGGGGTAGATAAGTTTGGACGTCGTGAAACACAGGAACCCAAAGCTAGCCCAAGACACTTCACTGCCTGAAGTATAGGTCAAGATGGCTTACCACCATCACACACACACTCACTCCCATTCCATGGATACAGAAGCTGAGCAGACTGGCAGATGACTCTTATTTCAGCACTGGGGCTGACACAGCATCCACCACACTTCAGAGCAACAGGTTAGCTTAGGGGGCAGGAAATAGGGGCAGAAGGCAGACCTTGTGGCACACACTGCTCTTATAGGGAAATAGTTGAGGGGCTCAGAAAGTAGAGCAAGGGGCTTCTACTACTGCCCTAAAACATCTGCCAACATATTCTGCCCAATGGTAGGGTTTGCCCTGCAAGTGTGAGAGTCACACTTTCCGTGGCAGATGAGATTGCTCCTTATCTTTCACATGCCTTCCAGCGAACCTCCAGAATGCTTGAAAAAGAAACCCAGATCTAAACAAGCATTAGAATTCTATACGTTCCTCTTTCTTTGAGCATATCGCACGGTACCTCCCAACACTAACTCCCAAACATGAGTGCAATTTATATCGTCAAAAAGTTTCCCTTCCTGTATTACTTTGTTTTAATGGGAGACATGCAGCTGATAAACGTGCCTGCTATATGAAAGCAGACCTTATTGGCTCTGATGCACAGTCACACTCGCTCAGTTTGGGACAATAGGCAGTGTAAAGATAAAACCCCAGAACCTGTCTTGTTCACTCTTCTTTGAGCATACGTGACATGGTTAGAGTGCTGCAGTTTGTAGAATTCCTACTGAAAAAGTTGTTTGCCTTCTCTACGTGTCAGGTGTGCTATACAGGGTATGCTATGCACCCAAGGAAAGAGGGATTTCCAGGTTCCTACTCAACACTCCATCAAGCAAAACACTACTCAAGTGCTCATGCCCACGAAAAAGCTGAACCACTTCCATTTGCTATTATGCACAACAGTAATCATATTCCAATCCACATGATCAGAAACGTATTGCCTCCAGTAGGCCCGGGGAAACAGCCCAAGCAAATGCTAATAATCTGTCCTGGCACATTCAAAGGAAGGGTAAAGGAAATTTATGAGCTGAACAACGACACTGCCCTTCTCACTCCTCACCAAACATCATGGAATTCATGGTCACAGACTGGGGTGCGGGAGATCACTTGCGCTGGTCGGCCCTCAAGGTGCTGTAGACTAAGGGTGCCATCCCCTGATGCCACATAAAGATTTGCCGACTCAAATGGGCTGAATTTCATGCCTCCAAGAGAGTCTCCTGGGCCTTTCTGGAACACAGATGGGAAGAGGAGAGGAATATGCCTAAGTTACTGCGGAAGGATGGGAATAGGCAGTCAGCACAACCTGGCAGAGATGCACTGAGTTCCGGCTCTAGGTGAATTCACACCTACCTACTTAATACTAAACATTGCACCTTGTACAGTACTAGCTCTGAACTAGTTAACTTCTCAGATGCTGCATGCAAATTTCTTTCAGAAGTTCCACTTCAAAAATGTTGAGAAGCTATACAATATCCTCTTCAAAAGCACCAAGCAATTTAAAAAAAACTAAGAGAGAAACATTAAGCCATCTGTGTGCTAGTAGACTGGTTTATCAAGCTCCTTCTTGCGGAACTATTAGTATTGACTTTCTACTCTTACATTCTTCAACACTTCCAGTACCTATTTAAACATAGAGCAAACAAAGAACTTTGCAGAGCTAGGATAATTCTGAGGACAACATATAACATTATGTCTCAAGTCACGACACACACCCTTCATCTTTAAACAAGTATAGTACTAAATATTCCCAACTGTGTATAGAAAACGCAAATAAGTTCTGCACCTTTATGATAAAGCCAGGCAACTTCCCACATATTAAAAAGTTCCCTTCAGCTACATTAAGGTTCCTCTTCTTCCAACTAAAGGATGTGAATGTGGCAACTGCAACTTGATGTCCCTCCACACAATTGAAAAACCAAGAATAAATTGGAACACTATTCCATCCTATTGAACCTCGGCACTGAAATTGTCCATTATATATTTCTAAGAAGGTATTTGTTCACAACTTCTCTGCAGCTGCATCCAGTGCATTGTTTATTTTACTTCTCAACAACCATTGGAGCTTCTGGAGATTCCATAGCGTAGAGGAAAACTAATCTAATTCCATCAATCTTCGCTTTGCTGCATCAAAATGTGAAGACTTCACCCAAAAACTTATGTCACATTTATTCCTTTACACAAGGACCTCCATCTGTGGAGGGGTATAAAAATATTACATGAGGATATCCAAGCATGTGTCTGTTTTGCTTCTGATATACGCTTCAGATAACTACTGTGAGAATCAGGTTCCTGATGCCTGAATTGGGAGGAAAATAAAACACTCATGCAACCAAACCTACATTCAGGTCGACACAGATAAAAGTTTATTCACACATTCTTCCCAAAGCTGGTGTTAATATCAGTATCAGGACAAAGTAACATCAAATAAAGTGCTCAAGGAAGTTTCAAGAGATCCTAAGATAGCTTAAGAACAAAAAATGTGAAACTGGTAAGCATTCAGAATGAACCCAAAAACAAGGGATATGGTATCACAAGATGCTGACAAAATAAGGATGAAAAAAGAAGAAAAGAAATCCTAATGTATCTCAGTCTATTGTCATTGAAGGCTTTCCTCAAGTGTCAAAATGAAAAGCAGCCTACAGAGATCTCTGTTAACAGCATCACTTATTCGCAGCTGGCAACACAGTTGGACTTATTGTGGCAAGAACATTTGTGAAGAGCCCACCTCATCAGATGCACCTCTTAATAACTTAAAGGTGCTACAAGGCTCTTTTTTGTGTTTGCTCATACTCCTAAACACTGGTGCCCAGAATAAATGTTAAGTTATAATACTGAATGTGTGTGTTTCATTTGTAAATATAATTCAAAACAAGCTTAGGAACACAATAAAATAATTTCCACTCCTTTGTCACGTGCACAGGGGAGTTCCCAAACTACCAATCTCCTACCACATTTCCAACACTAATTTGTTCTGTTATGGCTCTTTATCTATCTATTCATTACAGTATGTTTGTTATTGCTTGGGTATATGTCACATTTACAGACAGATCATGCACAATTAAGGCAATAAATTCAATCTGATGCATATTTGGGAAATATATCTCTGCCAAATAAGAACCCTTTAGGCAAAGAGATAGGCTTCTGCGAAATGATTCACTATGTTTTCCATAGCGATATCAAATTGTACACTGTTTTCCTCCACATGGTTTTTTTACTTATGTAACCTGCCTAAAGGCCCAGTTTCAGGGGGCTAAAAGATAAAGTACATGATTAAAGCAAATAGTAGCGATTCGAGAAGAGCAAATCATTCACATTCTGAGTGAATAACTCTGGTAAGACCAGGGTGAGGGCCGACACATGCCGAAATTACACCACTTCCTCTGTTTTGTTGCCTTCTAATACTAGAAGCAGTGAGAGGAGGGAAAAACTTTTATCACATCTTACTCCCAGTCGTCGGTACTGGTGAAGACTCGAATTGTATTTCCATTAAAATCCTGCAGGGCAGTAGTTCCAGCAACTGATGATGTGTACAGCTCACTAGGGTTAAAAGGGTTAAACTTCATTCCTGTGATGGCCCCTCCAGTTCTCATCTATAATGAATGGGATGAATAAAAACAGAAAGCCACTCAGAGATGAGGAAGAAGGAAAGTCCCTCTTGTTATCTCATCTAACACCAGTACAAGGCAGCATTCATCTTTATGTGGCATTAGCCAAGCTGAACAAATATCCTCATAGAGAAGAAGTTTCCTCTGGCCAATACCATTTCTGTTAAATAACTGCCATGTTGAAGAGCAAGCCTGCAGAACTCCTGGCACCATCTACATCTTGAGTGGTTTGGCTCAGCTTCTTCTCAGGGTTGCCACCATGAACTAAACGGTTGAAAGTCACCTACTCAACCTCTTTACAAGAATGGGTTGTTCTGTGAACAGTTGCTAAAGGACTGAACCTAAGGGTACTAGTGGTGGGAGTAGGGAAAGGGATAAAGGATAAGACTGCAGACAAGTAATGTCCCAATGGAGGGAGGGGGTACTATATATGAAGAGTTTCAGGAGCTCAATTTGTGGGTTGAATTATTACCTTCTTGTGAAGACTTGAGAGGATAAAATGCAACATGGAGGTGATGCCTGGAAAGCTGTTCTGGATGATAAACAACAGCTTGGGAACTCTGAAACTTCCATATTCATTGTTGCCATAATACTCGCCCTTATTTTTGTTTGATAAAGGTGCAAACGAAAGTCCAATGTCATGTTTCTGCCCAGAGTATTAGTCTTATGCTTTTGTGAGCTTTTCTTTGGAATGTCTAAGACGATATTATTTTTAAAATCTTTGCTTGAATACAGACAGATATACAAATCATAGCAGCTCTGTATCCTTCCTTGGAGAAGACTTGGAATTCTCAAGGAAGCTATTTTCTTCCTCTGGGTTTGCTCAACCTTTAAAAAAGATGAAGTTCACTCCACAGATAAACACAAGTGCATTTTGCCAAGGCATTATTAACAATTCAAAGCAAGGCCGATGAAAAATATTATTTCATTTGCAGGGACCTCATTCCTTCAACTTAATTAAGTACTTTCACATCTAACAAAGCATGCAGCTGAAGTAAAGAGTTAAAACAAATAAAAAACCTCTCCAAATACGTACGTATTTTCTATTTTAGAGTAAAAATTATCTAACTCAAATATGTAGCCAGATCATTCCCTTGTATAGAAAGCTGGGAAATTACAACACAGATTTCTCCAGTGCAATAGAGTTCTAACTAGAAGCCTTCATCTTTAATCTACATACCGCTCTAACACAGAGCTTGCATAGACACTGCATTCGATCTTCACAATGACTTACCCCTTTTATGAAGCAGCTTTTATTAAGCATTTCATAGTCCCAAAGGATGATGTCTCCACCTTTGGAGCCTACAGCAACTGTGCTGGGGTGCGTTGGGTGCCATTCCAAGCATGTAACCCTCCTGTCAAAGGGACTTGCTGTGCGGAACAGGCGGTACGAATAGAGGGAACGTACAAAGGGCACCTGAAGACACTGTTACAAAGACAATGAGAGAGAGAGAGAGAGAGAGAGAGAGAGAGAGAGAGAGAGATAAGCCCTGCAATTCCCATATACTCAAGTCTGTGCTACTCTTCCAACTACTTTATACTGCTAACAGGTTCAACTGTGGACCATACAGTGGTACCTCGGTTTAAGTACTTAATTTGTTCCGGAGGTCCGTTCTTAACCTGAAACTGTTCTTAACCTGAAGCACCACTTTAGCTAATGGGGCCTCCTGCTGCCGCTGCGCCACCAGAGCATGATTTCTGTTCTCATCCTGAAGCAAAGTTCTTAACCCGAGGTAATATTTCTGGGTTAGCAGAATCTGTAACCTAAAGCGTATGTAACCCGAGGTACCAGTGTATTACACTACATGCATCCATATGTATTTTCCCTCTAATTTTCTTTTTTAACAGAAAACAACCTCTAGATCAGGTGTGGATCAGGAAGCTTTCTGGCCAGATCTTCATCTCCCCACACCCTGCAGGCTACCTTTGATAGGTGAGTCAATGAGCTGTCAATCAGCTGATGTCATAATGATGTCATAATGTTGTCAACATGCATTTCTGCATCTAGATGATGCAAGCTTCACCAGAGGTACAACAAGAGGAGCTGTGGAACTCTTTACCTGCCCGTTTTCTCCTTTAAATTGTTCCCCTCCCCAGCTGGTTTTCTCCAGAAATGATAAGGGGAAAAGGAATATGGTGAGAAGATGAGCAACATGACAATGAGAAATTATTATCCTGTCCATACAGGGGCAAGAGTGAAAAGAAATGGTACTATATTTCCAGAATTAAAGGCTTACATTTGATGTGGTGGAGCAAAGGAAAGGTTTGTAGATAGCCATGGTTTCATGGTTTAGCGTTGCATCTCATCATAACCTTAATGCTCTGAGCCTGAGCAAAGCACTACAGTAACACACTCCCCCCTTCTCCTCGCCTCCTCCTGCATGGCTAAATCAGCAGAATTTACGTTAGCTTTTAAAGAATCCCAGCTTAGTTACAATTGGACCAAGGATGTTGTTTTTATAGAAACTCCAGTTAGCCTATCAAAACAGGCCAGCTTCATAATCCATGGTTTCAAGTTGACTTGTTATGAAACTTACTAGAGTTTTGTTTTAAACCAGGATTCCTGGTTCAAAAATAATGCTAAGCCAATATAGTTTAAAAGTGGAACTATACTCTGCCAGTATCCCTCTCCCAATTGCACAGGAGGAGGAGGATGGAGAGTCAGTCTTTCTCAAGCTCATTCTAGCTAAACCATCATTTAGCATTATGTGCAAATGCAACCAGAGTGTCATGCAGTCAGGTGGATTTTAAAAAAGGAAAAATCTACACATGGCTGTATTATGCATACTATGAAGGAGGGAACATAAACATGGGTCAAACAGTCAATAATAACAGAACTGTAACTCTTTTCTCCTCCACACTATGCAGAGTATGCATTTAGATAGAAATAGAAACTGCAGGAACCTCAGGTGTTCAGCCAGGTTGTAAGGAAAAACACCTACCTTTCTGAGCTGTGTCCCAATAGCACCACCCAGCATATTCTGATGTAGATAATGGACAATGTTCTTCTGTGTCTCTCGCTGATGGAAGAACACTCCTGTTTTTCTGACCATGGATCCATGGAAAGCTTCTCCTGCCAGACAACAGCAAAAGTTATATTAATACCTACTTACATGCTCACTTAGGACAGATTTCAGGTTTTTAAAAAATAAAATAAAAATGGACACATACCCCAAACTGGAGCCAGGTGCAACGAAACAAAAAACATACTTTAAAACAAATTCTAGTCAGTTTTCAAAACAAGCCACTTCAAATCATGAGTTATAAGGCTGGCTTGTTAAATTAACCAGAGCCTATGGTACTATGAACCAGAATTGCAATCTCTGGTTTAACTGTAACAACAAGCCAGGATTCTGTGAAAGCAAAATAAAACACTGCTGAAGTCTCTTGCTGGACATGTTGAAGGAGGTAGCGCGTATACAAGCCCAAGTTTGGGTTGGACTCATTCCAGCTTCTTACACATTTAATGCTAAACTACTACATGCAAAGTACTCCACTGAGTTCAATGAGGCTTATTCTCAGGTTAAGTATGAATAGCATTGCAGGCTAACTCTCACTACACTAGACTAGTAGCAGCAGACTTTGGCAACCGCTACACAGCGGGTGGCACTGTGGTCTAAACCACAGAGCCTAGGGCTTGCCAACCAGAAGGTCGGTGGTTCGAATACCCGCGACGGGGTGAGCTCCCGTTGTTTGGTCCCAGCTCCTGCCAACCTAGCAGTTCGAAAGCACGTCAAAGTGCAAGTAGATAAATAGGTACTGCTCCGGTGGGAAGGTAAATGGCGTTTCCGTGCACTGCTCTGGTTCGCCAGAAGCGGCTTAGTCACGCTGGCCACATGACCCGGAAGCTGTCCGCGGACAAACACCGGCTCCTTCGGCCTATAGAGTCAGATGAGCACCGCAACCCCAGAGTCATCCGCGAATGGACCTAATGGTCAGGGGTGCCTTTACCTTTACTTTACACTAGATTAGGGGCAGCAAACATGGGCAACCACTGGTTAGGTAGGCGTATAATATTGAGTGATTCAAGTTTCTGAGCTACTCAAACTCTTCAGCTGGCCGGGTGTTAAGCAAAAAAAACGGGGCAGTGAGAAGACTATGCAAGGAAATAACAATGGCTGCAACAGGCCTGGAAAAACCACAGAGGCTGTATTTTGCCCCCTTTCTGAACTGAAATAGGTTAACAGTCAATATTGCTCTACCAGGTTAAAAATGAGCTAAAAAGTAAGGTAGCTGGAGACATCATTCTTAAAGCACAGTGGAAGAAAATAAGTATTGGCCCAATTTAGGATAAAAGCACAATATTCCAGATACTTCCAAAAGCATGAGAACATAAACCCCAGCCAAGCCCCCCGGAGTTCCTGCAGAAACAGAATATTCCAGGTTTGTTCTGTAGCCTACAGAAAATGTGCAGAGCTATTGGCAGGCTGTTCTCAACAAACAAACCTGCTGACTCTTCATGGAAAAGTCTAAAAACACTGTTGTCCAGGGAGAATTTTGCTGAGCAACTCAGCTTGGGATTTGTTTTCGAACATTGGTTCTGTGTTTTCTGTTTAATCACCAGAGACATCTACAGCAACACAGAATCTGACTGCAACATGTCTAATCACCCCCAAAGCAAAGGAATACAGCATATTGCAATTTCTTAGGAGTCAGACGACAACAGTCCTCATCATGAGGTAGAAGCAGATCAAATGAAACTCTTGAAACATGTATTTTTGCAAGGAAGGGTCCATAATAAAACAAAAGTGTTTCCTTAGTCAACCAAAAGGAGAGAATATTAAGGATGCAACCCCCATTCTAATATCAGCAAAACTCCCGATGGATTTTAACTGGCCTGGTAAATCTCTATGTCACAGCAGCATACTTGCTGTTTAAAATATAGATCTTCTACATTCATATGCAAAGCAGTGGGGCTGCTACTAAAAGGGGGCACAAACAGAGGTGTTGAGTGCTCCCCCATCCCTGGCAAATACTTTTCTTATAGTCAGTCTTACTTTAAACCAGAGATTTCCAAACTGTGTGCTGTGACACCGTAGTGTGCACTTTGTAGGTGTGTCGCGTGAACACTTCCTGAGCTCTTCCTGGGGCTGGAAAGGGGGTAGTTTAACCTCTGATTTCCTAGTAAAACTGAATTACTGTGTTGCAAGTTGATGCATGCCTAAAAAGTGTGTCACCAACATGGAAAGTGGAAAGCTCTGCTTTAAACAGTGGAGCATGAGAGTGCCTGAAAAAGGTTTAAACATTCCACACTCTACTGGCCCTTTCCACCACATGAATGGGGCTGACCCAGATTTCAAAAGATGCAGTCTCATTATTGCCACATACAGTATTGGGTGTCTGTCATTCCTCAGTTGGGAGACTCCTCATCAGAGGACAACCTGTCATAGCTGTCAACGTTTCCCCTTTTTAAGGGAAATTCCCTTATTCCGAATAGGATTCCTCACAAGAAAAGGGAAAAGTTGACAGCTATGCAACCTGTACTCCCCAGCACTACCACAAGCCTGGGATCAGACTCAGGCTGAGGTGAGGCCATCCACACCACAAGTGAGTTCAGCCTCTGGGGTTAAATGTGCACAAGTCCTGAGCCTGGAGGAGAGATGGTACCTCAAATGCTAGACAAGATTCACCTCATTAGAAGGGCTTGACTGCAGACAAGCACTCCATAGGAGCCAATGAGACTTCTGGATGAAGGCAGCTGATAGGAGTCATCTGGATTCAGGGTGGGAGTCCAGCACTTCCAGCTCAAAAAAAACCCCATACTTGGCTGGAAGAACTGCTGGAACAATGCCTTTGTACCAGAACTGTGACAGATTTGACTGACTGACTAGCCTAAGCCTGACCTCAGACCTGTCACCTGCCATACCTTTGTTGCCCATGGATTAAACTTGAAGATGACCTCAGACTATCCCGAGCTTGCCTCTCACTAGACTTCTTGTTTTAGGCCCTGATTACTTGGACCATAACCTTGGATACCACTTCTGCTTGTGCTCCTGTCAGTATTGCCTTAACCCTAACCCTGTTCCCTAAAGAATCTAGTGAGAGCAGGACAGCCCAATTTTGAACATGCATATGTGCAGTGCTTTTACACTTCTAGCCTTATCTGCACTATTGAGAGACTTCTAATGTCAAAAGACTTTTAACAGAGAGTTATATTTGGACCTGCTTATATCATGAAGATTATTTCTTTAAGAGGCTTTATTTTCTAACGTTTTTCGGGTTGTACAAAGCTTCATCTTCTTTTTAAAGCCAGTGCAGTTTTTTGAACAATACTCGTAAAATAACATTCAAACAGAAACTAAGTGAAGAGTTAAAATAGGTCCATAAAGGGAGATATGGAAAAGATAGATTAAAGTGCTTTTACCAGATAAATTGGAAAGGCAAAATATACTGGACTGCTGAATGGGATAAAGAAGTCTCAAGGAATGTTCCTGTACTTGTCTTTGTGTTCACATCAATGCATTACTAGTTCAAATAAGGAAAGGGAGTGTAAACCATTCATTCATTGTTGTATGGAAAGGAACAGCTTCTCCTTCCAGCACTGAAGCACCATTCATTTCTCTGACCCTGGAGAACACATGACTCAGGGCCCAGTGGTAAATTCCAAATAGCAGGAATGCAATTGTAAAACATGCATATATCTGAAATATAATGAAGTTTGCAGGACCAAATTAAATAATTACCAGAACATTAACTCAAAAAGTGTTACAACTGAGCAGCCCCACATGAAGCGACAAAGAATTTGATTTCTGCTTTACACTGCTGTACAAAGCAAACTTTTTAAAATCTCCCAATTTTACTATGTGGGGATTAAATTACCTTTGTTAGTTAAGAGGCAAACCACCAAAACAAGCTGCATTTAGAGCTGATTTCATTATTACTATTTTGGCCTAGAGAGAAGCAAAAGGCTTGCAGAAAAAATGACAGGGGAAAAGATTAAATATGAAGAGTTCAAATTACATGTACCCATGGTCTGTTAGCAATAGCAACTATCAGAACAAACAATACCAACAGAATCAAATTGCATTAGCATTACATTGACACATATGAGAAATGTATGTTTTAAGGCCTTACCCATTTTCTCCAGAATCTTGGGGGCTTTTTTCACAAGTAATTTATTTGCAAATGGCTCATTTTCCAGCTCTCTGGTGTCTCGCTTCCTTTTCCCAGTTGTTTTCGCCTCTTTTTCTGATGGACACTCAGGAGACTTTTGCAGTTTCTTGTCCCTTGACTGCTTCCCAGGGGCCATTCTGGTAAATCACTGAAAAAGACCAACAGAGTGGGGGATATAGTTATAAAAGAACTCTTTAGATTCTTATGAAAAGTAGCATACATTTTTAAAGTAGCTTAAAATGGAAGTAAACAGCAAATGTAACATGAGATTTCAAGCCCCACCATTTTCATAAATCCTCACCAATACTTTCTTATTATGCATTCTCTTTTTACATTTATATCCCAGTTTTCTTCCATCATGGAACTCCAGATAGCATGCAAAAGTTCTGAGGAGGTTCTGAGGAAGTGTGACTGGACCAAGGTCACCCAGCAACTGCATGTGGAGGAGCAGGGCAGCGAACCCGGTTCACCAGATTATGAGTCCACCGCTCATAACCACTACACCACACTGACTTTCCTTTCTGCAGGATCCAGCAACCCCCTCAGTCAATTTCATTTCTTCCCAGAAACTAAGGATTGCTCGCTTAGTACTGTATAGGTATTCTTCTCCCTTCTCTTGATCTTAAGAGGATAAGAGCAAGGAATATCAGAAAACAAAGAATTGCCATGAAACTGCCATAATTGAAGTTGTTCAATCTCTGAAGCATCAGATGTTAGTAATTGACTGGATGAGGGCAAAACAGACTGAAGCTTAATCCAGACAAGACAGAGATTCGGAACAGATAAAGTACTTCATTATGCAGCGCACAGTTAAACTATGCAATCAATCTCAATAAAATAATATTATTGTGTACAGTCTATAGATATTTTAACTTGAAGCAGTCATAAGGTGTTTAATTATTCTACAGTTGCATTTCACAATTTTTATTTTTATTTTGGAATTATTATTAAATTTATTACCTGCCCTTCATCAAGAGCTCCCAGGGTGGGTTACAACAATTTAAAATTCAGTGTTAAAAACAGGTCAAACAAATAGTCACAGGAAAAGGTTGGTAACTTGAAACACACACACATCTCAGATGCCAAAAGCTAGGGTAAATAAACAACAGCCCAGTAATGAGAAGCAGATCGGTAGTGGTTGTAAGAAGGGGGAAATGAAAAATCAGAGCGGGGTGGGACTACATTAATATCTTCAATTTTTCTCAGCAGGAATAAAACCTCATTTAATTCTGAATAAAACATACCAAAACGAACTGACTATATTTTATTCTGTAAAGGCAACATGCCTGGGGGTGAAATAATATAAAATAGTGAAAGCACTTTGACAAACATACTCCAGTATCCTCAATCCAGCTTCTCCTGTTTTTTCCCCTGCTGCTCTGAGGGGCTTCTCCCAAGTCCCAAGTGGGGAGGAGGAGGTCAACATTCATTCATCTGATTGCTTAGGGACAGTCCTTAACAATGGTGCTGCCTGCGGAGTGCCAAAGCATTGAAGCTACCTCCATGTTTTGTGCCCTTTCTTCAGAAATGGCCAAGTGATTTACTTTTTTATAAAAAAGGAAAGTGAAAAATTGAGAAGGGGTTTTCTGCTGGTCTTTGGGCCCCAAATTCTACCCCTTTTACTTATCTGTTAGTGGTCCTGGGTCCACCTGTATTCAAAAGGCACTGGAAGCAAATGTAGCCAATGGTTGCTAGACAAATTATGCCACTTCCTGCTCTTTCCAAATACATTTATAATAGTTTCCAAATGGCCATATGATATTTAATGACAAAGCAATTTATTTTACCACATGTTTATTATCAAAATAGCTAAGTACAAGGAGTTGTGGCATAGCTAGTGTGTGGCGGTGTGCATTTGAATATGAGACCCTCAAAACAAAATCCCTGTTTAACACCTTGTGTTGTCAATGTCCTTAATAATAACAATGATGATGATGATGATACTTTGGGGCATTATTCAGTGGCTATAAAGCCCCCCTTTCATGCTGACTGGGCAGCTCTAGGACGCTGGAGACAGGAACCTTCCTGCAGGAAAAAAAAATAACGGGTCTTTGACCCCTGCAACCCTGAAATACTACACCACTGATCTTAAGGAAGGGAAAAATTCAAGAAACCACCTGAAAGCAAATACTGCAGGGGGGATGCTCCTCCTCTCTCTCTTCCTCAAATACAGCACGTGAAACAACTTTCAGTTTTATGTAAGTTCAATATTATTAGCATACCAGAGGCGGGCCAAATAGTACAAGGCTGCCTAAGTAGAACCGCCCGCCCTCCTCACCCTGGACCAAAACGAAAAAAGCCCACCGCCTTTCGAGCTTGAGGGGCCTTTGAAATAAGGTTGGGGGCAGCAAGGCGGAGCCTGAAGCAAAGAAGGAGGTCCTTGGCGTCGGATAGGGAGAAGCAGGGACTGCAAGCGAAGGGGAGGGCTGTGTATCCTCCGAGGGGGGAAAGCGCCTCCCGAGCGCGGAAGCCTCCGCCACAAGTTGCAAGGGGTGCAAAGGGGAAGCGGTAGCCAAGGGCGCCCCCTCACCTGAACTCCCTTGACCGCACGCTCCTTGCTAACGAGGCCGCCCCGGCTGAGGAGGGGATGGACAAAAGGCGCGGGAAGAAGGAGCCGCCTCCTCGCCGGTTTCATAACCTGATGGGGGGGGTGTAGAGGAAGGAAGGAAGGAGGGAGCCGAGAAGAGCTTTACGCGGGAAATTAGTCGGGTTCCGGCGTGGCTTCGGAGTGGGAACCGTGTGGCTGGCAGGCGAGCAGGCAGCCTCCCTCGGCTGGGCGCCTTCTCTTTCCTCTCGCCGGAAGGAGGCGCCACGAAATGGTCTGCAGCTGCACCGAGAAGGAGCTCTCCCCGCGGCCTTATGTTTACGTATAACCTAAACAAGCTATAGCTTCGGGCCCCACTTTCTTGGAGCCCCCCCCCCAAAAAAAATTAAAGGATAAAAACCTTGGCGTTCATTTCCAAAATACAAGATAGAAAAAAAAAACCTATCTACAGCAACAGTGATTTGTGTTGTATAGGCTCCTGTTGGTTATGTGCAAATGGCTTTAGATACCTATTAGGTCCATAAATTACCATATAGTATATATTCAACACAAAAAACAGCGACAATTTGTTGTTGACAAAGGACAGCTGGACATAGAAAGGGCCCCATTACCTTCAGCAGCTTTGGGCCTCATTTGATCCGGCCCTGGTTACACCAGAATTTGGCCCTGGCGGCTGATTTATTTGTTCTTTAAATCGTAGGAAGAGAGATATAGGAGGGTGGTTGCTTCTTTAAGTGCCGCCGGGAAGCATCCTGGGGCGGGGAGGGGAAATAAGTTATCTGAGCGTGTGCAGAGTGCCACGGCCATAACCACTGGCAGCTCAAGTGCATAAACAGGTTCGGCCTGCACCATACTCGAACCCCGGAATCAGTTAGCATAGGAGCCAACTCCTAGGGGCCGAGGGGGTCTTTGCCCCCTCCGCCCCAAAACTGATGGGCATTGCCATTCAAATTGAGTGCACTGTGTCATGTGATTGATTATGCGGGTGGGGTTTACCTAGGTTCACCCCCCCCCAATATTTTATTCAAGTTGGCACCCCTGGCACTTGGAAACTTGTGGGAAAGTGGAGGTTGGGAGATAAATCCCTAAAAAGGAAAGAAATCCATGAATATAGTATGCTACATTTGTGACATTGTTTATTCCAGTTCCTACTGGACGACACTCGTGGACATGGTGCAGTAGCGTATAAAAAGCTGGAAATCATGGAAAGTTCCAAGCCAGCATGGATTCATATATGAATGTTTCCTCATTTAAGAAACCCCATGCATGGGGGGTGGGGGAGGCATGTTAGAAAGGTGTGACAAGAATGGTATCTCAAATACAGCAGTTGCTAGTTATTGTTTTTGCAATGTTTTAAATAGCTATTTTTAACTGTTTTTACTGGTAATTCCGTTGTTTTATTCTTTTTATAAACAATTTTGAAGGTGTATTTTTTTTCTTACAATCAAGGTATAATTTTTTTATTAAATAAATAACATTACAGATTTTAGGCAGGAACCACTCGAACGTGATTCCTCATCCTACAGTCTGAAGCTATATGGTCAAGTTAAGAATTGCATCGAATGTTTCTGATTATGTAGCTCAGTACTCTGATTCTCATGAAGATGGAAGCTTTCTATGCTTCTCTTAGGTGGCTGTTGTACTGTGAGATTGTGTTGCTGGCAACCCCTTCCTATACTTCAGGTTATTGACCACTAACTAAATCATGTGCCCTCCTTGCACATTAGGCAGGAATATCAGCCTGAAGCCGTCTTTCTGGCCTGCATACATTCGCCGAACCATCTGTACACTCCCTGCATATGTATACAAACTTTTTATGTGTGGCCAGGGATCCTAGGCACACATAGTTAGGTAGCTCATCAAAATTAAGTTTCATTTCATTCTGTACCTTAAAACATGCGGAAGTCACCTAGGATTATTTTTTTACATGTATAATAATTTTAAATTAGCAGCAATCTTTCATGCACTGTGTCAATGTCAAAAGGAAAAGGACTTCCAGCACAGATTCATTATTAGGAAAGCAAAATGATGGACAAATGGCAATACTCTGCCAGGAAGGAAAGAGCAATCAAGAGCTGCCAAATGAGAGAGGGAAAGAACAATCAAATGCAAATTGCATCAGGCATGTTTTAATCTATTATTGATGCTGCAATTGATTAAAAAGCCAAATTAATCAATTCATTATTTCAGCTCTAATTGTATCCACAGTCAAACCTCATTTGAGTAAATTAAAAGGCACATATTGGATGCAGTTTACAAGCTACTTTTTCTGGAATAGTCTATGCTGCTGTTCTGGATTATTCATTGCTCTCATTGTCTTCTTTTCAGAGACCTACGGATTCCCATCCATTGTCAATGGTTATTCAGTAAATGCAAATTGTCAAAAAAATATATAGATGTTTCCTTTTACATCCTATTCATAAACCCTGAGACATCAGTTACTTCACCGGCTTGAGAAGGATATATAAATCAACAGCTAAAGGGAATACTTTGCCATGGACTAATTGGGATTTTTGTCATACTAATTTGCATTTGCTTCATATTTGAAAGCATAAAACATACTGTATGTTCCTTCAAACTTAAGCTGATGCACACTTACCCAGAAGTCTCATTGTTTTTATTTTCTTTAGACAACAGTATTTTTTCATACTTTCTAATATTTGTATTGTTCCTTTTTATTTTATCTTAAAAAATACAATAAAGATCATATTGAAAAAGAAGTCTCACTTTGTTCAATGAGACTTACTTCCAAGTAAATGCGCACAGAACTGCAGCCTTATAATTATGTTAAAAATAATGCCACAAGTGGATGTAGCATTAGAACAGGGGTCTGGATGTGGCCAGCAGGCCATCTCCCCTTGCCCCTCCCCCATGGGCCAAGTTTGACAGGTGGATCCACCCGTCTAACAATCACTAGATGTCACTTTGCCTGTGAAGTGTGTACAACATTTGTCTGTTGCCAACCACCAGCTGGTGGGTGAGAGTGGGGAAGCCCTGTGCACAGGTCTATTTCATTCATTCATCCATCCATTTATTTATTTTAATAATTGACACACCACTTAACTGCAAAAGCAGTTTACAGAAATAAAAGAGAAGCAATACAAATAATCTGAAACTATAATAAATTTAAAATGCATGCTGGGATAAAAAAAAAGCCTGGAGTAGGCACCAGAGGTTCAGCAGGGAGGGGGCCTGTGTGATATTCAGTGCTGTGCTAGGAAGGGATTCCCCCTGTGCCAACAATTAGCTGATCATCGGTGTCTGCAACACACCTTAGTTGGATCAGGGCCACTACCTCCCTTGTTCCATGAATCCCAACGGCTGCCACCCTTCCTTGTAATTCAACACAACCATTGCCTCGGTTTTGCATACCAGAAGACCAGGAACTAACCTTTCTGAGTAAGCACACTTGGCACATCTCTGCTAACTCCCAAAGTGGTTGTGGGTTTGGTTTTTTTAAGATGGATTTTAATATAGACAATTGTCTGTAGACAGAATATTACAGCTGAGCAGCTGTACTGAAGGGGGAAGGATCTTGCCCTGAGCAGTACTTTGATGGGAAACCACCTGGGAATCCTGTGTAAGCCACTCTGAGATGCTTGGAGGAAAAGCGGAGTATAATAAAGTGGAAACATATAATGAAAGACCTGGTGCACTGAACCTAGGTGGCCCTGTTTTTATCGGTTTTGAAGCAAATGGATGCCACCCACAGAGAAGATAGTGGATCCTACATCCAAAGCAAACTCCCCCAGCTATGCGGAGCGTGTAAATAAATAAACAACCAAGCAGGCTGATAAGGACCTGTGCTAATCTGTTCCTAGGCCTTACAAAATACTGAGAACAACTGTTGAGGGTGTCAGTTTGGTACGGGGGAGAAGGGAAATTGAGCAAGAAGACTTATTTGGCCTGAGTTCCATTGTTGGAACTCCTATCAGTCCCAGCTAGCATGACCAATTGTTAGGGATTATTATTAAGATGGAGTCCAGCATCTGTAGAGCTGCATGTTCCCTGGTCCTGATGCACAGTATCCTGGAGATAGGAATTAGGAAGCTGAGGCTGTGTTCCATGGAGTTCAAAGCTGCCAACCCGCACTCTGGGAAGTTTCAGGAAGGAAGAAATATTTTATTTTCACACTCTTTGGAAGCTTTACCTTTATGTATCAATAATGTGTTTAGGTTCAGAGCTGGATGTCAGTGCTGAACCTGAGACCTTTGAGCATTATAAATAGCATGGGAAAAGGCTTCAGGCGGGCGGAGGGGGGAATAGCGTCTTAAGACTTTTCTCTTTTTTCTCTGTCCCTTCCTGCAAGCTCTGAACAGCATTACATGTCTTCTCTTCCAGCAGTGGGTGGAAGGACAGAAGCATTCCTGTCAGTCTGCAGATACAAGGCAACATTTTGTTGTACAGGGTGAGTCCTTTAAAAGAGGCCCCGTGGATACAGAGTACACATGTTCCATGGGGCCTCTTTTAAAAGACTCACCCTGTATGTTCCATTTCAAGTGTCCTTATTTCAACTTCAGGATTCAGTGTAAATATTTATGAAAGATGAAAAATTGAACTGACTCATTAAATATTAAGAGAGTTATGTGTTTGGAAAAGAACAAAAACAACAGCAACACCCAGATACCTGGCCATGTTATCTGTCTTTTGTGGAAAAACCAGTGAAGTGTCTTCTGGCACCTTAAAGACAAACACATTTCTTATGACGTAAGCCTTTGTGCACTACAGTCCATTTTCATCATATGCATGAAGTTTTATTCTGAGTTGTAAGTATATATACACTCTTTTGGGGGGAAGGGTATTGTAAAAAGTGAGGTCAGAGGGAAATGAAATGCAGAAAAGTACATTGAAAATTACATACTTAACAGCAATAATTCACAAAACAATTCTTGATGGCACAGACATCCTAGCATTGGTAAGCCAATTAATACATATAATGTGCTAAAAATCCTTTGGCTTGGTTCAATCCACAAGTGATAGCATTGAAATTCTTGATCTATTGTAATTCAGCAAGTCTCCCTTTGAACTTCATTTGTTCCATGGCTACATAGAGACTGGCCTGTTTGTCCTATGTTGAATGCCCAAGGGCATTACTGGCTGGTGATGCAGTAAATCACATTGGAAGATGAGCATGTGAATGAACCCTGCATGTTGTGGGTGGCAGTATTAGGTCCTGTAATAGTGTTGTCAAAGTAATTATGAGGACAAAGTTTGCATATAAGTCTGTCACAGCAGAATCTCTTTGCAAGGAAATGAAGGTAAAAAATCCACTATTGTCAGCATACTGCACGGACTATTGTGAGAGATCAACAGAATTTAGTTTTAGGGGGTTTAAAAGACAAAGGATTTTTATCAATTTCCATCATCCCTGGCCATGCTTGCTAGGGCCGATGAGAGTTCTAGTTCGGAAAGAGCTGGAGGGTCAAAGGTTACCACTCCTGCTCCAGAGCAAGGCTGAAATTAATGTTTTTAAATACAGTATGTGGTTTACTCAAGAGTATGGACTACAAGTCTGAGACCTAATCTTGATCAGATTCCAGTTGTACCTTGGAAGTCGAAAAGAATCTGCTTCCAAAGTCCGTTCAACTTCTGAAACATTCGACTTCCAAAGCGCGGCTTCCGAATGGTTGCAGGAAGCTCCTGCAACCAATTGGAAGTTGCAGAAACCCTGTTGGATGTTCAGCTTCTGAAAGAACATTAGAAAACCGGAACACTCACTTCTGGTTTTCGATTGTTCGGGAGCGGAGGTACGACTGTAATGAGGTATTTTAATGAAATCTAAACAGAGAGATACCTTAATGGGGGCCACTAGCCTTTGTCTGAGTCAGTTATCTGGAGTCTGAGTTATTATTTGTTGCTTTTCTGCAACAGATGGAGCAACATAAACTAAGTGTGGTGACTTTAAAGGCTGCTGCACAAGTTACATTTTAGGTGACAGTGATATGCATTTAGGATTACATCCTACTGAGTTCAATAGAATTTGTTTCAGAGTAATCATGTTTAGGACTGGGCTATATGACTGAAGTTGTATTTTTCCATTCTGAAAACTTAGCATCTATGTTCCAAAATGTGTAATACCTATAACATACTGCAGGGAAGTTCCAGTTGCCATCAATGTTCAGCGGCTTGTTTTCCTGATGCAATGTGTGTGCAAAGTCTTTTCGCTTATCAGCATGTAACCATCCAATGGTTCTCACCCATATGTGATTAGGAAAAAATTGTCCAGGGTGTAAGCTCCAGATAGAAATTAGTTCTGGCAAGTTTTATTTTAGAAACTGAGACTCTATGTGGGCAGTAGCCTTCTTCCACCTAACAAAACAATAGTAATAAATCCAAACCTATACCCTCTGCAATAACGGAAGTTCTAGATTGTTAGGGCTAGCATAAACAGAAAGTAGACTGGAAAAGGAAAATGTTCCCATGCATGTAATGCAAAACCTTGTCTCAAATGTTGAGTCATAGCTAAACTGGTTTAAGGGAGGTGGAGAACGCAGCTCCACTTTTCAAGGATCCCAAAGGGCTGTAAAAGGTAGGAACTGAAAACTGGAGGTGGAGTGTTAAAATGAGAGAAGAGGAAGAGAAAAAGGGTTGTTTAAAAACAAAACAAAAAACCCAGAACCAAATTAGGGGATGAAATTTAGGAGAAACTTGGCAATAAGAACATGTCTTTTACTGCATCAATAAGCAGTGCTTTTTTCCTGGGGGGTATGCAGGGGTACACATACCCCTAAATATTTTGTGAATCTAGGTTTGGCCTCATTGAGGGGCAGTATTTCAATATGAGTAAGAAAATAAGAGTACCCCAAAACATTATTTTTTTAAAAAAGCACTGTCAATAAGGCATCTTTTTAAGCATAGGAAGATACCATGGCCTTCAGAAAGGGTGAGTGGGGAAGGGCTGTAGCTCAGTGATAAGAGCACATGCAAAAGATGAAGGCGAGGGAAGATCCCAGCTGGAAACCCCAGAGAGCTGCTGCCAGTCTGTGTAAACAGCACTGGGGTAGAAAGGCTAATGGCCTGGGTTGGTACAAGGCAGCTTCCTATTTAAGACTTCTGGTTTCTCTTCAGACAAACATCTCAGTGCTCTGTTCCTGGAAGCCAACAAACTGGCTGTTTGTGCCCAAGGGAGAAGTGGGGCAGCAGAAAAGGTGAGTCGGGTGTTTCAAGAGCGCAGCGCCAGCGCCAGCAGCCTCGTGAAGGAGTTTCCTCACGGCAGTGCCGAGCCCAGCAAACCACTAAAAAGCAATCTGGGAAGGAGGACGCCCGGGTGAATCACTGCTTTCTCCTCTTTTGGCAGGGAAAAAGCCCCACAGCCCTTCGACAGGCTTTGCGAGTGCGACTGTCTGTTCCCTTTTTGCCCCATGGCAGAAAACCCTCCGCCTCGATATCCCCGGAGTCTCCTCGGTGCCTGCTTGTTGCTTCAGCCTGAGCTGTGCTCAGCGGCTTAAAAGGAAAGAGAAGCGACAGGGCCTGCACACCGCACTGGTTGGAATCCCTGCTCGTGTGAGGGCTGCGCCAGAGTCACGCACTCTCCACATGTGCAGAGGCGCTCCCACTATCCCTCGCCTGTCCCGACTGAAACCCGGCTCCTTTCGGAAGCTGAGCCCCGGCTGCGGTGATGCGAATATCACCACCCCATTTCCCCATCCCGCCGCTTTAAATGTGGCCAGCTCAGCCTCTCCTGTTGCTGCTGGGCAGGGCCTCCCTTCATCCCCACGACGACAGCGGGATAATTGGATCAGAAGCTCCCTCCCTCTCGGCCCGAGGCAGGAGGGTGGAGGGAGCTTTCTTTTTCTTGCCCAGCGAGCTCGCGCTCCTCGCTCGCTCGCTCGCCCGCAGCCCAGGCCTCTTTGCGCGGGAGTCGCGCCGCGCTCCCCTTCGGAGGTCTCCGCGGGGCTGCGTGGGTCCGCCTACCGCCCGGGAGGCGGGCCGGCCTCCCCCCTCCCCAAACGCTTCGCTGTCCGCTCGGCCGCTTGAAATAGGGGGAGGGGCGACGGAGCGAACGAGAGCGAGAGTTTGCGCCGCAGGAGAAGAGCGAGAGGCGGATTGATCCGGGCAGGGTGGGCTTGGCGAGGAACGTGCCCAGCCTTTCCCCCCTCGGACACTTCGCTGGTTGATCCCGGCGAGCCCCAGGACTCCTCTCCGAGCGGGAGTCTCCGGAGCAGCAACTTGGAGAGGTAAGTCTCCTAGTAACCTCCTCTCCCTGCGGGCTCCGTTCGGGGGCTGGACTACTCGCAGCGTCTCCAACAAGAGCCCATTCTTCTAGCAGGGAAAAGAAAGGGAGATTCTTTTTTGGGTCCCGTGTCCCCCCCCCCCCCAGTTTTGGGAGGGTGGGACCGAGGAGGTAAGTTCCTTTCTTGGAGCTGTTCCCGAGCAAGGAGCCACAGGATCCGTTCCCTTTTTTGCTGCGCTCGACCTCCTGCTCTGCGTCGTGGAAAAGGCGCTCCGAGCCCTTTCGCCTCGCCAGACAGAGAGCGATTGTCCTCCTCGAGGCAGCAGCTGCGGCAGCTTCGAGAAGGTAACGCAGCAGCGACTCTCGAGGGAGGGGGGAGGATAACTGAGTCGTCTTTATTTTCCTCTCAGGACGGCTGGCGGGCGCCCGGGGCTGCTTTCGCCCTCTTTCCACCGTCGTCGTCCTCGCTCCCCTCCTCCTCCTCCCCCCCAGTCAGGGCTGCTGCGCGTGCGGAGGCGGCGGGGCGCGAGCGCGCTTCGGGTCTCCCACGTTGCTCTCTGCGGACATTCTTTCCGCTGGATTGCGCGGGGGCAGGTAGGTCGTAGCCTCTGTCCGGGGCGAAACTGCCGCTGCCGCACCCACTTCCAAGATCTCTCCGGTGAAGGAGAGTCGGAATGGGGGGCGGGGAGGCATGGGTTTCTTATAACGGGTGGGAGGGACAGACGCGCTCGCCAACTTCTTCAGTTTTAAACATTAGGAACTAAGGATTTGGCAGCGTTCTGAACAGGTTTGTTTCATACTTGTGCTCCTCTCCCTTCTCCTCCCCCCCTTTCCTGTCATCGCCAAGGCCGATAACTTTCGGGTGGGAACCCCTCTGCTAGGGAGCACCCTCGTCTGATTGGTGCGGAACTGGGCTCGGGCGCGGGAGATAAGATGACAGAGCTCCTTTGTGAAGGAGGATCTGGTGCGAGCTGCTTCCCACAATGAAACTGGAAGCCACGGGCCTTGCAGGGGAGTTTAGCAAGAGGGGCTGCCAAAGAGAGTAAAAGCCACTAGGATCCTTTCCTCCACACTTATCATTCCCCCCTCCGCCATCTACAACTTGATGTTTGAAGGTCTGGGTAAAAATGCTTCTGCTTAGCCACCAAAATGAAATTTCCTCCAGCAGGAGATGGCTGAATATTACAGTTCTGGGCCGATCGGAATTCAATTTGTTTAAAAGGTGGGGTGCCAAATAAGAGTATAACACACAATTGCTGATATCAAACTAAGTCATACTCTGAGTAGAGCATTTATATTATATTATTGGCTAGCTTATACTGTAGTCTAAAATTTAGTTGTTTGTAATATATAGATTGGATTTTTAAACTAATTTAGTATTTAAAGCTTTGGGAATTCCGACTGGAAAGAAGGGGTGGGACAGTTTCAAGCTGTATAGCTTGTATACTACAGAATTAAAATGGAAGTAGCAAGCATTGCCAGCAGAAGGTGAGATGCAAACAGCTGCAGTATTACTGCAGTTTTGTGCTGGGAGGAAAAAGTGGAAGGGAAGGTCCCCTTGTAGATGCTGAGGATATTATCTCTGTACAGTTGAGTGGCATTTTGTTGACGACTGAGGTATGGACATGCAGACACCAGGGGTTGCTCTCTGAACCTGTGTGATCTTGTTACCTGGCTCCACATATATTTTTATTTTGGGTAACTGTCTATGAAGGAAAGAAGCTAATATGCTGTGCTGATATTCTTGTACAGGGAACTTAATACTGGATTTCTGTTGTAGCAAGAGAGAAAAGACCATCTGTGGTTTGTCCTTTCTTGGTCATGGAAGAGGTCAGAAGCTCCTCAAAGTAAATGTCAGAGGAGCTTTGCAAGCTGTACAAACCGTGAACCAGTATAACAGCTTTCTGTGCCAGCTAAATTTTCCCTACTTGTTGCACTTAACACGATCTATTTATTTGAAGGGCTGGTCAAAAGGAGGAGGGAGAAAGCCACATGCAGCTTCAAATTTGCCCTTCTGGATTTCTCATACAACAGATGGCTTCCAAAAATCACAAATACCAGGGACAGTAAAGTCAGCCATGATCCTATTTGCATGGAAATGTGTGAGATTTTTACCGATGGTTAATGATATAACTCTCAAATGCCTCCCATAGTATTAAAGAGTTAAAACCTTGCTTTAAAAGCCGTATGTTCATTCCACTAAACTTTACCTTGAATAACATTAAGAGGATTTGCAATTATGAAGCAGAGCGTTAAACAAATGCTGGATAGAACTGACTGTTTCTAGGTGTGAGCCGATTGCTAGGTGGAGCAAGAATGGAATTTCTGCTACTGCATTACAGAGTTAGATGCATTGTGGCTCAGGGGAGGTTTGTTTTGCCTCTGGGTCTTCTGACAGTTCTGGCTGTTGAAGAAACTTAAGGGCTGCTTAAGTTGACACACATAGTCGCAAGTTAGGAAGTAGAAATGTGTGAAATGCACCATAACTGTCTGCTCTGCCATCAGTTTTGGCTATTTTATTTTTTGAAATAGCCTTCTTCATACAAAATAATCCCTTCAGCATGCCAAACACAAGTGAGCCTTGCTGCTTCACAAACCACTTTGATGTCTGCTAGGTGTAGGACCCCAGGTACTGTGAGGTATAAGATTGCTCCTCTGTTTCCACCAGCTTGACTTCTACTCTCTGCAGAACCATGTTGCTGCTTGCCAGTGTATGGGGGAAACTAGAATAGGCGCACAAACTTTGTGGATTGTAGGACGCTACAAAGTTAACTAGTAGTTTGTCTCTGTTCCTTACACCTTAACTGCAATACTTCTTCAATATAAATTGATGTAATAAACTCATCCTGGAAACAACTGGAATAAAGGAAAATGAGACAACTATACTAGGCTATTTCCAGAGGCACAAGGTAGCTTTTGGCATGATAAACTGTGATACTCAGTTCTAGGTCAGTCTTTGGTGCTTCTTTGCACTGTTAGCATATGTAATCAAGTAACTGATATCTTAAAACTTTGCATGTTTGGGGCCTCCTGCTCAAACAGACACCAACCACTGGTTTTATCACTTAGCATCACCCCAGCAGATCTGTAAATCTTTAAAGTACAGTGGTGCCCCGCAAGACGAATGCCTCGCAAGACGGAAAACTCGCTAGACGAAAGAGTTTTCCGTTTTGGAGGTGCCTCGCAAAACGAATCTGCTATGGGCTTGCTTCGCAAGACGAAAATGTCTTGCGAGTTCCTGGGTTTTTTTTTCCCTTTTCCCCCTCTTTTTCTAAGTCGCTAAGCCGCTTATCTGCTTATCCGATAAGCTGATAAGCTGCTAAAAGCCGCTAAAAGCCACTAATAGCGCTAATCCGCTAATCCGTCAATGGGCTTGCTTCGCAAGACGAAAAAACCGCTAGACGAAGAGACTCCCAGAACGGATTCTTTTCGTCTTGCGAGGCACCACTGTAGGCTGAATACACCATTCTAAAGCAGATCTTTCCTCTTATCCTCCTGTCAGGGGACCTAACATTTTAGGCCCATTTACCAGGTTAAATTGAAATAAGGGTTGAATTCCTTATCTTCATATGCCAACTTGAAACATAGTTTGATTAGCTGAAGAAAAACATCCCGGCGGAGGGCACGTTTCACTGCCTTGTATAGCAAATGGGTCAGTTCCTGACCTGGGAGACCATGGAAGCCCTAGAAGCTCAAAAAGAAGTCATAACATGTATAGCGGCATTTAGGAATGGAGCATGTATGTGTAGTGATGAGTTTAAGATAAAGAGGCATTATCTTTTGCAAGTTACTATGCATGTATTTGTTTATTATTTGTGCCCTGCTCTTCACTGAATGGTCCCAGGGTGAGTTACAAAAATAACACAGTTAAAACAGGGACAAATATATATTAAAACCAGAAAATAAAACAACAAACTAGCCAATGACAAAGTGAACAAAACAGCACAGAATAGTAATGAAGGAGGAGGAAAAGCACCTACCCAAAAAACACCCTATTTACAGAGGGGTGACCCCCAATAAGGAGCTTCCTGATGCTGCAATATGCCCCTTGTGGGGGGTTGTCATCCCACAACCAGGACATCTTCTGGACCAAAGCTGCCATATTGTGCATTTGTGTGCATTTCATAGCTTATGCTGTGCTTATGCAGTACATACTTTGTGCACTGGGTATCCCAAGTACGAAAGTAATCAACTGCTTGATCTGTGTGTCAATAGTGAGAAACGTAAGTGTGGCCTGTACTGATTAATATATTTGAAGGAAACTGTGACTAATCTATCCTGTTTTAGTACAGTATTGTAAATCTGTTCTGCTTTAGCATTGTAAATGTGTATCCTTATGCCATTCCTCCTCTCTCTACCGAACTCCTTTCCTAAAAGACTTTTTCTCGCTGGAGAAGATAAGCTTACCTTATCCATTCCTGCTGAATGGAGTGCTCTATTACCCATTTGGAATGGTGGCTTTTGGCTTCAGTGAGTGGGCAAGGGAAGCTGCCCCAGGGAAGCTGTTGGAATGCTAGTAATAGGAGGGTGGTTCTCGGCCTTACTGCCACCCAATTATTTTATATGATTTGCGCTGTATTTGTGATGCTCTATTGTTTTATTTTGTTAGTGTTATTTATCATTTGCAAGCCCCTTTGCAGTTCATTTGAATGAAATGTGGCATAGAAAAATAATAAATCAAATCAATCAAATCCTGGCCACTACTGCCTACAAAAAAATCACATTCAGCATGGTAGGGTGATGACACTGGACTATTCTACAGGGACACATTTGGCAAGTTAGCGTAGCCCATGCTCTCTCAGCCATATTTCCACATTATTATATAGGTATAATAATGATACTCTATACCAGCAACACATTGCAAACTTGTGGGATCACTTTTCTTTGGTATGAGGTTAAGAGTTGAAAGATCATGAACTCTGTCTTTATTGCTACATTTTTGTTTTTAGTAGACATATTAGTGCCTGTTCACAGCCACACAAAAATCCTGAATGATAATAATGTGGGACAGCAGTCACTTCTCCACCAGGAAAGACAAAAAAAGGGCTTAATTAAAATTGAATCAGGAAGTTCCTTCTCCAGACTTCTCTTTGTTGAACTGAGTAGCTCTGCTTCTTTGAATATCAGTCATTGTTATTATTTCATTCATTGCTTGCAAACACTGAAATGTGGGAGCAAACCTGACTAAAGCAGCTGACTAAACAAGTGCTTTATTTTTTAGCAGGATAGCTGGGGATTATGGTCCATTTGTGAGGTGCTGCTTCGCTTGTGAATTGTACCTCAGATGCTCCAGGCTAAACATGTAGTGTAAGATGAACCAAGGCGCTAGCCTCATTCTGCAAATATGCTGTGATTTTTTTTCCATTAAAAAAAACTTTGGGGCGCTTTAAATAAAACTGAACTGATCGGTGCTGCCTGTCATTAAAACAACATTCTTCTAGACTTGAACTAAACATGCCCAAGGCACTAATTGCATTACTTCCAACTTCCTGATGAATTCTAGAGGTAGCCTGCCTAGTATTCTCCATGCTGGGTTTGTTCATACAACACCTGGAGACATATTCTTCCTGCATAACAAAAACATTTCAGCATTTAGACAGAGATGGATGTTGGAAGGCAAGAAAACTCAAGCTCTTTCTGACCAGGATCTGACATTAATATGTTAGCAACATAATATGATAGTACAGTATTAGTGTATGTCTTCTGTAGAGATGGATATGTATCAGTTGGGTAAAAGCTGAAGTACAAAGTCAGCTATTGGGAATCATACAGAACAGCAAAGATGTCTTAGGGCAGCAGCTATTACTTTGTTTACAAAGCTTTATAGAGGCTTCAGTAAAATCCACCTTAAAGGTGAAGGCCTTGCTATAACTATATGGGAAAGCTTAAACAGTGTTCTGTCCTATGGAACTCAGTTGAATTGCTCATACTGATGTTCTTATTGCCTGCTGCTAACCTTTAATGCTTGAAAATCCATAACAACTTTCTGTAGGTATATTTATAATGGTATAAATAACTAGACATAGTCGCTGCTTCATTCAAGAGCAAAATGTTGAGTTGAATGAGGTGACTAGTGAATTTATACAGGATTTTCATTCTTCTGTTTGATTCTTAAACTGCATTCTCAGTTATACATTGTGTGGGTTGAGCTTCGTAGATTATCAGTTAAAAAACCTATTCTGTTTTCCAAAGAAAGGTATTACTGAGATGCTGTATTGTGGGATTCCAGATCCTGAGACTGGATATTCTGTGAAATACTTTTAATTTCTTTTTGGGGGACAGAAAATAAAGAATTTCAAATTTAGACTGAACTGGAACAGATACGCTTGTTGCTTATACAGTTGAGAAGCTTGCTTCTTAAGTGGCTGTACTTCCTTTAAAACCAAGATGAGCACTCTGTGGTCCTCCTGATGATATTGGACTCCATCCCCCAACATGCCTGACTATGGGCCATGCTGGCTGGTGGGAACTGTGGTTCAACAACATCTGGAGGGCCACAGGTTCCCCATCGCTGCTGTAAAACAAGGATGGCCAGCTGGTGACCTGTGAGTGATCTCCAGTCCTGAAATTAACTTTTTTTCAGGCCCCTATTAAATTTCAATCATAATAATAGTAACATATTTTCTAAAGTTTTCCTTTTGAAAAGGAAACAGTTTTCAAAAGTTGCAAGATGTCATACTGCTATAAATACAAAAGCTAAAGAGAGATGCAGTTCTCGGCCATGTGCGCTATGACTTTGGAGCCCTTACTGTTAGATGATGCCAACTATGTTGCAGGACCTGAATGCAGTGGTTCCTCTGGATGCGAGCAGGATCCGTTCCGGAGCCCTGTTCGCATCCAGAAGCGAATGCAACCTGCGCGGGTCGCGATTTGCTGCTTCTGCGCATGCGCATGATGTCATTTTGACCATCTGCGCATTCACGAGCGGCGAAACCTGGAAGTAACACGCTCCGTTACTTCCGGGTCGCCGCAGCGCGCAACCCGAAAATACTTATCCCGAAGCTGCTTCAACCCGAGGTATGACTATACTGATAAAATGTTCAGACTAACCTGCCAAATAAATTTCGGGCCCCAGCCCACCATCTGGAAAGTATAGTGACTCCTGAGACTATAGAAGTTGGCCTTCCCTTCTCTAACCTTTACACTGACATTACATGGGTATGGATTGCTATATGTGGTGTAAAGAAGGGAGAGGTCAGAATACTGGCAAGCTGCCCACATCTCTCTCTAGTCATCTGTGTCAGCACTTGCCTCGCATAATCCACAGCCTTCAAAAGAGGTAGCTGAACACAGTATTGACCACACAATGCCTCCTACACAGTAGTTTCTAGTCAATTACAGGGCCAGTTTCTGCTTGCTAGTACTGAGCTGTCATATCAGTAGACTAGCATAGGGTAGGTTTAAATCACTGACATCAGAACTATACTAGAAAATATATGGGATTGACTTAAAAAGTGTTTTTCTTTTTATTTACAATGTTGTAGTGTTCACTGTTGCTTCTGTAATGTGCCTTGATGATGCAAATGAACTGCTCTGATCGGTTGGTAACCTTTTACGTAACTAACTTTATCACAAGTTAAGACAAGTTCTGTGTTCTACAAGGTCTGAAAAAGCCATTCTGGGAATAGGCTTGGTAAATATCTTAAGGTCACACAAAAATGAGAATGTAAGAAAGGTTGTCTATCATCTATCTATCTATATCTATCTTCTGTTTTCAGATGCCCTCTAGCAGATAATAAGCCTAGGGCAGGGGGTCAGCAAACTTTTTCAGCAGGGGGCTGGTCCACTGTCCCTCAGACCTTGTGGGGGGCTGGACTATATTTTGGAGAGGAAAAAATGAACGAATTTCTATGCCCCACAAATAACCCAGAGATGCATTTTAAATAAAAGCACACAGTCTACTCATGTAAAAACACACTGATCCGCGGGCCAGATTTAGAAGGCGATTGGGCCGGATCCGGCCCCTGGGCCTTAGTTTGCCTACCCATGGCCTAGGGTTAAACTCCTTAACTGATTTGTTGTGTATCACCTAGGGCTGTAGAGATTGATGGGATTTGCTACTTTTCATTTTTTTTTTTTTTAAGAATATTTATTCCAATTTTAAAATTACAGAAAAAGAAAAAAGTAGAAAAAGAAAAACAAATCACATACATCTTATACAAAAAACGAACAGTACAAAGAAAAATACCATAAACAAAAAATCACAATAAAAAAGTAACAAAAAATCAAATTAAACCTTTAGAGCCGTTTTCCCATTTACTTATTTCCGTGACTTCCTCTCACCTCTCTGCTCTGTACTCCAATTTGAATCGTATCTCCAGCAAATCCTTCTAACCTTCTTTTCATTTACTTATTTTAACATTCGAAAGTATTTAATTCTCCTCTATCTTTATTTTACACTTCATATTTACTTATTCCATTATACTCTGTCTGCCAATACGGTCTAATATTCTTCTCCAACCTTTTCTAACATTCTTTTATATTACAGTATTTCTGAAGATATATTTTAAATTTTTTCCAATCTTCTTCCATCGACCCTTCTTCCTGAGGGATTTGCTACTTTTCAGGCCACTTAGTGTTTGTCCCATCCAGCAGTTTACCTTGGTAATCCTCAAAATAAACCTGGCAGGCCAGTATTACTCTGCTCCCATATTAGAAACGGGTGAGAAACATGAAACTGAGAGAGAAGCTCTTACTAAGGCCAAGCAGTGAATTAATAGTGGGGCTGAGCATTGGACTAGAGATCAAGCTCATTGCGTATGCTCTTAACCTTGCACAGTGTAAAAGTGTGTGCCTCAGCATGTCTGATACTGGTTCTAAGGCATGTCTGCACACTCATTGGTTCTCTGGTTTCAGAGCATCTCTTCCTTAGTTCCTGATGTGTTTGGATTTGCCCTAAGCTTGACTTGAATAATCAATCATATGGTTAATGTTAGATTTTTGAGAAGGTCCACTGTCATAACAAGTCACTTATATAGCTGTTTATAGCAGAAGAGCCTGACATATCAGACCCCCAATATTGTATATCTGAAGTCCATAGTGGAAAATGTTTTGTTTAATCACAAGTGTTTATAGCCCAATGGTAGCTGCTTTTTCTTTAACCATTGCATCAAACAGCCTTTTGCCAATGCCCACTCCTTCCTCTCTCCACTCCCCAGTAAGATTGAATGAAAACCGAGGGACATAAAGATGGTGTTTCGAAGTGGTTTCGTCAGCTTTGATGTGCATTGTAGCCACCATGACCTATTTCAAAATTAAACATTGATTGATCCTGGTTTAAACAGGTTTTGCTTCAGGTTTAAGTGTACTTGTTTGGCTACAATTGGAATCCTACAAAAAATAAAGTTTTATTGGTGAATCTTAACAGTTGAATTACCAGCTCTAGAGGAATGCATAGCATGCAGTTTGTCTAGTCTCCTCTCACCCTGATCAACTTTTTAAAGTGGTTAACTATCAAGTGGACTTTGCTCAAAGTCTAAACTAATTTCTTCTATGATGCTCCTGCCCATTTTGTTGCACACACTTCTTGTGAGCTTGTCTTTTTACTGCCTGTGCTTGGGAGTAGGGACTGCGAAACAACAGTGCAACCCAACATTGGCATTGTTGAGCTTAGAGGAGGAGTTCTTTCTATATACCTTGATAAAGAGTAGGAAGTAATCTGCAGTACAAGGTGGCATGGCAAACATCTAAGGGAAAGCATACACCTGTGTTTTCAAGTTGTTTCTGTTTTTGTCCCCAGCCTTTTCCCCTTTATCAGTGTGTGTTCTCTTCTTTACTGCTCAGGATTTCTTCAAATGACTAGTTTTTCTAGGCTGAAGTCCTTGGCAGATGTCTACACCTGGATAAGGCAATTGCTGAAGGCTATGGGTGGTTCTACTAAATCACGTGACCTGCTATGTATAACTTTATACAGAAATTGCTCTCTGTATATTTGCTGTGTGCTTTTGCCAACATCTAAATGGAGTTAGTTGTGGTGGAGAACAGTGATCCCAAACTGGAAGCATCTTGATAAGTCTCGCCTGTGCTTATAATATGTCTGACAGAGGGCTGCAGAGATAGTATCTGAAACAGAAAACCTGGGATTAAAAGACTCTAATTTTACAGAATGCAGACTAGGGCTCTTCTTCTGGAGTGAGATCATGATTCTCCATGTAGAAATGGGCAGGGTGTGCGAGGGTGTATGGAGAGAAACAATTTGCCAGCAATACTAACTGGGTGAAGAAACAGTCTGAGGAATGTGCCTATACGGTGGTAATTACATTCTCAGAAACCAGCTATCAGTCTAAAGGGTTTGGGTTGTAAACCCGGCTAATGCTAGCAACATCCTTCCACTTGAGCCCATGAGCTCAGCGCTTTTCAGAAAATGTCAATACAGTGATGACAATTTAATGCATATAGTGCAAACTTTGTTTTGCAGTTCTAGAATATTGTGACAGAAGCTGCATGGCCAAGAAGGGAGTATATTTCCCACACCAAGATTCTATTTTTCGTATAACACTATCTTCTGTTAAAAATTAATGTAAATATTTGTAATAAAACAAAGTAATGAGGAGGAAGCATTATTTTGCACAGTATTGTGTGCATTACGCAGGCACAATTACTACTGGAACCAAGTGGAAATCAGCAGTGGACCAGTTTTAAGAATTGCCAGCCAACTTCCTTTTTTCCAACAGGGATGTACCACAGTTAGCTCCTCATGCCCATTGTTTTGAAAGGGACATTGGAACAGTGTCTTGTTGGGGGGAAATAACACAGTTGCATCCTGCATTCCTAAACATTAAAGCTTTGGCAATGTGGCGAGGAACATAATTGTGCTATAATGTCATATTGTTTCTGTGAGCTGTTGTATGGCTTCAAACAGTCTTTTTTCAATATGTGAAAAAAATAAATTGGCACGTCTGGAAAAACTGTCTAGCTTAACTTTCTCAGATGGTCACTTTTAAGTTGGTTTTGTTTTTGTTTTAAATGGGGGAAGAGTCAGGCAAGCACATCCCACATGCAGCTTGAAGTGGTCCAGAACCCCTTGGTTCTGCTGATCGGCATGAGAGGGTAAATAGATAACGTTATTAGATCAGACTCTGGTTTTATGATGTGCCAAACCTTTAAAGCAGCTGTGGTTGATGGGAGTTGGAGAGCACCAAACATTTGGAAGGCACCAAGTCAGCAAAGGCTGTTCTAAAGCAAAATTCCCATGTGAAGCATGGGCTAAGCAGATCTGGTTGGTGGCATCTCACTCTAGCCCAGGACAGATCATAAGGAAGAAAGTGGCATCATACGTGGTTAGAGGCATAGACTGCAGAGGAGTGAAAAGCTGTTACTGGCAACTTCTCAATCAGTAGGAAGATCCAGATATAAAACATACAGAGATAATAATAATAATAATAATTTATTATTTATACCCCGCCCATCTGGCTGAGTTTCCCCAGCCACTCTGAGCGGCTTCCAATCAAGTGTTAAAAACAATATAGCATTAAATATTAAAAACTTCCCTAAACAGGGCTGCCTTCAGATGTCTTTTAAAGATGTCCATGTTGCACAGCTGGAAAGTTGAAAGCTTTAGGACCTAATGGGGGGAAAGTACAGTGAGTTGGAAGGGCACCTCCAGAGGCTCACAGAGGCTACGCTTTGAAAGACAGCCATCATTATACTTTTTAGAATGTAGCTCTAAGTACTGTACTTGGGATTTTCAGAGTAGTTACTTCCATTCCACTGGCACTAACCATCCTTCGAATGTTGTTTCTATTTGAGGACTAAATGGTACATTTTGTTTAATGTTGAGAGAGCTGATAAATCAGTTAAATCTGCGCTCCTTTCCATGCTGAGGGAAATGTCGTCATCAATGTTGTTGTTTTTCATAATTTACCATTTATTAAGGAAAATAATAAAACACAGCAAATTAGTAACTATTTGTTATGAATCATGCCAACTTTTGTAAATCAATGCTCATAAAAACGTTCTGGTAACATGTCTGAGCATATATAAGTTCATAGGTTTTTAACTCCATTCTGTACTTTCACTTTCAACAAATTTGAATCAATATCTTAACATCTATTCTTTCTTTCTTTTTTTTAAAAAAATTATTAAAGTTTTCTTGGTTTACAAAGGTATGCACAATGTTTCTTTTTTCAAGTTACATTTTCCATAGGTCAGTTTCATCTGTTGAGACATTAGGGTTACATTAGGAAGAAAGGGGGGGAGAGATGGAGGGGGCAAAGGCGAGTGGGGGTGGGGTCGGGAGGCAATGTTTCTATTTTACTTAATGTATGTGATGGGTTGTGTGTCAGCGTCGCTTGTGCGGGTTCTCTTTACTATTCGCTTGTGTTTCCTTGCTGGTGAGAGAGGTTGGGGTTGGCCTCGGGTGTGGTTCCTTGTTTGTGATTGGCTGTGCTGAACTTTGTTTTCATGTGTGAGTGGGGTGGGTAGGTGTTTTTTTGAATCAGGTTAGCCGTATTGATTCGTATGCTGTTGGTGGATTCTTGTCGTTGTCTTGTTGGGCTGTGTATGTGATAAAGGGGAGCCATACCGGGGTGAAGGTATCTTCTTCTATTTGTCCGCTTGTCAGTTTCAGGTTTTTCATGGATGGTGGGCCCTCCCGACTCAACTCTTCCATCTGCTGTTCCCAGGCATGTCTCTCCCCGCACTCCTTTTCCCCTCCCCAACCAAAGAGGCCTCTAAATTCTGCAGAATAGACTGGTGTACAGCTGTTGGTCTCTAGGGTTCTACTTCTGGATGGCTCTGAACTTTGCCTTTCATGTTGTTTTGGATTTTCTTCTTGGAGGAAGTAATTGAGTAAACTAGTTAATAGCAGCAGAAGTGTGAACAATGAATCTCTCCATCATCAAAGCAGAGGAACTGATTACAACGAGTAACAGAAAAATGGAGTTAGAGTAAATACCCCCCCTTTCCTTTCCTTTTGCTCCATTTTGTAATAGCTACACCCCTTCATATTAATGAATCCCAATAAATGTATCTTTGTCTTCACAAAGTTTTTTTTAAGAGTTTTGTTCTGATATAATAGCTTGGAAGTCCCCCCCTCCAAAATACAGTGGGTACCTTGGGTTACATAACGCTTCAGGTTACATACGCTTCAGGTTACAGACTCCGCTAACCCAGAAATAGTACCTCAGGTTAAGAACTTTGCTTCAAGATGAGAACAGAAATTGTGCTCCGGTGGCGCAGCGGCAGCAGGAGGCTCCATTAGCTAAAGTGGTGCTTCAGATTAAGAACAGTTTCAGGTTAAGAACGGACCTCCGGAATGAATTAAGTACTTAACCCCAGGTACCACTGTATAGGGATTATTATATCAGGCAGTGTTCACCTGGCTGGTGCTTTGAAGTGCTGGAACACATTCAGTTGTTCCCTGAGTACATCGGGCACAACTAAAGAGTAAAAATGTATGTTCTGTATGTTAATAATAATAAACAGAGTTGTCTGGTAGTCTGACTGGGAAACTTGCTTGGGTACATGCCTGAAGCAAATATTGAGTGCTACTAAACCTAGAGCAATTTCTACATTATGGAAATAGGTAAAAAAAAAATAATCCTCTGCACTGAAAAGAACCACGAATCTTCACAGTGAAACAAGTCATCAAACTCCAAACTGTAAATAGGACTTGGTGGCCAATATTCTCTCTTTTTTTTTTTTTTGCAGTGATTCCTAGTGTAAATAAAACACATTAAATATAGTTCCACAAACTATTTTAAGTCTGTAAATATGTTAAAAATGAAATATCCATTTGCAATGGGTTGAAAATTATAAATTTTGCCCCATGGTTTGGTGTTTTGTTTTTTGGTTAATGCACAATTTTTCTGCTCTACTTGGCTCCTCTTGTTCCGTGGCTAGGGCACAGTACACAGATTGTGTCATCATTGTTCATAAAAGCACTTGTAATCAATGAGAATGCCATGGCAAATAACAGGAATTCTAAGGGAAACATGAGGAATACATGCAGCTTTTGCTATTTATCCAGTTATGTCTTTGGTTCAGTTGTTTTAGGAAGAGGTTGAAGAATGTATGAATCATTTGCAATTTATCAATTAAAGCCTCAATGTGTTTGTGTTTGTTGTGCTACAGTAGCTTTTCCCCAACCCAGTGCCCAGTAGTCAAAAATATCTGGAAGGCACCAGATTGGGGGAGGCTGCATTATAACAAGAAAGGTTTAAATATTGGGGAAACTATCTGACTCTGATGTAAGCTGCCAAATAGGAAAGCAGGACAGCCAAGCTCTTCGAGGCTTGTCTAGAAATGAATGGATCCTGTCCTCTGAGGGATGGTTTGGGAATGAACTCACTCCTCCTACAACATAGAGACGGGAGGGAGCAGATTGGTTAAATTTATTGAGCTGGAAGTGATCTGGCTTTCGTAAGTAAGTTGACATTGAGGTTAGAAATGTACATGACACAAATGGCAAAATGCTTTGAAAGTACTGAAGTACTGTAATACAGCTGATTCATCTGGAGATGAGTCAGGAGAAGTGATACCATTACATATTAAAGTTAAAAATACTCCACCTTCAGCTGATGAGGGTGGTAACAAGCAAATATTTAGCTGTGAGCACATATGCTATAAAATGGTACTATTTAGGTGCTTGGAGAAAGCTGAGGATTTATTCTCTCACCTATTTCTGCATTAATGAATTAATGGTGTCTTTTCCTTTAGATGTGGCACATTTGTTCACTTTCAGACATAATGAAAGAAAGGTAGAAGCTGGAGCGCTCTAATTTCTCAATTGAGCAATATCTATCTTGTCCCCCCCTTGGATTGAAGGCAAAATAAGATGTATGGTTGTCTGTAGAACTGCTGTGGACAGCATTCTGAATAAATTGGTGTCTGTTGGCAATACGAATTACAGTATCCTGAAACTAAGAAAATTATACGCTTAATGTTAGAGAAACATCTACGGAGTCATAGCTTTGGAGACAGGCTGGCTAAGCATATAAAGTCTAGTACAGATTTTTGAGGTACAGAAATATATTGGGCCCATATTACTGACTATCAGGAGCACAGAGGAGTGTTGAGTCTTTGATCTGGCAAGCTGGTCTGTTTACATTGGAGACATCCAATATAGTTCCATATGCAGTTATTAACTGCTGGGAGATTTAAGAAGCTGAGTGTCCTGAAATCCCTTAGGTTGATTCTTCTCTGCCTTGCTGTTTTGCTAAGGTTTCTGGTGTGGAAATGTCATCTGCTGCTTGGAAGATGTGTCACTTGTGGGACTGGAACACTTGTCTAAATCTTCTCTGAAACTGGATCAGGCATTTGAAATAGGCATAGATTCCAAGGGAGAGGCCGGGAAATGCTCGTTCCTGGCTGCTTTCTCAACCAGGTGACTCTTCCTTAGGGAGTGCCCCCTGGACAAGGAAAAACACCCATTGCACAAGTGTGCATGCATAGGATTTACTTGCTGCTGTTCAGCACAAGAGCAACAGCTCCTTTGTTGAATACTAGCTTATCAAGCTCCTCTTCAAAAAGAATACTGTGTTTAAAAGCTTTACTGTGCCATAGCTGCAGCCCTCGAAGTGAACTTTGGGTCACTCCAAAAATGTGAGTACTAGTGTTTCTTTATGTGTCATCTTAAAGGCCCAATGGATTAACTACAGGTGGCGGCAATGCAAATCTTAAATTTAATCTAAGCAGTACAGGTATTTCCTGTTGCTTTGCTTGTTTCTTTACTGAATGATGACATGTTTCTTGCTTTTTGTTTTCTTTGTTATTGGTGTCTGATTTGCATTGCGTGCAATGTACTTTTGTTGGTTTGCTTGATTATATTAAGTCTCAATAATACATTGTAAAATCTAAACTAAGATTATTTATAATTGAAGTTGATACAGAACAGCCTCTGCTCCTCACCACAAAGTTTGTCATTAGCTCTTGGTGGCTGTTGCTCAGTCACTTGTGCTCACATCCTGGCTAGTATTGTAAGCAGGTCTTATTGTGACACAAGGTGGCAGGGAAGATAGAGAACACAGCGGGGACCTGGAAAGGTTTCTTGTCTTGGAATCCACTTTCCCAGAGGTCTACTGAAAGCTGGCTTTATTCTTGTTTATTTGCAGAATAATTAATATTAATAGTATAATAATGACTGTGGGTAATGTGGTTTCAATGGAGTGATTGAGAAAATATTCCTGAAGTATGAAGAGAAAGTGAGTAATGAGTAGGTAGAGGGTCCTGCAGGTCCTAAGTAGAACCATGTCAGGCTGGATTCCTTACTCCAGTTTGGAAACACTGGAACATGAGATTATCCCAGTTGACAAACCTCATTGGACTTTGAGCCCCAAGTCCCGTAAAGATTACCTCTACTTGCTGATGTGCTGTATGTTTGGATGCAACATAGGGTAATAAAATACATTAGCTTTTATCTGGTCACAATAGGTTGGATACCCCATGGGCAGCTTGTCTATTGGTGTGTGCTGCTGCCAACCACAGAGGCACTGAGTGGTCCTCTTGGTGGAAAAGCTTCAGATGGTTGCACTTTTCTTAAACTTTTACTCAAGTGCCCAGGCACCACCTGGGTGTATTGAAGGGTGGTGCACAGGGAGAGGTTCTGTTTTCAGTAAACCTATACAGGTGGATAATTTATAGCCAGGCTTCCTGGAATGTGTGGGCATGTGACGACAGCAGTCCATATGTTTCAAAGCTATAGGTCAAATAATTCAAGTAATGAGGAATTCCCCCCCCACACTTAAATTCTGGCTTGTTCTGTGTTTGCCTCCCAACACAAACATTCTCAGCGTTAACTCTAGAAACTGAAGAACCAGATGCTTTAATTTGTTTGATTTGGCATCTTAAAGTCATTTAAATAACCCCTGAGCTGCAGATTCGGGACTATGTTTTTTGTGAATTTGGTGTTACAGAATGGTAGCTTGGACCTAGAGTTTGTACGTTCAAAAAACAAAAGAAACTCAGACAGGGAGAAAGTGCTTATAATTTGAGAGGGAGGAGGGTGTTGGAGGGGCACAATTACTATAGTTAGAGAAACTCAATCCACTGTAGAGGAGTTAACCTTTCCCAAACAAGTATATTTAAGTTCTTAAAGCAAAAACAAAAAGACTGGGCTACCCCATGGGTCACTCCTACTTGACTTCTTAATTATTACTTTCTGGGCTCTCCCTAGTTTAGCTCGCAAGGAATCAGCAGTTGTATAGATGTGTTTAATAACTTAAGTGGTCCCTGTATGAGCATCCCCACGTGGTGCTGTGCATAAGTCAATATATATTCTGCCTGCAGAAGTTTGCAGCATTGCTTGGGGCCCAGTCGGAGCAAATCCAGCTGGGTAAACTTCATTTCCTAGCCCTTCAGATAGAAGAAATCACTTGTTGACTCAAATTATGTGGAAGCTGAATTTTGATTGTCCAAAGGATATTTATTGTTCAGTGAGTGTTGTTTTTATTTAAAAATGAGATGCATCTTTGAAAACCATAAATAAACATAATTTTTATCTTGGCTGTAGGATGCCCAGAGGAGGAAGTCAGGCAGATTAATTGGGGCAGGTGGGAGAGCTGGGCTGTGGGCCAGTGCTGCCTGGACAGGGGATCCATGTTTGTGTTGGCTCCTTCCGGTTGGTGAGGAGCTGTTGCTTTGTACAGCTGTCCTGACTAGGCCTTTTCATACCACCCTGATACTTCTAAACTCTGGGGTAATATCTTTTTACAGTAGGACTTGGCATATTTCCAGTATGTTTGCTAGAGAGTGACACCTTGGATTGCAGGGGGTAGCTGCTCCTCTTGCTATATTTGAGAGTGCCCCTCCCTAGATTCTGCTGAAACTGAGAAGTACACTCTGGGTGAGAGGGTTTTCTTAGTTGTCAGATGCAGTAGCTGTATTTGAGTCAGGCCAGTGAGAATTGGCTACAAAGCTGCGTTGACTCCACTTTTTCCAGTGTACTAAGCAAGCACTTTAAGAACCTAGAGACGTCCCTTCCATCCCTTGGTATCTGGCAGCCTTGTGTTTGGGTATGTAAATCTGTAACGAAACTGGGACTCTTAAAACGTGTGTGAGGGAAAGTGAGCCTAGTTTGTTGGGACGGAGTCTTCGGGCTTGCTTGGTAGCTGATTTAACTTCCTTGGTGGTCAGGTGAGCTAGGGCTGTCAGAGTTTTCAGTACCTAAACCAGGAGCATGCATTTTAAAAACACTTTCCCACGTAACAGAAGAGGGCCGATGTGGCAACATAGCAGTGGCTTAATCTCCTTCTGTTTGGGTGCCAGTTTTTCTCTTAAGGATCTCTCGGAGCATTCAGTATCATGGAAACTATTGCCACAAGCGTTTGAAGGGAGGATGAAACCCAGTCCTTTGTGCCATGGGAGCTCTGCCTTGCCATGGGAGCAAGTTGGATACCTTTCCAGGGTGTGGGGCAGCTTTTTATAGCAAGGAATGTGCAAGAGGCAATGAGCAACAGTCAAGTGTGTCCATCAGTCATTAACCATGAGCTAACCTTTATAATGAGCTATGATAATGGAATTCTCCTGTCACCAAAACAGGCTGTGTAGGGTGCCTGGGAACCTCTATTTTTGCTGTATACAGTACATGCATGCCAGCTGAGACCACTGACACAGTCTTACTAGAATTGTAGTGGCTAGATAAGCATGTGTATATTGTCGAGTGAATATCTAGGAAAGTGAGACCGAGGAGGTGGTTTTAGGGTAGCATGACCAGTGCGCCAGAACAATGCTATAGGACAGAGCACAAGAGGTGGGGGTGCCAGGTGCCACTAAAATTTGAGAGCCCAAAGTCTGCCACTGGAGGCTGCTAGGGTGAAAAGTGAGCAAATGCACTACAGTGTAGCCACTCTTGTGGTGGTAAGATATAACTATGGTCTGCTTAAACCCAAGAGCTTAAGCGCTGACAATATTATTTTGTTCTGTTAAACAGCTTGGTAAGTTCTTTTCCTCCCAGAAAGGGAATAACCAAAAGTCCTTTGATAATACCGTAAGAATCAAGGCAGTCTGCAGAACCTTGGAGATTGACTGATGACATTAGCTTTTTGTAGGCAATGTAGTAATTTTGAATATTACATAGGGGCTTGGATGTACTGAAATGACACATCTAGTCCCTTAAAAATCTATATACAGTGTTCCTCAGTGGATTCAGCTGTTGCAGGAGCAGCTTCCAGATTTCTCCCCTGGGACAGATATCCCTTACCAGAGATGCCTCCCACACTCCTGACTGTGAACTGAATTGGAAAAGTAGGCAGCTGGGGTGAATGTACCTTTGTACACTTGGGCATGTCCCAGTCTGGCCCTAACCCAACTCCTCCCAGCATTATGGAAAAGACTTGTCCTGTAAGTACTTTGTGCTACTAGTGGTACTTGTATGTGAAGATTCCCCCACAAGGAACCAGAAGGCCTACCTCATTCTTGTCCCTGTAGATAGTGACCAACATTCCTATATAATGGGGCTAGCCTGTTTGGGTTTAGATGACACTCTACTTTTCAGTGTCTCATTGGAATTGCCATGTTCTGCTACATATACAGTTATTTTGCTTTTCTTCCCAGCTGCTCCAAAATCTGCAAAAATTCTCTGCTGCAAGGAAACCAGAGTGATGTCATCAGAAGATGATACTGGTGGGGAGGCACCCAGTGGCAGTTTCTGGGAGGTAAGAGAGGGCAAGATGGAAATAAAAGGGTTCACCTTTGTCTAGAGTCACATAGGATGTGCTAAGAAATACTACATCAACCTTGGTTTCAGTACCTCCTGGCAGAGAAGTACTGACAGCAAGCCTAGGACAAGTTGTCATTGGATGCCCCCTTTTTTAAATGGTTCCACGATCCTTAGTGCTGAATAATAATAATAATAATAGTCCCTGGAATGTGTACATAACAGACAAGCCAGTTACCGCCCCGCCTTGCTTGCTCCAGCTGAGAATTTGGGTGGGGTCCTGGGATGGGAGTGAACCTAGAGCTCAGAAGCCTTCAAAAGGCTTGCCTGTTCTGCCTAAAGATATATCTGAGATGTGTGCAAGAATGACTGATGGTGTTAATCTAATTTCAGCCTGGCAACTACAAGCGGACAGTGAAGCGAGTGGATGATGGCAGCCGGCTGTGTAACGACCTTGTCTCCTGCTTCCAGGAGAGAGCCAAAATTGAGAAGAGCTATGCACAGCAGCTAACAGACTGGTCCCGCAAATGGAGGACTGCTGTGGAGAAGGGTACAGTAGAGAAAGCACATCACTCAAGATGGAACTCCTGTCTCTTTAGGGAGGAGGAGGAGGGAAACCCCAACACTTTGAATTGGCTTGCCCCCTGAGCTAAGAGTTAATGAAGTAGAGGTGCTGACCTGGCAACCATGAGCAAGATAACATCGCATCTTGGGGTTAGGCAGGGAAAACAAAAGTTAATAAATTTGGAGAGGAATGTTTAAGGGGAGAGAGAGGACAGAAACCTTTCCAGATGTAGCAAGGATATAGTAAAGGATTAGATTTAGTTTGGAGTGTATTATGGGAAAAACTTTTTGGTTTTCATGTTTGTTCTTCTAAGTGTCAGTATAAACATTTTTCTAGTATTAAAGACATAACATTGTCTAATTGACATGTGGCCGGTATGCTCTATATTTCCCCCTTTTTTATTTACCTACCCAGCAAATATTTAACTATTTATTTGTTGGGTTATTGTGAGGTTAAAATATTTTTTTTAATGAAAGAAAATAAACGTGTTATTTGGTCCATTTTCCACTACTGTTGCTATGGCGGAATCTGCTCAAATTAATTATTGTACAAGAAATGGCTTTGTTAAAACAAGTAAAGTGTCCCTTTAGCTGTTGGACACTTGAGTTCAAACCTGTTTGATTGGCTGCATGACCCATGGAGCTGATCCCTGAAGGAGGCAACATTGCAAGCAACACCCCTTGTGCTGCTGTTCACAAGATACTTTGACAGGTGAGTGGGGCAGCTGCCTCACAGGTGGGTTGATCCACCCACCAGTCAAAAGTTGGCTTGCGGAATGGAGGCATGGATAACCATCTGACCTACTGGGCCAAAACAATTCCCCATCCCTCGTCTATAGGATAAATTCTGAGGGGAAGACAATTCTACTTTCATGGCTTTCAGCTACTGTCCCATTAACTAAGTACTAAGTGCCACACAGGTCAGAAGAATTCATCAGCCCACAGAATCTGGTCAACAGAAAGACTTCTAGGAGGAGCAGAGGAGCAAAAAATAACCTGGCACAGTGTACTGGGAAGGCTATGTGTGATGGTAACAAGTAGGCGATGAGAGACTTGGGTGCAGGTTGGAGGACTGCCAGTACAACTCTGGATGATCATTTCTTGGATTATAAAGATGGGGAGTCAATCAAGTCTTTATGCAACAGAGACTGAGCAGAAGTTTGTTGGCACACACTCTAGTTGCAGTTACCTAGGGTTGAGCTCAACAAACTTTCTGTAGGAGGCAAATGCACTGTCTCACACTACTATCAATATGTGTTCCTCCCACGCAGCTCTTTCTTTTTGAGCAGTAAATGTACTTTTGAGATAGATGACTTTGGTAACAAACAAAGCCTGGCTTCCAAACCTGGTTCCTTCTGTACTTGCATAATTACATTGCCATGTCATCTTTGTTGGTTCATCTAGGCCCTCAATATGGCACACTGGAAAAAGCCTGGCATGCATTCCTGACAGCTGCAGACAAACTTAGTGAGATCCATCTGGAAGTACGGAACCGCCTGGCTGCTGAAGACTCGGACAAGATTAAGGCCTGGCAGAAGGAAGCCTACCATAAACAGATGATTGGTGGCTTCAAGGAGACAAAGGAAGCAGAGGATGGATTCCGCAAGGCCCAGAAGCCCTGGGTGAAAAAATTGAAGGATGTGAGTAAGAAGTTGCAAGCAGGAGATGGGGGAATAAACAGAATATCAAACATCTCGATAAGCACCCTTGGAATTATTTGATTAATCAGCTTTATGGTCTGGGACTTAACAGATGGCAAAACAGCTCAGTCAGCCTATTGTCCAGCCTCATGTTGCTGGTCATAGGTTAGGCAGTGTTGAGATGTAAATTGTACTTTGCTGCGTTCCTGCCACTTCCTCTTGAATACAGCTGCTTGTCTCTGTATGTGATGGGAAATAACACTGCTGATACATTATTCCATATGACATCTCTGTTAGGTGGAAACTTCAAAAAAGAATTACCATAGTTCTCGTAAGGAGGAAAAGACGGCTCAGACACGCGAGAATCATGCCAAAGCCGATTCCTCTGTATCGCAGGAGCAGATGCGTAAACTGCAGGAGCGTGTCGAGAAGTGTGCTCAAGAAGCTGAGAAGGTAGGTAATGTTGGAAGGTGGTACTTTGGCCATTGACTCTCTTAAGATGAGGGAGAGTCCTAAAAGCAGGAACAAAAATCAGGGCCTTTTCTGTGGTGGTCCACCTGCCTGTGGAACAGTGCCAGGGAGTAGTTAGGCAAACTCTGTCACAGATCTCTCTTAAGAAGACTTTTCAAAGCTTTTTTAGAATGACCTTTAGAGATTGAAAGGCGATGGCAGCAATTGCTGGTTTTGTCTTATTTTCATGTTTGAATACAATGTGATTTTATAGTTGTATAATTGTTTTGTTTTGAAAAGCATTTTACTGTTTGTAAACTGCTTTGTTGGGTAACCAACCAGAAAAGTGGCATGGCAGTTTAAAAAATTAAATAAAAGAAACAAACTTGATTTTGGATCTTTGTCACTGACTAAATTCTGTGGGTGGAGAGGCAGCCCAGTGCTTCAATGGATAGTCCTTTAAGCAGATGGGCCATTGCCCTTGGCTGCAGTATTTGCTGCCCCCTAACCAGACAGAGAACTGAGAAAGCATCAAGGCCCTGTTGAGCCCCTAAACTGAATGGTGCTCATGGAAGAGAGCTGTATAAGTCAATTACTATACTCTCATTCAACTGGTAAAACTAAGAGAGTAACCAGCAAGAAACATGGGTCCCACCTTGGTCCCAATACTCCTGAGCATTATAGGCTGTCAACAGCTCTCAAATGTTTTGTTTTTGGTTCCCTGCAGTGCAAGGATCAGTATGAGAAGATGCTGGATGAGCTCAATCGCTACAACCCTCGGTATATGGAGGACATGGAACAGGTCTTTGAGGGCTGTCAGGAAGCAGAATGCAAACGGCTGTGCTTCTTCAAAGAGATGTTCCTGGATCTGCACAACCATCTGAACCTATCTACCAATGATAGGTGTGTGTGTGTGTGTGTGTGTGTGTGTGTGTGTGTGTAAGTGTAAATGAGGGCTTCTCTGCCCTTATTGCATCCTGTGGGATGAGAACTATTGAAGGTTTTTTCCTCCTTGTAAGGCTACATCTCCTGGTACTATAGGAACATATTTCTGTTTGTCCTTTCCTTACATGCCTATGTAGCTTTCCAAACAGTGTCCCTTATGCTTGTTGTGTGTTCCTTCATGCCTGCAGCTTCCATGCACTTTACCGGGATTTGTATCAGGGAATAATGGCTGCAGATGACCAAGAGGACCTGAAGTGGTGGCGTCAAACCCATGGACCAGGCATGGCTATGAACTGGCCTCAGTTTGAGGTAAGCCATCTCTCTCTGGTGGGAAATACTAGGGAACTTGCCCCCTTTAGGTTGTAAAGTAAGTCATGTCTTGTATCATCCTGCTGAAATCAGCACTCACCACTATTTCTCTATGGAATAGAAATGAGATGTGTAATATACCTGGCATGATAGGAACATGCAAAGTTACCAGCCCAGAGTATTTGTCAATCTAACCAAATATTGACTACACTGCACTCCAGGGTGTAACCTGATCCATTTTTAGTGGAGTTGTCTGGGATCAAACCTGGGACCTTGTTCTGCAAATAAGCAATAAATTCCCCTCCACATAAAGGATGTCCATTGTCTGTGTTGGATGGGAGGGGGAGAGGAAGCATTCAATTAATCTTCTGAAATATTTTTGGAACTAGGGACTGATAACTTTCTCCCCTCTAGGAATGGTCTTTGGAGACACAGAGGCCAATCAGCAAGAAGGAAAAAAGTGGGAAAAGCGGTGAAGATGTGACTTTGACTAGCATTGTGCCTGCAGGTGATGGTGTGAAACAGACCCCTACACCGACAAAGCAAAGGCAAGTTGCAACCTGTAACACTCGGGTTCGAAAGCAGAGATGGCAGTGTTATTGCAGGATGGCTGACTCACCAAAAATGGGTATAGCAATACCTTCTGCTTCCTTTTGAGAATATGAATTCCCATTAACAAGAGCATACAGAGGCTAGGCCCTTGCAAATTTTGAGATAAATGTCATAGTCTAATGGAATGCAGGGCTGCTGTTAGACCTGCTGGAAGGGCAGAAGCTATGACTGGCACTGTGCCTCTCCTCTGTCCCGCCCTAATGTAGCTCTGCCTCTGCTTGTTCCACCCATTAGTCTCAGAGTGAGGATGCTGGCAGGATTTTCCTCTCCAGCTGTTGCTGATCTAAGGGAAAGAAGAATATTCCTCCAGCTGCAACAAAGGCAGTTCTGGATTCTTGATTTGCATCTGTTCACTATGAAGAGAGATGTCAGCTAGCCAGGCCCTTCTTACTCAAACACAGTTCATGTTAGTTCTACAGTGAAGTTAGTAGATAGCAAACATTCTGGCTTTCGTAGCTGGGTGCTTTGCATTCAAAACCCGACCAGATGGCATACTGAGCATGCTGGTCCAGTGGCTGTTGGCACAAGATTACAAAGAAGGAAAAGACAAGAGAAGTACAGGAAATAATAAATTCCTATCTTAACCTTTACTGCAATGTAGAGTCTGCTTTTGTTAACACGAATATCACCGGCAGTAGCTATTCTGCAGCATAACCTTGCCCTTTTCTCGATTTAAAAAGGCTTGTTTGCCAATCCACAGGTATTCATACCAGGAGGAGCAAAACAGTCACTTCTATGATACCCTGAAGGCCTCGGCCTGTATGAAGTTAGTATGAAACTTAAGACTACTTAGGGTACCTGTTTCCTTGCTTCTCCTTTGCTGTAGCTTCTTAATACTTTCTAGTTAAGGAGATGGGCAGTGTTAGCACACTCTTTTTCAATTTCTCCCAAATAGACACCTTTTTAGCTTTCTTCAAATAGACCACCTTCTCTCTACCCTGATTGTAGTCACTTAGGGCTTTTAATGTAGTTATTTCCAGAACTGGTCAATGTTACTGGAAAGATTGTGTTTTTGAAGACCTGCTATTCTGCTCATTCTCTTTTTCTCTCCCCCCACTCCCGGCTAATGGTGACTTCTTTGCCTTCCATGTTTTGCATCTTCCTCTTATTTGTTCTTCTCCTAGAAAGATGCATGATTTGGAAATGGGACGCTTTAAATAAAGAAGGACCTTTGGGTTTTAAATGACCTTTCTTTCTCATTCTTCCTCTTCCCCTATCCCCTTGCACAGTGGAGGGAAAGAAGAAATCTCAGAGTGGTCGGATGAGGACACTCCCAAGAAGCGCCCAGAAGTCAATGGGCATGAGGACGACATAAAGGTACCAGGCGTGCGGGTGCGAGCACTGTATGATTACGCAGGACAAGAGGCTGATGAGCTGAGCTTTAAAGCAGGTACAAATGCACTAATCTTCTAACTTGCTTGCTAGTGTGCTTTTGGGGTATGGATGGAAATTTTCCAGTAGGACCTGGATGGCCCCAGGACGCCTGTTGCCAAACACTTGAGTTTTCTGAGAGAATCCTATAATAAACCAAGCCATTTATGAAAGGGGTCAGCAGCATGCTAAGAAATTGCAGAGAGAGAAAGAACCAATGGGGCACTTTTTAACTACTGGGAAAGACGGAGGATAGATAAATTACTTCAAAGTTCTTCCAAAGGGACAGGAAAAGGCATGGACTTGCTCCCAATGTGGGCTCTGTGGTATGAGACTCTGAAGGAAGATAGCAATTGCTTCAAGTTGCTATTCCTTCTTTAAAAATGCTTTTATTAAGTTTTGTAGATACAGGAATATAGTGGCAGAAGATAGGGAAGAAAAGAGTCCTACCCTCCCTAGATTCCCCTAATCTGATGTGAGCAATTCTCATCCCAAATTGTCTTTCCATAGAAGTCTTTGCGTTCCAGGTGGGTAGAAATCTTGTTCATTTGTCTCAATATCTGAAATAAAACATGACCAGATACCATAAAACTTGTTGGTTGGTTGTTCATTTCTTCTGGCATGTAATTCGTGAGTCAATTTTTCCATTAGCGCCAAGTTCCATGCTTGTATATTCCACTGCTGAGTTAGCATCCAGGGATCTCCAATGCTTGGCAATAGAGATGCTGCTATTCCCGAGACTTCCTGTATGTAGCTGGGCCTGGCCATTTGTGTTCCATTTATTTTCCATGCCAAATACGCTTCAATATACCAGGACTGTGTTCCCTTGCTCAGTGGCGGTGAAAGCAGAGCTGCATATTGAGAAATAACACGTAAAGGGGAACTTGGGAGCAGGAGTCTTTCACGAGAAGCTGGCAAATTCTGGAACTGAGCAGTGATTTAACATAAACTTTCAGCACTATCTGCCAGCCCAGATGGAGAGGCAAGTCATCTCTTGTCACCAGTGACGTAAAATGAACATTATCACACACCTGTTTCTCTGGATGGTTGTGTGCATGGTAATGCTAGCCTTGCTCTGGGGCTAGTGGCTTGCCACATGGCCAGAGCCACAACACAATAAACTTAAATAGATGCCTTATGGTTAGTGATCATCCGATTCCACACTAAAATAGTTTTTATTTCTACCAGCCTGATCTACTGGGAAGCACATAGGAATAGGGGCCATCTGGATCTTGGGGATTTCATTCATGCTTTAAAAATGTATTTATAGAAATGTGATTGTTTTTCTTTTTTACAGGTACTAAAATCTTTCAAAACCCAGCACTTGGGTTTGCATGAAACATGCATTGCTGAGTTATCATTATTAAATATTCTAGTACCAACTTACTTTGCTTGATCTGCTTGTAGTAACTAATTAAAACAGGAGTACTACAAGAATATCTGTAGCATGAAATAAGTACAAGAAGTAGATCCAAACTGCTTTTTGGTTTATCATTTGTGAAAAATCCTTCCAGGCACCACCCTGGTTTGCTTCTGCCTGTCATGTTGTCTTATTTATTTATAAAATAGTTGTATACCAGTATATCAAAGCAGTTTACAGCAGTAAAAGCATAAAAAGTTTTTTAAAAAAGCTCTATGAAGATAGGGACACTGAGCTTTCTATAGTTGGTTTGCTGTGGTTTGTCTAGCTTACTGCATTTGAGCTGAATTTATTGATCTCTGTCAAAGAACAATTCATCAGTTTTTCTTTTTGCTTTGCCAGGGTCATGGTGTATACCCAAGGGCTTATGGGAACTGGGTCACTCCTCTTTTTAAAACCTATTGGTGCATCTTCCCCATCTAAATACTTCAATAACATGCAATTGTATAGTTAATGCAGACAATTTGTTATTTCACTGAGTCAGTTGAACTGATGCACTATTTTCCTTTTGTTTCTGGAAATGATATTTTAAATTGTTCTCCTTAAATAGAAAGTTGGAGCAAGTGCCGATGCGTTTTTTAAAAAGGCATTCTCTGGATGGTTACACCCCTTTCAGGTGGTCTTTAACTTCACTAATGTGTGAATTTTGCATGGTAGTTGACCCTTCAGCATGAGTCAATTGAGATGACATGGACAGCTGGAGAGGGCATCACTGTCTAGGAAGCATCTTCTGGCTGCTAATGCCCAAGAGCTTTTAAGGTGCTTCTCTGTACAATAATGGCTTTGTTCCAGTAGGCCACTATAATATAGTTGTATGGAGAATGAAGGCTAACACTGACCCTAAACTCGTTTGGAAATGAGACACACAGATTTCAGTGGAATTGTTATTAAATAAGTGTGCATGGTATCTCAACCTTAGCTTCACTTCCATATGTGCGCATTGCCAGCATCTCTGGAAACGAGAAGGGAAAAGAAAGCAAGTCTCATTTCATTTTAGTGAATATCTAAGCCAGTGAAACCTTGCTTTGTTATTCATTCTGAGATTTTTCTTCCTCTAGGTGAAGAGCTCATGAAGATCAGTGAAGAGGATGAACAGGGCTGGTGCAAAGGCCGGCTTCAGACCGGTCAGGTTGGACTATATCCTGCTAATTATGTTGAGAAAGTCATTTCATGATTGCTTCCTCCCTTCCCCCTTAAGGTGTGCACCCTGCAAGCATTTTCTCCAGAGGTCACCAAATCATTGGCCTCCAACTTGCGTCAAAAACCATGAAAACAATCTGGAACTTTCTGAGGACACTCTTATTGTAACCAATGCTTCCTTTTAAACATCTAGAATTATGGTGATGATTTTTTTTCTAATAAAGGTATATAAAATTTTCTGAATCCTGTGCGTTATAATGGAATAGAAGGTGGAAAATGCCCCGTGAAGCGCAAAGCACCCAAACTCCTTTCCTCTTCTGTGCAGCGATTCCAACAAGCCAGCTGAATAAGTAGCAGTTGCTCTAAAAACGAACATTAAAGGATAGTTAGAAGCCAACTGTGGAATGGCAACTCTCCGGCAGCTTATTCCTAGGCAAGAGTCAAACTAGCCATCTCAATTGCACCCCAACTACCTGTCTAGCAACTATATTACATAAGCTCCTATCCCAACTGCTGAATCTGTTGATAGTTTGCAGTACTGACTTCATATGGAAGCAAGGTATTGAAAACTATGCTGTTAAGAAGTGCAACTAGGATCTGATATGACTGTTACAGGACAAGCCACAGCATCCTTCAGTATAGTCACATTGATTAGATGGAAAGCACTCAAATAGGCATTATGTTTGTGGTAACAGATGTACATCAACTATACATGTGGGGCTCCTGTGCTACATCAGGATAGTTGTGAGAGGAGGTGCTAGTGGTGTTCAGAACTACCCAAGGAAGGTTTGCACAGGATGAACGGCATAGCATTTCAGCCTATAATAGACTGACTGCTAAGAACTGCCTTTGCCTCACTTCTTCACATGCCCCATGGAGCTATTTTTACAGAGCACCACTGTTAGGCACTGGACCACTTTGGGTCAGGTCCTCAGCAATCTTGCAAGAAGTTGCAAAGATCACTTGCTGTAGTTGGTGTCTTTTATGTAGCAAACATGCTTTGCCTCGGGGTTGAAGTTTTGCAACAGGTGCAAGTCTGTTGAAATATGGAGTGCAGCTGTTGCAACAAGTAATCGCTCTCATTCCTGTGCTGTTTATTGACCTGGCCCAAGGCTTCAGCCACTTGGTGCTGGACTTTGCTTCTTGATAGCCAAAGGTCAAGAGTTATGTTCTAATCTGGGCTGCTGCCTCAGCTTTGCTTCTACAGACCAGAGTGGGGTTGGTAACAAAAGTGCTGGGGGAGGGGGAAGTCCCAGTTTGGGGGACTAGTTGGAAAAAAGGCATGTGGTTCTTAAAACTCCAGAGCTGGGACTGCACAACAAAGGAAGCCATGATAAGTCCATAAGCAAAGTTCCAATATCCACTCGGGAAACAACTTTATAAGGACCAGCTTTGCCAATGTAAATAGGATACCAATATTCCCGCATTGCGGGGGGTTGGACTAGATAATCCTTGGGGTCCCTTCCAATTCTACGATTCTGTGATCCCCATGCTGTAAGCCCTGCAGAAATGCTTCTCAAAGGCACACACACGTCACTTTCATGTGAAAAGTTAGAATGAACTTCCTGCATGTCAGTTCCGCATGGACCTCCCTGCCTGTGTCTGCTCCAATAAAAAAGCCAAGTGCAAAGCAGCCTCGTAGTTTTCTACCAGCTTGCAGCATATCATAAGCTACCGCTTCTCTTACAAGGCCATGTAAACATAAGCATTCAGCTTCCCACCACCTTCAAATAGGCATGTACCACTCCATAAGTCCACGCGTTTGCTGAGGCCAGTCCCTGCTGGGGCCATTTGCATTCCCTGTCTGCTGCTTACCATTAGCCACTTTCAAAGAGCTGCTACATTCATGAGTCGGTGGCGTGGACAACTGCCCTTGCACTGCCTCAAGCCACAGTTCCAAGAAGGTTCGCACAAGCTCCTGCAGCAGAGTGACGTAATGGTTGGAAACCACAGCGTTGCTCTCAAAGAGGTGGTTGCCCAGGGATGAGAAAAGACTGGGCTCCTCACTCACATCTGCCAAGATGGCCAGCTGCCACGCCAAGAACCCGCGGTGGCTGGAGTCTCCAAGGAACAAGGAAGGCAGGCCAACAACCTGCTTTGCTCGGCGGATCACCTTCCGTACGGACTCTGCCGGGAGGTACTTTCTTCCCTTGCTCTCCACGCACAGCAGGGCACTGCCCGCAGGCACACCTTTACAAGGGCACAAGAGGGCAGCGCGGCATTCGGCACAGGAGAGGAGGGGCAGCAGCTTCCCCAAAACAACGCAGGAAATGCAGGCGATGGCGTCTTCCTCCAACTCAGCCAGAAAGGCTGGGGCTATGCCCTGTGTCTCTCGTGGAGGCCCAGTGCCCCGAGGCAAGTGCCAGATCTGCCCGCGAGCCAGAGGCCAGGAAGCCTGCAACTGGAGGTTAGTTCTTCTGCGTAAGGATATGTCAAGCAGGTTTGGTGGGTCGAGGCCCAGACCAGAAAGAGCTCTGTTCAAGACAAGCCTGTATGCCTCCTGGAAGGTCCATGCGGGGCCAACACCTTTGTGCCCACGGGCTTGCTGTATGGCTCCCCTGCACCACTCCAGAGGGTCCAGGCTCCACCAACAGGACATCAAAGAAGTGGTGGGCTCGTCTTCTGCCTGTAGATGGGTCTGCGCCAGCCACTGAAAGCTGCGCAGGTTCACCAGGAAGCCAATGAAGCCCCATCGATGCCTGCTCAGCCCTACCAGCTCCCCAGTGGCAGTGCGGAGTTTGCGAAGCAGGTTCTCATACTCGTTGCAGAGGTTGTTGAGGGCGCTGGCACTAGCGCGGGAGAGGGGTGCCTTGAAACCTTTCCCATGGATGCTGCAGCTGCTGCACGCATCAAAAATGGCACTCAGCAGCCCGATAAAGTGGGCGGTGGCTTCATGACCCTGAAATTGAGGCAGGCCGAGCCTCGCTGCAAAATGCAAGGCCTGAACCGTGCCCTCGCTGAACAACTGCGTGGCCCCATTTCCCCACACCTGCTGTTCCTGCGGGCTGATCGCTCCGGCCTGGCATGCTGCCTGGAGCACCACTTCTTCCCGCAGAGCCCCGAGATGCAGGAGGTAATCCCAGCAGACCGCCTTGCCGCTCACCTGGAGGCTGCCGGCAGCTTGCAGCAAGCGGTGGATCAGCGTCAACAAATGGCTGGGATCGAAGTAGTATGCTATTTCCAGCGTAGGAGTAGCAGGATGAAAAAATGTGGACTTGACAAAGAGGCCGTCCACCACCACTCCCAGCCGCCTGGCTGTCTCGATATTGGGAGCTGTGGCGTCAGACGTCACAGAGACCACCTGCACGCCAATGTCGTACAGTTTGAAGATACAGTGGCCTAGGAGCTGGGCTTGTATGTCACCTCTAAGGGTGGCAAGGAGGAAGTAGCCAACAGGCAGTATCCACTGGCCTTGGAATCCAACAGCCACAAGCAGGAGGGCTTCTCCAGCTGCCGAAACCTCATCTGCATCATATTTACCAGCACCAAAGTCCATCAAACCGTGCAAACGCCCGGTGGAAGGGTCATAGTGGCTTCTCCTTTCCAAAGGGATTGAGCCCATAAGGAGAGAGCACAGCTTGAAGGATTTCTCCCCTGCTTGAGATCTCTCTGCCAGAGCATTGAAGGCTTGTTGGCTGAATCCCGGCTCGTAATCCAGGTTTGAGAGCCACCTATGAGGGAAGAAGCATGGGAAAGAAAGCTAATCAGCTCCATGTTTGGTTCAAACAAAAATCTTTCTTCTACTGCCAAACCTTGGAGCCTGAGGATAGTATGTTTCTTTGCCCTCGTGCTTAAGAAAAATCAAAGCATGATGTTACTTTCATAAACTATTTTGGGCCATGCTTGTGCTAGAGAGCCTGAGAATAGTTCCACGTGGGAAGGCAGAGCCTGCATCAGTTCTGCTTTTATACTCTTGTTCTCTTTGCAGTATTTGAAATCAAGAAGAAGAAAAAATCTCCCATAAACCATCAGGTGAGCTCGAAAGCCTGTTTTCTTCCCAACACACCGAATCATCCATGTGGTTTCCTTTAGGCTAACAGTGCATTTGGCACAGTTTGTGTGGGTCACTCTTAGGTTGCTTCCCAATGGGCTCCTAGTGCTATCTAATTGTTGCCTTTCTGTAAACTACAAGCAGAATAACAATTGACTTTCCATAGTACAGGGCACTTTGTGCTTTTCCCACGTGTACATCCCCACCACACTGTGTCCACCACTGTCTACACCACTATTTTATGAGTTCATTTTTTAACACCTATATTTTAATCATCACTGAAAGATGTTTCTGGCTCTTAAAATTAAAGAGGCACATCATTATAGCACGGTACTTTGATTTTGCCAAGTGCCGGTTGTGTGGTTCTGTGATACATGTGCCTTTGCTGTGTCTGCTTTTCTTGATGTTTCCATAGTCCAAAGTTGTTTTCCCCATATCTGGGCTCTCACAGAATAGCAGAGTACGTTTTCTAATGACACATCTGATTTTAGTGTTTTAACCGATTTTTACCATTTTGCATTATATCTCTTGTACAGCGGTACCTCGGGTTACAGACCCCGCTAACCCAGAAATAGTACCTTGGGTTAAGAACTTTGCTTCAGGATGACAACAGAAATTGTGCTCCGGCAGCACGGCAGCAACAGGAAGCCCCATTAGCTAAAGTGGTACCTCAGGTTAAGAAGAGTTTCAGGTTAAGAACGGACCTCCAGAACGAATTAAGTTCTTAACCTGAGGTACCACTGTAAACCACATAGAGACTATTGTAGTTAAGTGGCACGTGCGTCTTACGATATTTTTTAGCTTATTTCTTTGGTGCCACTGAGTGTTTGGATGGATGGGAGAAGACAAACCAATTCAGACTATCTTTCTTAGGTTGCAATCCTATATGTACGTATGTGGGACAGAGAGAGAGAGAGATCATACTTTTTTTGAGAGAGCAAGACATATTTCTGAGAAAACCTTTAGAGGCTTGCAGTGATGCTTATACCTCCAAAGTCTAGTTTTATCAACTAGCACAGCTGTTTCCTTTTCCTTGTGAATTGTCCATTCCTCTGCTTCCTCTTGCTAATAAATCTGATCTTACTTTAACCTCCAATGGATGAAAAGCTTATCTCTCTCTCTCTCTCTCTCTCTGTACACACACACACACACACACACACACACACGGGGCACACTATATTCAAGTCTTTTTGTTCACCTTGGCTTTCCCCTGATCAGAGTTTTGGGCATCATTTACCTCTCTCAAATTGCCTCCATACAACAATGTGATACCAAGCCAGTGCAGAGGTTGTACTGTCATGCTGTACTAAACAAGGGACAGCCCAGGTTTAAATTCTGACTCTGTCCTGAAGCTCCCTGGATGACCTTGGGTCAGTCACCATCTCTCAGCTTAACTTGCTTCACAGTGTTGTTGTGAGGATAAAATGGGAGTTGGACATAAAACCAAGTATGCTACCTTAGGTTCCTTGGAGGAATTTGGGATATAAACACAGGGCCCAATTCAACTAACCAGTCTCACTTGTGGAAGCCTGTGCAAGGACTTCTGCTAGTGCAATGAAGGTTTCTCTCTATCCTCCCACTGCATGCCCCCTGCACCTCTGATATCAGCTCTGAGGCAGTCAGGAGAACTCCCAGAAAAGCAAGCTTGAGCTGACAGTGTGATCTGTTTAGGGCTACACTGAATTCCTCCCATAATAACCCATGTAAAGTGATCAATCAGTTGGCTAGTACATTACTCAAATCTTTCAAGGTTCAATTCCAGTAACCATGAAAGATTAACCATTTCCCCCCAGCATGCCTTCAAGGTCAGAGGTTTCTTGACCAATTGCATTTGGTGAAGTAGCAGTGCAATCCTAGCCATGTCTACAGAAGTAAGTCCTATTGAATTCCATGGGGCTTAACTCAGAATAAATGGTGTTGGGTGGCAGCCTAAGCTATTGTTTACAAAAGTCCATGCATCGATAGTCTTCATGGTGCCACAGGCATCCGTCTGTCCCTTGCAGGATGTCAAACTCATTTTTATCTCAGTCATCCAGCCCTAAATCCTGGGTTACCAACAGTCATATCCTCATGGTTTGACAATTTCCTCCTTTTGCCCAATATTGCATTTTTAATGAAAGCTTTTCCAGGGGATCTGCAAATATCTCCTCTGTGGAACCTGATTTTCAGATTTGGCCTCTTCTTTTTGGAACAAAGGAATTTGCCCTACTTTCCTTGAGGGATTGTCACATTTGCCTGGAATTTGGTTTCCGGCAACCTGAGTGAAGGCATCCTTGATACAGGGCCTCTGAGGGTGGAACTCCCTTCCTCTCCAGATAACATCTACGGCAGCTCTTAGGAGTTTTCGCAGCTAGTGAAAAACTTTTTTTTCATCTGGACCTTTAGCTGAATTTCTCTCTCCCCTCTGCACCTCAAACTTCATATTTGCCCTTGTGGATTGTTTGATGTGGAATTTACTTGTGTAGCATGAGAACAGAGGAAGCTGCCTTATACCAAGTCAGACCACTGCTTCATCTAGCTCCACAATGTCTGCTCTGGCTGGCAGAAACCCTTCAGGATTTGGGGCAGGAGCCTTTTCCCAGCTCAGGGACTGAACCAGGGACCTTCTGCTTGCAAGTCAGATCCTCTGCCATTGTGGTCCTTCAGAAGATGTCCCAAGAGGTGTCATCCATGTCTGAGCAGTCAGTGGCAAATCTTACAAAGAAAGCTTGCAGAGTACGTTCAGGAGCTACTCTAGGTCTGTACGTGAGGTGTCCTGACATAATGAAGTAGTGTGTTTTCAGGCATTCCCCACCCCTCTTTCTTTTCTCCCATCTTAAAAGTGTCACACTGGAAAAAGTAGTTTCTTCAGCAAGCTAGAATGCATATATAGTGCATATGCCTGTGCACTGTTGCTTTGCAAAGTTTGCCCCTAGTTAACACAAATAAGATACAAATAAGAAAGACATACGTGCGAAGGGTGGTGGCCTCTGGGAGCTGGAATGTCTTCTTCACGAATTCATAGGCCTTGGCTGAGAACAAATGCAGCGAGACGGCAAAGTTGCGGGTGGCAGCTGGGTAGTTCTCGCACAGGGCTCCCTCACACTGCAAAGTGAGCTGCAGGTCTGCTGAAGTAAAGAGGGTTCTTCAAGCAAGGGATGGACAGTGAGGTGAAGCTAATTTGGGGTGATGCTGCAGAGGACGATTCTTTAACATTGGCCTCAGCAGTGACTCTCTTGCGTTCAGACTGGGGGCCGGAAGAAGATTCAACATCCTCTATTTTCATGGGGAGGGAAACTGGGTCCAAAACCCAGGAGGACTGGGTGGCCAAGAAAGCAGAGAAGGATGTACTTAAAGTTATTAAGGGTTTGGGGAAGTGGGGGAGATTTGTAGCAATTGCATACTGAGCACAACTGGCCAGTCGGAAATGCTGAGGAGGTAATCAAGTGGGGTAGGGGGGCTGAAACAATGCCAATAGATTCCACATCTGGCAACCAATGTACTCCTTTGGTTTCAGATAGTACATGGGTAGATGAGTCTAAAAAGCCCAGGACACAATTTTTTCATGGCCTTCTAGCAGCTACAGTGGTTCATTTACCAGAAGTAATGTATTTAGTGTTAACTCTGGGAGTGTCTTCTCGATACTGACCAAACTAAGCCTCCTAAAGCAAAATACAGTGGTGCCCCGCAAGACGAATGCCTCGCAAAACGAAAAACGCGCAAGACGAAAGGGTTTTTCGGTTTTTGCGTCGCTTCACAAGATGATTTTCCCTATGGGCTTGCTTCGCAAGACGAAACTTCTTGCGAGTTTTTTTTCCTTTTTCTCAAAGTGACCACAAAGGCGAGCTCCGGTCGCGCGGCTGAGGGAAGCCCCGCTGTGGGTCGTCCACCGAGCATGCCACTCACCTAAAAGGCATGGAGAGACGGAGGGAGCGTGCGAGGATCCCAGTGCAGAGGAGGCTCCTGCAGCAAAATAAAGGCAGTCGGCAGCCGGAGGGCTCCAGGACCCGGAGCTGCGGCGGGGCCGTCGATGGCGTTGCCGGAGACGACTCCCTCTGGGCCTCGCTCTCTCCGCCCTCACCGCCTCTTGCCCTGCCTGCGATCGGCCGGGCTCATCGCTCCGCTCTGCAGAGCGCTGCGCAAAGGCGTGGCGGGACAGGTGTCCGGGGACGCTTTGGCTGAGCGCGCCCCGGGATCAGAGGTGCGGGGTGCTTGCTGCAGATCTTATCTTCCAGGGTCGCTGGGATGGCGGCGGTCGGGGCTTGTGTTATGTAAGCGCGTCAGGAGGGACTGCTTAAGAGGCCGGATGAGGCTTATGCAATGGCCAGATGCTCCCTAGGGGTCGAGGCTTGCAGTTGCGGGAACGAGTTTATACCTGTAGCCGCTAAGCCGCTAATAGCCGTGCTTCGCAAGACGAAAAAACCGCAAGACGAAGAGACTCGTGGAACGGATTAATTTCGTCTTGCGAGGCACCACTGTACACATCAGGAGGCATAGTTTGGTTAGAATCAAGTATACACTTCCAGAGGTAACACTGAATACATTACTTCTGGTACGTGAGCCGCTAGAGGGCTGTGAAAATTACCCCACTCATCTTAACCAAGCCTTGAAGCTGGTTTGTATCATGGTTCCCTCCTTGGAACCTTGAATGATTCTCAAACTGCACTGGTCTTATTGTAAAGGCCTCTGGCATGAAGAAGAGCCCCTTTGGCAAGGCTTACGGTGCTTACCGCTGAACTGGGAGCGCAGCATGTGTTCCATGTCCTTCTGGAGGAGATGCTGCTCCCGCAAGCTCTCCAGCACACTCCACAGCTCCTGCTGATAATAGGAGAGGCGACGCTGGGCTGCATCCTGCTCCCGTTCAGTCCCCTGCACTGGGCCAGTGGGAATCAGAGACTTGGTTCTGCTGCCCATAGCTTCACTCAGACTATACTGATGCTCCGCTTGGATGAGTTCCACCTACAGGAAGACAAAGAAGACCCGTTGCTCCATCTCTTTAATTCTCTCACCATAACTTCCATGTCCTCCCGGCACCCGATGTTTGTCCTTGCGGATTTTCCACAAAGGGCTGAATTTGCTTATTCCTGAAAACTAAACCGACTTCACCTTTCTCCTTTGCCTTGATTTTCCTTTTAGCCTCTCACCACAGCCAGAGTAAACCCTTCCCAGACTCCTTTCTCCCATCAGATTCACAATAGTTAGTGGATGTGGCCACTCTCCCTCTTTAAAGCTAACTTAGGATACCGTGATGGAAGTCAGGATCTGCAGTTTGCTCCAGGAGCAAAGAATGTATAGTTCTACCTTTGTACAGTAGGCTGGTTTCTACTCACACTTACACCTCCTCCATCCAGGCCCACAAGAAGCATTATTTGAGGTCAAGGATACATTCCAGCCAGACACAAGCACTCAAGGAGGATGCAATCTAAGAACAATTAGGGATGTGGCCTTGGAAGAGTGGGTGTGGCCTGGGGAGTGTCCTGAGGGCCAGAGAGGGACCTGGAGGGCCACATTTCACTCACGGGCCTGAGGTTCCCCATCTTTGCTATAGGCTTTGTCCAAGTCCCTATGGTAATATAAGCTACATGCTACAGCGTTTAGTGACACGCAGTTTTGCAATTTTAGATTCTGGACTTAATGGTCTCCTGGTGGGGAGGAGGGGCTCTTCATATGGTAATGTGCATTGCTTTTTTCAGAATTTGGAGCCAGCTCCGCTGTGTTTAGCGTTCTCCTGCTCATTCTTCTTGACCTTGACCTCTGCCCCAAAGTCCTTCCCAACAGCTGCATTGCTGGCATTGGAGAAGGCACCAGCTACCCTCGCTGGTATACATACTGCTTTGGCTTGTGCAGGAGATGAGTCAGCTGGTGGAGTAGCTTCGCTGACACTAGCCACTGGCCAACTGATGCCCATGGTTTTGACAGACTTTGATGGATGTTTCCCTTTTGTTGGTTCCTGTATTGAGAAAGAGTTCAAATGAATTAGCAATGAATTAGAAATGAATAGCAATTCGACCAAAAAAAGAAAAAGGCCTGGTTGAAACAGACTGGATAAGCTAATGCTGTAGTAGAAGGCAAAAGCGAACAAAAAATAATCCCCAACAACATTGCCATGGTATTAAAAAGGTAAAGGTAAAGGTACCACTGCCCGTACGGGCCAGTCATGTCCGACTCTAGGGTTGTGCACCCATCTCACTTAAGAGGCCGGGGGCCAGCGCTGTCCGGAGACACTTCCGGGTCACGTGGCCAGTGTGACGAAGCTGCTCTGGCGGGCCAGCACCAGCGCAGCACACGGAAACGCCGTTTACCTTCCCGCTATAAAGCGGTACCTATTTATCTACTTGCACTTAGGGGTGCTTTCGAACTGCTAGGTGGGCAGGAGCTGGGACCGAAAGACGGGAGCTCACCCCGCCGCGGGGATTCGAACCGCCGACCATATGATCGGCAAGTCCTAGGCGCTGAGGTTTTACCCACAGCGCCACCCGCGTCCCCACCATGGTATTACTGGAACTAATTAAGCATACTTCAAACATTAGAGGCTGGATCCAGGTTATGCCTTAGTCCCACACAATTAATGAGGCAACTTACTCATGACTATCTTAAATTTCATCAATTTAACTGGGTGAAAAGTTAACTGCTCAGTCGCAATTCTAGATACACTTATCTCAAAGTCCCATTCAAGTCAGTGGGTTTTACTTATCTGTAGACATTGTAGATATATATAGGACTGTGGCATTATGTTTGATCCAACCTACTCTCTACGTTATTTACTCATTGTCAGGCAAACCCAGATTTATTTCAAATGAAGAAAAAAGGCATTTCTGAGACCAGAATACAGATGAGGGCTTACGTATTGGAACAGCCTTCCACTACAAAACTAATTCACTGCACAATAAAGGTAACATTGTCAGAGACAGTTGTTCTCTTAGTCTCCTCCATGGTGTGCTGGTTTTCCAGTGAAGTGTCTGACTTCAAACACAGAATTCCTCGCCTGTGCTCTGAAATAGTATGGTCTGAAGGTGAAGACACATCCCTTTTCCTCAACACCAGCTGTCAGGCATGGGAAGGGAATGAATTCTGGACTCTCGGAACAGAAACACGCAATTCAGTGCTGCCTACACTGATTCGACAGCATCTCTCTGTGGTTCCAGGCAGGAGTCTTTAGCTAGCACTACCTTGAGATGCCAGACATTGCACCGGGGACCTTCTACATGCTATGCAAATATTCTGCCCCTGCATCACCTTGCTTCCCCATTATTATTAGTGGGATACGGAAGGAAAACTGGCTTTGGAAGTAAAGCTTCGCAGCTTTTTCAGACAGAGGCCTAATCTCAAGCATGCCAGCTCAAGTGCAGATTATTGTGAGCTATCAGTCGTATATATCAAACTTCCTAAAACATTTCCGATGCTGTTGGGCTACAGGGTACACTAGAAAGGACTATAAAAATCTATGCACAATGACAGCTACAGAAAATACACCAAAGACAAAAGAAAAAGAAGAAAATTGCACAGATGAATATGGTTCCTAAGGCATTTTGAGAACCAAAGGGGGGGGGGCAATGCTTCTTAATAAAAACTGCTTGGAACATTCCCCCACCCCACTGCAGCACACCTAAGCATATTCCCCCCACCCCCACTTGGACGTAGCGGGAACCATATCCATCTCTCTGCAGCTGTCCCTTTCTTTGTTTTAGGATTATGGAAAACCTCTGCTGAGCCCACAAGCCGGTGGCAGAACAGGAAAAGTGCTGGGAGACCTTGACCTTGATCAAAAGCTGCAATGCTAAATGCACTTACACAAAGAAGGGTACAACCAATAGGATACAATGACACTTAACCTCTGACTAAATATGGATAGGACTGCTGGAAATGTTTGATAACAAAGTGTATAAGGAAGAAGGGAAACTCTGCAATGTGTCTTCCTCTGGGAGAGTTATCAGCTGAAATGTGGAATAAAAATTTTCAAAATAAGATTATATATATATACCGTATTTTTTGCTCTATAAGACTCACTTTTTCCCTCCTAAAAAGTAAGGGGAAATGTGTGTGCATCTTATGGAACGAATGCAGGCTGCGCAGCTATCCCAGAAGCCAGAACAGGAAGAGGGATTGCTGCTTTCACTGCGCAGCGATCCCTCTTGCTGTTCTGGCTTCTGAGATTCAGAATATTTTTTTTCTTGTTTTCCTCCTCCAAAAACTAGGTGCGTCTTGTGGTCTGGTGCGTCTTATAGAGCAAAAAATACGGTATATATATTTGAAAAATAAATAACTCAAAAACTACTGCTACTTAAAGTGTCCCTGAATTTGGTGCATTTGCCTGACCACCTTATTACTGCTATTCACTGACCCTTCTGTGTCTTGTCCCTCTGTTGAAGTGTGAGCTAATTTTGGCAGGGTGCCAATATATTGACTACTGTACAACACTTAACATACATTTAAGCACTTTAATAAATAGTATTCCCCACTGAATATTGCTCCCAGTACAGCAATCCCTTCCCTGTTCCTGTCTTCCATTTGTACATACAGTACTATATTCCATGTCAGGCTATCATCTGGACACCCCTTCTATTGCCAACAAATGGTCTGTCCTAGCAGGTATCTGGATAAAGAAGTTCTTCTGTGGCTCCTTCTTCACTATATGACCCTGAGCAGCTGAATCAGAGACTCATAAAATGTGTTGGCACTTCTTCAGCTTTCCAGTTCCTGCTATTACTGAGCAAAAAGCTGATGAACCACAGTTCTTCTCTTCCATTCCCTTCACACATACACCCCCCAAGGCCCACTAGCAATTCCCAAACTCTCGTCCTCCCTTGCTGCATTTTCCTTCCTTCAACCCAAGTTTGCAAGTTTAAGTAAATCCTCTCCCTATTCTGAATCCTGCTGCTTTTGGAAATGTGCCTTTTTCCTTCCCATATGCCCACTTTCAATTCACGCTCTTGCACCTAGGTTCAGTGGATTACATACTAGGAAATGTGTCTATCTACTCAACTGTCTCCAAAAATAAACACAGTCACCTACAGCTTATTTTTCTTCATTTAACGGATGGTCTTAGAAGCCATTGCTTCCTGAGCAGCAGGGGTGAGGAACCTTTTTGGGCCCAAGAGCTGCACTGCCCAATGGAGAACCTTACAAGGGTCACATGCAAGTCATGGAGGAGGCCAGAGGCAAAATTAGGTGGGGCACCGGATGGGACTCTTATCTTTGTACCATAGGCTACATCCTAGTCATGCAAAAGTCATAACAATCTGTACTCCCTGACCCCCACATACACACTTCTTTCCATTCACACAAGCAAAAGGCATCATCACAGACATCTTCCAGTCAGGCAACAGTTCTCAAGGAGGGCACAGAACAGGGACAATGAAAGGTGTGGCCTAGTGAGAGTCATGAGGACCTGATAGAAAGGCCTAGAGAGCCACATTCACCCCCAAACCTGAGGTTTCCTAACACTGCTGAATGAGAAGGGAAAAGTGAGGCTGTATCAAATCTTACTCATATGCAGGGAAGACACACTGAAACTAACAGACATGACTAACTTGGGTTCATTAATTTTAATGGGCCTACACCAAGCAGAATTTAGTTGGAGTCAACCCTTAGAGGTTGCAGGTTTTAGACTGGACCAGAACCTGAGGTAGCACATATTTTAGGGACAAAGGAGATCTAGTAGGAGAGCCCTTGAGGTTAGTAAATGAGAATCAAGCTGCAGCTCAGAAATTCCTCAGTATGGCCCAAATTGCTGAGCAAGGCAGACAAGTAAAAAGTCCAGCTAAGCTGCCAAGGTGAGCTGCACTACAACTTTCCTGACCAGGGAAGAGTCACTAGCAGGAAGCCTTTCCTGTCCTGTACAAGGAAGACAAACACCCCTAATGCCAGCAATTCTTACATTTCTGCTGCCTTCACAGAAAACCAGGGGATGGGATTGGAAGTGTCCACCTCTGCAGCTCTGTATTGTCAGAGACTAGGAATTCTGACAGAAATTATGAGGCATTTGAGGGACCTGGGTAAGATTTAGGGACGAGAAACCAGCCTTGTTGTTCCTGTATCACAACTCTTTCCCCTCTAGAACAGCATGACTTACGCCAAGGAGGACAAGAGTTAAACCCCTGGGAAGTTAGTTTGCTTCTGTGAGTTGTGCAATGTCATTTCCCCACCCCTTTGGCTATAAAAAATTCAAATGACTTCCCATACAAATGAATTTATTTCAACTTTTGGAAAGAGGCAAGGAGGGTGCACTCTCCCCAGGCGCTCATTTTTTGGACTGAGGTAGCAAATCCAGTTATTACACCAGGGCCTTCTCACAGGATGTTGCGGTTACCTCACTAATCCAAACCAGATGTTGAGGATCCCAGAAACCATTGCTTTCTTCATGCAGTAACCCAGGCCTCTCCCAGATGTGAGCAAGATATCAAGGCTGAGAGAAACCCCCTCAGAAAGTCCAAACAGTACCAAATAAGACTACGCCATTTAGAAAGCATTTTGCATCTGCCTAGTTCTTTAAGAGGCCTGTGATTGTTCTACAAAGGCACCAAACTAAACTCAGTTCTCCTTCAGTGAGAAGGATTACAAAACAGGCCACTTTGAAGCCTGAAGCCATGTCCAGCCAGGTAGGCTGCATCTGGATAAAATCACTTCTTTTGGGATGCTTCCCACCCCCACCCCTGGCCATCTTCTGTGTTTGCCATTTCCTTCTGCCTTCTATGACCCAAGATGAAAGCTTTCAATTGCCATAGGTAGCGCAAGATCTTCTGCCTCAATCCACAAAGGAGATCTACCTAGCCCAGCATCTTGCTTCAAAGGGTAACAAGCCACATGCTACTAGGGACTTGCTTCAAATCTTAATGTAACCCAGGATACCCTGCCCTCTTGGACATTTTGTTCCTGCCGTAGCATGACATTTAACAACAGCTGTACATACTGAAACTTTTCGTGGACAGTGCTTGCATTATTCAGGGACTGAAGACAAGGAGGCAGGGCACTCTCCTGAAACAAACACTTGGCAGTTAAGAGCAGTGTGCCTATGTTGCAGCTTCAGAGGCACACAGATCACCCATTCTGAAAGAAAACACAGGAAATACAGGACAGAAAGCCCCAGGGAGCTACGTTTTGGGCAGCCTATGCTCTGATGAATACAACCAGTAATAAAGGGGGAGAGTGGGGGAAAGGTCCCACATTGCAGCCAAATCTGATGTTCCCTCTTGTGGCAAAACCAAAACGTTATTCTGTGCAGAGATTCTTTTAGATTGGATCAGCAATACTTCCAGAAAAACAACTACCACCTCCCTACACCATGGAAGCGTGGAAAAAAGATTAGATATGAGGCAAACACAAAGAATTATGAAGTGGATATAAAGAGTGAGGGACACACAGTCTTTTCCCCCCTTTTTAAATGTCATAGCAAGGACAGAAAACATGATGTTCCAATGCTGTTGTGAATCCAACAGAGATGATGGGAATTGTATCTAACAACATCCCTACCTCTGACAGCTACAGACAAATTGAGACCTTTCTGCTCTAAATAAGTGAGAGACAGGAACAAAACCTCAGTTCAACTCTCTTCCATCTTTATTCATTGGGCTATACCAATCTCAGATCCTACAAAGATGTGCATCCAGGATAGACTTATCTGTGAGGTAAGAGTCTAGAATGCTAACTTGTGTCAACATGCAGTCACATGGACACATCCCAGCTAACAACTAAACGTTTAAGGTGGTAGTTGACGAAGCTTTACTCAGAGCAGACCCACTGAAATGAATAAACATGACTCAGTTAGGGCCATTAAGTTCAATGGGTCTACTCTGAGTAAAACTTAGTTGAATGCTACTCTTGAATGAGGTAGCAATCTTATACTGTAAATACTCTAGGAAGAGGAGGGGAGATATCTGGCTACTGTACCAGGAGACCAGTCATTATATCTGAGGAAAACACACAACTCAGAAAACATTGAAATGGCATAAAAACAGCAGACCGCCCTCCCCCACACTTCCTACTACAGTACTAAGAAACTCTGCCAAAGCCCACCAATCAGGGACTATAGGTGATGGTGCCCACAAATGGAGGGAGCCTACGAATTCTTAATGACTCACATACGCACACAAAGAGCAGATGCCCCTTCATCACAACATGCAAAACCAGCAGTAACTCTGCTGCTGGAAGCCCCAAAACATCCCTATAAACAGGGGTTCAAGACTCCTCTTGCTGCTCTCAAACACAATTTTGTAGCCAAAACACGCAAAGGAAAGGAAGAAGATCCCACCCAACACAGCACTCATGTTGTTCCCATAGCACATAAAGAGCCGATCCCAAGTGGTGCAGGAAAGAGGCAAGTTGAGGGGCAGTTCAAGGTCCAGGCAAGAAGTGTTCCAGCCTGGTACTGAGGCCTTTGAGCTGGAGCTACCGGAACCACACCCAGGGGTCCAACTGAGTTTCATGAGCTGTTGTCAAAGAAAGACCTGGACTCCCAAGTCTGGTACTTCCCTTTATGGACAGGTTTCCATTTGCTGTTTAAAACATCGTTGCTCCTACAAGCTCAGGGTCCATCCAGCCTTAGCCTCTGAGGCCAAACTCTCCCACTGTGCCAACAGCCCCACAGCGGCCTTGTCCAAGAGTCCCAACTTACTCCTCTCCCCAGATCTAGTCAGGTCTGGGGCTTTGCTTAGTACTGGGAGTTCCAGGTTATCCTCTGATGAGGAATTTTCCAGCTAAGACACAGCAGCAGTACTGGGGGCTCTCCAGCCTGCAATATTATTTAGGCCCACCAGGCTTCCCCATTTGGCCTGCGAAGGCATTTTGGTCAATCCATGCCCATCTGTCCTACACCGGATGTCATATATGTCAGCAGGTGTCAGGCAAGCGAAGACAAAGCTGGGCCAAAAATGGTCTTGCTTGCAAAGCAGCTGATTGCAGGCACCTACAAAGTACTGCGCCCTTGTCCGCATGGTTTGATTTCAAGCTGCGCAGGTCAAAGGAAGATGGGCCACCTGACATTATTGTGATGTTGGCTGACTGACAGGTGGGCAACCCCATCCACCCGTTAAAGTTGGCCCCTGGGTGGTGGGGAACATAAGGACCCTCAAGTCTTCTGACCACAGCCAATTCCCCACTCCAGAATAGGGCATGGAGCTGAGAAGCAACCCATGCCCACTCAGCTAGTGTAACTGCAGTATCGAATTGCAATGAAATTCTCTCCCACTGAATATTATTATTATTATTATTATTAATAATAATAATTTATTACTTAAACCGCAGACATCCAACTGGCTTGCTCCAGACACTCTGGGCATCTTCCAACATAATATAAAAACACAGTGAGACATCAAACTTAAAAAACTTCCTGATACAGGGCTGTATTCGGAAAGTTGTGTAATTGTTCATTTCTTTGACATCTGATGTGGGGGCGTTCAACAGGGCGAGTGCCACTACTGAGAAGGCCCTCTTCCTGGTTCCGTGTAACCTCACTTCACACAATGAGGGAACCACCAGAAGGCCCTCAGAACTGGACCTCAGAGCTGAATGATGGGGGCGAAGCTGCTCTTTTAGGTAATACAGAGCTGAGGCCATGAAATCAGTGAGACCTGAAATTTCTTAAACTTGAATAGATTCTGCCTGAACTTGCAAGCAGAAATGGAAACACTGCAACCAGGGTGTGGTGCAAACTCAGTGAAATGTTACACAAAGTGGCCATTGTCTGCCGAGCAATCATGTGTGGGTTTGCATATTGCAGGGTTCCCCACAAAGCACTCCAGTGTTAAAAAAACAAAACCCCAAGCCTCTAGATGTCCGTCCCCCCCTGTTATGTAAACCTAATAAGCAACCTGGAGGAAACTAAAATATGGATCAAGTAGAGGAACTCTAAAAAAGAAATAGAAACATAGAGATACCCTGAAATACACATAAATTGGTCAGTCAACACGTTTTGAATTAATGCTCAAGGTGATATAGAAAAGTTGAATACAATGGAAATAATAGCTAAATATAACCTCCATTCTTCCTGTGTGTTAATATAATTTTACTGTTAAAACTTTCCTACCCTACAGCAATGAAATATGGAGTGACTCTGTGACATAAAGAGGAAATGGGGGGGGGGGGGAACGATGACATTTGATTACAAGCAAATCTTCCAGAAGCATAGAAATGAACAGTGCAACTAGATAATGTGCAGGGGGGTAGGAAGTGTATTTACAGAACAATCCTATTCTCGTGCTATGCCAAGGAGGCAGTAGATAAGTCACCATTATGTTGGCTGAATAGCTGCCACACCCAATGCAAGCTCAACCTGAAACAGTGTGGTGTGGAACACACAGCACAGAAACACCAAAAGCAGTATAAACACAACAGACACAAACTCACTGCCCCTAGAAACATCCTAAAGCCCACCAGTTAAGGACTATGCCTGGAATGAGAGCCAGTGTGGCGTAGTAGGGAGAGTACTGGACTAGGACCTGGAAGAACGGAGTTCAAATCCCCACTCGGATATGAAGTGCACAGGGTGACTTTGCGCTAGTCACAATCTCTCAGCCTAACCTACTGTACAAGTGTGTTGCAACAGTGAAATGGAGATGGGGACAACCGTGTATACTACCTTGAACTCCTGGAGAAAAGGCAAGATATAAATGTAATAGCGAAGGATGCCCACCAATGGGGCATTTGGCCTCCCACTCACCCCTCCGAGCCCCAACATCCAATTATAGGTACTAGGAGCACAAGGGTTGCAGGAGAAGCCCTGGTTTGTTAGAAAAGTGCAGCAGGGCTTCTGCTAAACCCTGCAGCCCCTCAACCAGCAGAGAGCGGGCCTTTTCTGTGGTGGCTCCTCATCTGTGGAATGCTCTCCCCAGAAAGGCTCACCTGCCACCATCATTACATGTCTTTAGGCGCCAAGCAAAAACATTCCTCTTTACCCAGGCCTTCAGCCATAAATAATCTATGGCTTGTTAAATGTGTTTGTGGCAGGGACTGTTATTGTGAATATTTTATTAGCATGCATCTATAATTATGCTCTGCATTGTTTTTTATTATTATGCTCCGTGAAATATGTTCTTGATGTTGTACACCACCCTGGGATCTTTGGATAAAGGGTGGTATATAAACTGAATAAATGATGATAATAATAATAATCTTCGCTGTAGGATTGTGACCTTAAGTTTCTGGTATCTTCTTACTCCAAGCACCTCACATGTCCTCCACCACACAGCATATATTGTATAATAATATGGCTCCCCCCAGTGGTTCATGCTGTTGATGCACTACAGTGCTGGGAGAGGGAATCAAACACTTCTCCAAACTTTGAGGCTACTTGTTGCTGGGAACAGAGCAAGGGCAACAACATGAATTGGTGTGAGATAATCTTCAAGTGTACCAACATAGTGTCAGCAGCACTTTTTTTTATTATGACTGCTTGCAGTCTTGTCTGCCTTGGTAAAAGAAACAGTTTTTACCCCATGAAATAAGGCAGCATGGCTTGGATCATGAGCAAGAACATCAACACACACGAAAAGAAGAGTAGCAATTACTGACAAAAACACATGACCAGCATGTCAAAGTTTAGAGCCCTGCTGGATCATATCAAAGGGCTGTTTAGACCAGTAGTGGCACACCTTTTTTCAGACCAGGCTCCCTATTTCCTTCTGAGCGCCACATGTCAGTGGTGGGTGGGGCAGCAGCAAAAGAAGGCAGAGCAATGAATGCAAATTTAACCTTTCTATACACACACATACTCATACACCTCTCTTTATCTTCTATCCAGACAAGCAAGCCACATCATTAGAATTCCAACTAGGCAACAATATTTAGGGTGTGAAGGGTATCACCTGGGAAGAGTTCCAAGTGCCAGAGAGAGAGGTTTGGAGAACTGTGTTTGGTCACCAGGCCTGAGGTTCTCCATCCCTGACTGAGACCAACATTTTGTTTCCCAGTTAACAACCAGATGCCTCTGGGCAAAAACCGCCCCCCCCAGTAAATGGCAATTCAGAGACAGTTGGAGCTGGCCTATGACCATCATGATTAGTTACAACTGATACTTTTAAAAGCAAAGTGGGAAATAAGATTATCTAAATCCTCATGTTAAAACTCAACTGTTAGCTGACTGTGCCTCTTCAGACTGTGGGTGGGTGATCAAATGTAGAAATGCTTTCTGATATTTTAGGTATACACTTGTCTGTGCAGAAAAAATATCAGTGGGAGGGAATGTGGACATTCACCCCTCACTTGTAGTCTTTAAGAATTTGGTGGAGCACATGGTTTCTATACAACTGGGCATCATAGGAGCCAACTCCTAGGGGCTGTGGGGGCTTTGGCCCCGACAATAAAATATTTAAGGGGGCCAGGCCCCCACAATGTTGATGGGCATTTCTATTCAAATGTGTGTGTGCACTGTGTCATGTGATTGATTATGCGGGGTGGGGTTTACCTGGGCCCCCACAATATTTGATTTAAATTGGCACCCCTGCTGGGCATTCAAAAGCATCACTGCCTCTGACAGCAGTGCAGACCCATGAATCCTCTTTTATAGGCACCTAAGCTGGTGGCCACCACTGGGGGAGCGATCACAGATGGAGGCTAATATTCTGCCTTAAACCATGGTAGAGCATTGGCTACTTGGTGGCCCTGCCTGACAGCACTCTCCTCCCTTCTCTGGCGCTAGGATACCTTGAAGGAGAAGACGGAGGGGATCACGCCCGCCTTCAGCCTTTTCTGTCCTCCATACACCTCGAACTCATCCTGGAAGAAATGATCTGAGCAGATGCAGGCGCCTGAGCCTGGGATCCACAGCTTCCTGGAGCCTGGCTCAATGCGATTCACAGCCAGCATCCACTTCTTCCTCAGTTCATGGGCTTTGGGGAAGCTGGAGGAGGAAGAAGAGATGGGAAACTATAAATCCCACTGACTTTCCCCACATGGGCTGATGGTGCAGGTGACGACACCGACTGACACAAAGCCCCGCCCACAACCCCACACCTGGCCCCGCCCCTTGTTAACCAAAGCCCCGCCCCCTCCGCTAATAGGCTTAGAACCAGCCACACTCTCCATGAGGAGGCCCCATTACGGTATTCAGATGCAGACCTGTGGAATGAGAGGCCCTTGGCCCGGTTCTCCCGCGTGTCCCGGTTGGGACAGTTAACGGCCGAGCAGGCTTTAGGCATCGTCTCCGACTCCGCGGCGAAAAGCCCCAATCCCGGCTCCCGCCAAGCGCGGTTACTTTGCCTCGAGCGTCATGGCGGCAACGTCCGCGGCGCACTCTGAACTGACCCCGGAGGCGACCCGTCGGAGGGAAACACCCCGCGCGCGGATTGGTCCCCGCGGCGACCTGTTGCCGGCCGCGGTGGGTGCTGGGAAAAAGAGAACATGGCGGCCGGGCCCAGCAAGTCGGAGATTCAGACCCTTTTCAAGCGGCTTCGGTCTGCGCCGCCCAACAAGGTACCGAGCGCGGGGAGTTGAGGCAGGAGGCTCTGGAGTGTCTCTTTGGCCGCTGTTCCCGAGGGCAGACGCCCGCCGGCCCAGCGTCTCCCCTCCCCACCGTCCCCTTCCGGTTCGGTTCTGCCACCGCCGCAGTGCCCCGTCCACCTGCGGCAGGGCTGGGGCCGTGAGGTTTGAGACCTTGAAGGAGGACGGCACCTGCGTCCCCTCAAAGCGCAGCGGCCCGTTTCATCCCCGCAGTCCCCTCGTTTCAAGCTACAGGGTGGGGAAAGACTCGTCATAGTTAGTCACTGGCGCCAGACCAGACATACGGGCTCCCTATAAGGAAGCTGGCCTGCTGTCCTTCCTTTCCCGGTGGCTCCCTCTTGGTCTTCCTCCTAGCTTCTCTTCTGTTTCTTGTAGTCCTGCTTTGACTGCGGTGCGAAGAACCCGAGCTGGGCCAGCATCACCTATGGAGTGTTTCTCTGCATTGACTGCTCTGGGGTTCACCGGTCGCTGGGTGTGCATCTCAGCTTTATCCGGTGAGTACTAGGGTTTTGTTTGTTTTTGGAGGGGTGGGAGGTAAGATGAGGAACGTGAGAGATACAGGATCCCTGCTTTAGTCGTACGGGGACCAACGATCAACGTGGCTCATTGTGTGCAACTCCAGTGTCTTGTGTAATTGTGGTACTTAGCTTACTCCTAAAATGGCTCTTGTGCAGTAAAACGTGTTTGATTAGGTAATCTTTGAGGATCCTAAGAATAGCCTAATCCCCTTTCTCTCACTTGTTCATTGTACTGCTGTTTGAAAACAGGCAGGATATTTATATAGTTCATTATACAGATTGGTACTCACCATGAAGTTGTTGCAATAAGTGCCACACTTTTAACATCTGGAAGGAAAAGTTGCTATTACTGGGTACCCTTGAGTACCCCCAGAAAAAGCACTGTAATATATTTGTGGTGAAGTTTGTTCTTGATGACTTAGAGATAGCTACTTTCGTAACAAGAGATGGCTACTTTCGTAGTTAGACAAGTATTGAATGAACTTCTTTGTAATGTTCCGTTCATCTACAGATGTAGTTATGATACTCAGAAAATGCACTGCTGATTGCTATGATCTTTAAAAATTATTTTGCACATGATGTGTGACTGCATACAAGTTTGCACTATTTACTTCTATATACTATATACTATATACTATATACACTATATACTTCTGCAAATTGAGTGATAGATTTGTGTGTTTCTTTCTGGTATTATTGTCATTTTATAGGTGGCATTAGTTAATATTTTGTGTTGTAGTGAGTGCATGCTTGTTTGTACCTATACAGCATTTGAAGGGAAATTCAAAAAGAGGGAATCATCATTTCAGAAAATGTTTCTGTTTGCCATGCAACAATCCTAGTGATTAGCTATGGAAGGAAGAGAGTTGCTAAAGGCATTCCTTTGGTTAAAAACCTGTTTCCACACCAATGGAAGAAAACATTGGAGTTGGGGGCCGTGTTAGAATTCTGTAAAGCTTCCTCCTTCCTTGGCAATGTATAAAAATAACAACTGTTCACTGTAGTGCACTGAGACTGATTTCATACTTGAATTTTCCACCACTTGACACTCCTCCACTGCTGTCTGTTGAAAGATTTTACATTTGAGGTGATGTGCAATGGTCATAAAAGCTGTCCATCTCTAACACTTGATCTCTGACTTTATTGCACTTTATGTTATATAAAAACTGAGCAGTGAACATGCTTGAACAGACCCTTTAACATGTTCTCCTTTTTTGGCTGACTTCTAATACATTGAAGTATTTGTCTCATTTCAATACATTTGTGAAGCTTGAAAGCCCGCACTTACCCTTTACCTGACCTACTTCTGTGAGAGTATCGGATTACTCACACAGGCTAGCTAGCTAGCCCTAGTTCTTGTTCTTACAGTGTAAGCTCTTTGGCTCTTATAATAGTTCCTTACCTGAAATGCTCTCTCTTTGTCCTCGGTGAACAGAAGGAAAGTAGAATTCTGTGTTGGAGCAGGACCATGCAATTTTGGCAAAGCAAGAAGTACATAGCTTCTTCTGGCTGCTGTGTCATGTGACAGAAGTGAGATATTTGATACATATTGATTTCTGAGTATCTCATGGCTGACAGTACCATACCAGGAGAAATGAAATTCATACATCTAGAGGAAACTTTCATTGGTTAGAAGTGTATCAGCTAGAATCATTTGTATTTCTGTATTTCTATTTTAGTAAATGAATGTACAAAGTATGGGTACAACAGCTTTCCCAAGCTCTGGAGTGCATAATTCTCTCTGGTGGTTTTCATGGCCATTTCTTCCTGTATTTATGAGCCTATAGAAGTATGTACACAAATTAGATAAGGCTTTGAAGAACATGTCAAAGAAGTTTCTGCAGAGCTGCTTGACAGCAGTGCTAAAGCCATTACATCTATTTCAACAGTACAAACACTGCTGCTGCTGCTTTTAAAAATATTTCAAAATTGATTTTCAATAAAAAGAGCATGTAAACATATCCTGTCCTACAACAGACATCCCTTCCCCAATATTTTTTTTGTTGGGGGGGGGAGAAAACATTATTTCAGAGAGTACAAATGCTTCTTTAAAGTATTGTTGACCAGCACATACTGAGATTAGTTTTGTATCTTTGAAATTAGCCATTTATTTATTTAGAAGCTTTCTATACCGTCCCTCCTTTCATTGGATCAGATTTCAGGGCACTGCTAATGTAATTCATAATACAATTTCAAAAAACCAAAACACAAAAGAACAAATAAAAGCTCAAAACATGTTGAGACCTATATACTTTTAAAAATACCTAGTTGAATAAAAGTGTCTGAATCTGGCATCTAAAAGCTTGTAAAGTTGGCCCCAGGCATTCCTCCTTGGGAGATGGTATTCCATAGCCAGGGTACCACCACTGAAAAAACCCTCCTTTATTGTTTCATGGTGCACTCCTGATAAAGAAGTCAGAGCAGGGCCTCAACAGAAGATCCTAAGAGAAGCAAGCTGTCTTCCTTTGTGTGTGCTTGTTTTTCCCTAATCCAAAAAATTGTCCACTTGGTATTTTTGTGTGTTTCTTGGAAAAAAAGATAAATGCATGCTAGCTGGATACATCTGAAGAGTCTTTTTGCTCGTGTGCTCAAAACATATTCTCCTTGCCAACACTTTTGCATCTGAATTATTGGGTACCCACTACCTTGTATTCAGTCTGAAATTATTCTGGTTAACAGGCCAGACTGAAGGAGTTCAAACAGCCAAATACAACTGGGTCAAAGCTCTGGTAACAACATGAGCCACTGCCAGGGGTGTACCTAGAGGTTGGCCAGGTTGGCCCCCACCAAGGACGCAGGGTCAGGGAGGCACAAAAATCACATCTCTCCATCTGGCTTGGAGTGGCTAGGAATCTGGGCGCCCTCACCAGAGGAATCCGGTTGCTGACATGGGCCATCTCAGCAACCCTGTGGTGCCCCCTTCCCAGTCAGAAGTGTGAGTGGAGTGCCTAGCAAGGCTTAGGGAAGAAAGACATGGAGCGGGTAAGAGTTGCAGGAGGAGGAAAATGGAAGGGAGGAAGGAGGCAGAAGGGAAAGCAGGGAGTGGAGGGAGGAAGGTAGACAGATGGACCAATGGAGGAGGAGGAGGTGTGGAGCAGATCTGACCCTGATGGCCACAAAGGGAGTCACTGGTGCAGTACAAAAGGCAATGCAAAGCAGACTTTTTGAGTTTCTGGCCCTTGCTCTCTCCTGGCTATAGAGGCACTGGTACAACATCTCCTTGCCCAAGGGCACAAGGAAACCAAGGTACACCTCTGGCCGCTGCCCTCACCCGGAAACTAACATGGGAGATATTTATTGGTTTAGGGGCACTAACAGTAGTACATATATTCCCAGAGATCTGCTTCCATTGTGTATTATGTTGTTCAAACCCTTCTGAGCCTGATCTGGTGAACTTTTCTGAGATAATGACTCCAGGTTTTGTTCTCTTGTCAGGTCCACAGAGCTTGATTTCAACTGGAGCTGGTTTCAGCTGAGGTGTATGCAAGTGGGTAGCAATGCCAATGCGGTAAGGAGCCATTTGAAGTTGATGATCTTTGGTTGCATGCCTGGACCTTTTTACCATTCTCCTCTTTGTCATAGTCAGGTGGTTGGTGTTTTCTTAATAAATATTTATCAAACCTGCTTATAAAATAAAAGAACACGGTGACCTGTGTTCCTGAAACTCCTGCTTCCAAGAGAAAGCTGAATTCTTGCAGGTCTGTGTCTGGAATTGGGCCCTTTAGTTGCAGGAAGTCACCCGTTTGTTTCATTTGCTCTTCATTTTTCTAATCTTGGACTTCAACTAAATTTCCTCTCCACCCCGGCCAGACTGCCTTTTTCCGCCAGTATGGTTGCACCACCACAGATGCCAGTGCCAAGTATAATAGCCGCGCAGCCCAGATGTACCGGGAGAAGATCCGGCAGCTGGCAACTGCTGCGATGGCCAAGTATGGGAATGATGTAAGTGCAGATGAGCCTCTTTGCTGTTGGGAAGGATCAGGGACCATGGTGCTTGCTACTGAATACGACAAACTATTTTCTCCTTTTCCAGCTCCTGATCGATGGGCTGAGTGGAACTCCAGGTCACTCCCCAGAAAAGAGTGATGCCGATTTTTTCTTGGAACATACACAGGTGTGTTGAGCCAACTTGGATTGCCCCTTTCCAGCAGAAACCTTCATTGATGGGGGAACTACAGGTCATGAATGCATTTGATCCAAAACTCTGTGACCTACATAGATCAAGTTGGGGGGGCCATGCTGCTCAGTGGTTTGGACCTGCCATATTCACTAGGTTTGCCTCCTTGAGGTGGTTGTTTACATTCATACATGCAAACTGGCCTGGTTTGCATGTCACAGTAATCAAGGTTTGGCTTGGATTGTGGTGAAGATCTTTCCTCCTTGACCACCACCTGTAACCTTAGGAAAAATTTTGGCTACAGATCGTAGTTAAGGAAGAGAGACCTTAAGCATAGTCCCAGGTTCGAATGACAAACTGAGCCAAACCCTAGCTGAGGTGCTGTGCTGACCTACAAAGCCTGAGGAGGAGCAAAGTAGCTGCAACCTCCTCTTTGGGAGCCAGTGCGTTCAGGCTAAGCCATGAACTGACTTGGTGTGACATGGCCACGGAGTCAGATCAGTGGTCTTTTTGGCTCAGTCTTCTTTGATTTGAGTGTTGGCTGTTCTCCAGTCAGAGGTGGTCTTCCTAGCCCCGCCACCCACAACCCTCCAACTGGAGATGGACCCTGGGATTCCTGTTCGTGCAGAGCCTGTGTTCTTCTACTACTTCTTCTTCCCTTCCCTTCTTCTTCTTTTTTTCTTGTTCACAAAGGATAAGCAGGGCTCTTTCCTTAGCATCTCCCCACCCTGACCTTGCTCAGGGGCAGTATACTTCCAGATACTGGATCCTGGGTTCAAAGAGATGATTGCTTTTAGTTTCTGCACTGCTTCTGAGCTTCCTAGAAATGGAGTTTTAAACTAGATGAACTCTTGGTTTTGTTCAACAAGATGATTCATAGCTTATGTCTTTCCCGTCTAGAATGCATTCTCTCTAGTACAGGGGCAAGACTGGCAGATTTCCACTTTGACTCTAAACTGGTGGTTCCATTGATTTCAGGGTACCATCTACTTAAGCATGCTTAGGATTGTAGAGCTGGTCTCAAGGGATTGGGTTTCCTTCTCCAAAACTGTTTCTTGCCACCGAGGAGATTATGTCTAAAGATATGGGAAAGCATGGCCTGAGTCTTAAATCGGCTTGGCTCCAGATTTCCCCACAAGAAGCCACCTTGAGGGCATGCATTGTAATACTTGAGAACACTGTTAATGCTTACTGGGTGTTATGCGTTTGAAATGCATATCCTGTTAAGCAAGGGTTTCTGAGTTTGATCTATTTGTACTGTCCGATCCAAATTGTTGCATCTTCCTGAGGGCCAGTTCATTTTCTTTTAAGGATTGTAATACCTGGGATGTGGTTGAAACAGGCCAGAGCACAGTGCAGCCTTCACTAGAATTGGAGAGAACAGCAAAGTCTACTGAGAATAATGAAGTTCAACGTGAGTATCGCTATTTAGCTCCTTTGCCCCTTTTGAATCTTCCTAGCCTGGCTGGAAAGACACTTGATCTTGCTTGTTCTCAGGATGGATGATGAGCAGAGGATCTGTGCAGTGTAACACATGAGTCAATATAGAGGATTGAAGAATTGCTTCATTGTTGCATGCATGTTGTGGCATCTCTCCACAACGTTTGGCAGCCATACCCATGTTCTCTTGAAGTGAACATTTTATTTTTCTCTTGGAAAAGGGTGTTTACGTTGCGTGACTTAAGTTAAGGAGTCCTGCATTTCCTATGCGGCCGCCGAGACCATACAACACCGGTCTTGAAAGACCTACATTGGCTGGCTCCCAGTACGTTTCCGAGCACAATTCAAAGTGTTGGTGCTGACCTTTAAAGCCCTAAACGGCCTCGGCCCAGTATATCTGAAGGAGCGTCTCCACCCCCATCGTTCTGCCCGGACACTGAGGTCCAGCTCCGAGGGCCTTCTGGCGGTTCCCTCACTGCGAGAGGCCAAGTTACAGGGAACAAGGCAGAGGGCCTTCTCGGCAGTGGCGCCCGCCCTGTGGAACGCCCTCCCATCAGATGTCAAAGCGATAAACATCTACCTGACATTCAGAAGACATCTGAAGGCAGCCCTGTTCAGGGAAGTTTTTAATATGTGACATTTTAGTGTATCTTTCATCTTTGTTGGAAGCCGCCCAGAGTGGCTGGGGAAACCCAGCCAGATGGGCGGAGTACAAATAATAAATTATTATTATTATTATTATTATTATTATTATTACTATAGGGCAGGGGTGGGGAACCTCTGTCTTTCAGAAGTTGATGGACTACAGTTCCCATCAACCCACATCAGTGATGACATTGCTTGGGGCTGATGGGAGCTGGAGTTCAACAATATATAGAAGGCCATTGGTTCCCCACCCCTTCTATATAGATTAAAAAGTATCAGGTGTGTGGAAGCAGTTCTGTTGCTTGGAATATTCTTGACCAGGCACTCCCAAACTCGGCCCTCCAGATGTTTTGGGACTACAGTTCCCATCATCCCTGACCACTGGTCCTGTTAGCTAGGGATGATGAGAGTTGTAGTCCCAAAACATCTGGAGGGCCGAGTTTGGGGATGTGTATTCTTGACTGTCAGTGAGACTCTGGTGGTTTCTACTAGCTGTCCACTAATTTCCTGCAGGGAGTTTTCTGGATAGTAAGCAGTGGTCCTGGAGCATCAACATTTTGTGGGATGAGAAAAAAATCATTTTAATTGTCCAAGATACTGGACACAAGACATGCATCTTCTTTGCTCTACCTTAGTTGCCATTTTAAAAAATAAGTGTGTGTGCTCTTGCCCATAGAGCCTGACCAGGGTCCATCTATTGACCTGCTGAGCACTTCTCCTAAAGGATCTCTTGGTAAGTGTAAGCTCCCTTGTTTCCTATTATGTTAAACATAATGTCTCAGTGGCTCACCATTTAATTTGAGTAGATGGTCTGCATTAACAACAGAGTTTATTTCAGATGCTGAATCAGGTAAGGGAGGCCAGAGCTTCTGACTCTGGAGAAGGAATTGGGTCACTTCTAAAAGTTTGACTTTTGAAAATTAGAACTATAGAGTTGGAATATACCTAAAGATCATCTAGTCCAACTGGCTGGTAGAGGAAATTGGCCGTTAGGCATAAAATTAGAGAATTGACCCTTCAGTGCAGGAATCTCAATCCCCTCATCCAATTTGAAACCATGCCAGATGGGTGATCCAACATCTGCTTAGAGATTTCTAACAAAAGAGAGTCTCTCACTTCCACACAAGTATGTTCACCTGTCAGCTGCTTGTTCCATCAGGAAGCTCTTCATAATTTTTAGTCACAATCCCCTTTCTTGTAATTTTAATTTGTTGGATTGGACCCTACCCTCCAGAGCATCAAAAAGCAAATCTGCTGCATCAGTATAACGGCCTTCAAATATGAAGATGACCATTCATCCTTGCACAGAATTAAGAAAAAGATTTTATTCAATATTGGAGACTATTCCCATATATGGTATCAGCATACCATATATTCTGCAATTTCTGGATGGCCTGTTCCTTCTGACCTTGAGATCCCAGTGTTTGTTTAGGTCAAAAGCAAAAATTCACCAGGGGGACTGGGGTAGTATCGAGTGAATAAATGCAAATTAGAACTATTATTGACTTATTTGTTAAGAAGAACTAGCTATTATTGAAGACTATGATCTGATTCTGATTTTAACAATCCAGTCTGCTACACCGTGGTGTATTGGACCAGGAATAGTTACATGCATGTTTGCTGCTCCTCCCCATATCCATTCAACTTTGGCAAAGATACCTTGCATTCTAACCACAGTTTCCCTTGATGTCAAAACAGGGAAACTGTACTTTACGGGCTCAAGAATATGAAACTAGAATCGGACTTGGTTTGGAGGAGGACCTTAAAGCACAGTTTCTGGATCAGATGTCACTATGAACTAGGTTGCCTTCATCAAAGCAGTGGGGGGGAGGGGAGAAGGACAGAGAGAGCTTGCGTGCACAGGATCTGTGCCTGGTCCGATAAACCACAATGTCTGATTCCGGCCTATAGATGCTAGTATCCTGTGCCTGCAATTTTGCTTGGGCCTTCTTGTGGAAGATGTGTTTCGATCTCTCCTGAGCCCAGACTATACCTAGAACGTACCATTTTAGTTTCCAACATGTACATGTCTTTTTCTTCCTCAGACGCATCCATGTGTCTGTCTCGGCAAGGGGCTGCTCCTGCCAGAGGTAACTGGCTAAGGGCCTGCACTGGCTACTTGTGGTGCCTTGCCTCTGCCTTCTCTTTCTGTGGTTCTGCCTCCAGGCCAGGGGTTGTCTGTCTTGTACATTCAAATTGTCATTTCAAGGAAGTTGATCTTCCTCACTAGTGAAGTTGAGGATCCATCCTGCTCTTTGCTATCTTTGCAGTCAGCCAAGTGGACACACGTGGCTCGTTTCAAAGAGGCACTTGCGTTGCTAACTGCTTTAGGAATACTGAGCAGCCTCCCTAGCAAATGCAGCTTCAGTCCTACAGCAGTGCTTTGTTGCCACTAGAGCTCTTCTCCAAGGCCAACCTGAGCTCATGAGCTACCAGGCACCCTTTGGCTTCTCAAGCACCAGTTTTTTGTTGCAATATATGTAACATATTGGGAAATCAGTCTAGTTTTTCAAACCAGATTCTTTGAAGCACCACTTCTTGGCATGATTTTATGCTGCTTTTTCAACTCAGGAAGGGGGACCACAAAGCGGCTAATCTGAAATTGCATGGTGTGGCCTGTCATACTGCCTTTGGATTTCTCTACGCTGCTGCCAGAGCTGTTGGGTGTATTAACTATGCATCTGGCACACTTGGCATAGCTTTCCTTGTGCCACAAAAGCCTTAAATAACTGCTACTAGTGTTGGGACTAACAGCAGGTTTCTTGCTGTCTTTCATGTCTGCTCATTATTTTTCCCTGTTGCAGAAATAAAACCTTCACTCATTGGAAAGAAGAAGCCAGGTGCTACTAAGAAAGGGGTATGTCTGCTGAAAGGGACTTTGCCTCTCTAACTACACACATTTCCTATTTTCTGGTAAAGATTTGTTCCCCAGTCCACATCAACCCAGCAAATGGCCTTGCCATTTGCCTTGAGTATCTAATAAGGATTTTCTCTAATCAGTTTTGTATTGTATACTATTTGTGGGTATCAATGCTGCCAGGGATCTGCCTGATTCTTGACTGGATTTCATTTCAGTGATTGTACACACAACCAAATACTGTGCATGTAGAGAAATATTCAGAATGAGCTTGAAAAAGCTGGGTGGGGGAGGCAGGGAGAGATTGCATCATTGGTAAACTTATAAAATTTCAAACATCATATGAAGTACACCAGACGAGTAAATAGTGGAATTGCATATAGCAAAGCTTGCAAAATAGTGAGCAGCTGTTTATCTCAGGTGGGGAACCTGCAGCCTGTAGGCCAAATTTGGCCTGTGAGGCTATTTTCCCCAAACCGTGTCTGCCTGACCCATACCATATGATGAGATTTGTGGGGCAGTCAGAGATGTGGCAAGTTTGGCTGCACAACCCAAGTTTCCTATGGGGGGCGGACCTGCATCATGCAGGCCATCTGCAATCATGTAGCCAACTTGATTCTTGCAGTGCAAGTGATCCCTTCCAGCTCTACAACTCTATGGTTCTTTGATCTCTGCAGAAACAGCTTGGCCAGCCTTGTGCTCAGCACTGGTAACTAAGCATAGGGATGGCAAAGCCCCTTGTGCTGCAGTTCCCAAGCCCTGTGTAAACAACTTTTAACAGGTGGGTTGCACCAAGCAACTGTCACAGTTGGTTTGCAGGGATAGGGACAGATAAGGATCTGGCCTGCTGAACGCAAAAGGATTCCCATCCTTTAAATCTTCCCTTTCAGCATTTGGAGGGGCCTATCAAATTTGTCTTGAACTGGCCAGATTTGTTCATTGACACTCTCTGCGCCCCTTGCATCATTTGCAGTAATTGATCCTTTGGTTTTGCCATTTTAAAGGCTCACTGTGGCTTTTCTTGGGACCTTTATTCTGCTTCTGTTTCTTCCAGCTGGGGGCCAAAAAGGGTCTTGGAGCTCAAAAAGTGAGCAGCCAGAGTTTCACTGAAATTGAACGACAGGCCCAGGTGGCTGAAAAGATGAGGGAACAACAGGCTGCAGAGTGCAAGAAGCAAGCTGAGGAGTCCCTGTAAGTGAGGCACACTTGCAGCATCCTCAAGTTAGGATCTGAATATGTTTGCATGCAGAGTTATTGGGACAAGCTTCCTCTCATAGGAAAACTTGTATTTGGCATGGAATGATGAAGCAATTGGCACATAACAAAGTCAGGACTAAATAAGTGTTGTCCTGCCCAGGCCTGAGCTTTTTTGAGGGCGTAAAGTCTTTCCTGCTTACCCATTTCCTATTTCAGAATGATGAGATATGTGGGTAGTTTATATGTATTCTGGACTCCCCTGCCAGTTTATTCTGTTGTCTCCCTCAGAGTTGCCTCAATGAGACTGGCGTACCAGGAGTTGCAGATTGATCGGAAGAAGGAGGAGAAGAAACTCCAGAACCTGGAAGGAAAAAAGCGTGAACAAGCTGAGAGACTGGGCATGGGATTGGTGTCCAGGAGGTATTTGCTATACATGAAGAACAAAGAGAATGTGCCGAGTGGGTAGATTTTAGTGTAACATCTGCCCCAAGATCGCTTGGGGGTTTAGTTGCTGCTGTCTCAATAGGCAGGAAGATTGTGGTTCAAGAGTACATCATTGGTGAGCTGAGTTCCAGTCTACTCCATTTGGAGTGGCTTGTGAATCCTAAACATTAGCCTTGAGTGTAATCTACATTTGCCCCAATCAAAAGATTACTTCTTTCCTGTAGATCTTCAGCCTTGGGTGGCTCTTCTGCTTTTCCATCTTGTAGAATCTGATCTGAGGTATAATGAAATTTGTATCTTTAGAAAATGAGACACTGTCCTGGCTCCCTCACTGTTTATTTATTACCCACCCAGACTGTATACAGCAAAAGTTTTAGCAATGAGAAACCCCTGCTTGCAGTCATAAGTCTCACATCTGCTTTTGCCATGATCTCTACATTCTGGCTAGCTCAGAGCACAGCCTTAATGAAGTGATGTAGCAGCCTTTCTGAAAAGCCAGAAGGTCTGGTTAGTGACAGGATGGGAGGCTGCCTGCAGAATTTGATGAGTAACACCTTGAGTTCCTTTAAAGGGAGGCAGACTAGATTGACTTGGGCCTTATTTTTGAGCCAATGTAGTTCTAATGGTGAGAGGTAGGTGTTGGGCTCTGACAGTAGGGTTTTATCTTGGTCTTCTTCCTCCTAGTTCCATCTCGCACTCTGTCCTTTCCGAGATGCAAATGATAGAGCAAGAAACACCAGTGACTGCAAAGTCCTCTCGGTCCCAGCTGGATCTGTTTGAAGACACTGGAAGTTTCACATCCGGACCACCCAAGTAAGACTGAGTGGCTGCAGTGCCATTCGCTCTTGCCCAGCTTTTCTTTATCTGGCCTAGATAAATCTCCTCTCATTTTTTTTTTCATAGGTACAAAGATAATCCTTTCTCAATAGGAGATGCTTTTGGCTCGCAGTGGGAAACAGAGAACACCTGGGGGATTGACAAAGGGGAAGAGGAGACAGACATCACTATCTCCAGTATTCGGCCCATTGGTGAAAGGTAAAAGTGATGAGTGGAGTCCCATCTGGAAAGGAGTTTTTTGAAGGAACTGTTCAGGGACATATATGACTGCTCTTTAACCGGCACCTAACAAAAAGGCCTCATAGGCTTTCCCAAGGCATTTTGCCTCAAGCACTTTCAAAATGGCATCGTATTGTGGTCTGATGGACTAAACTTCAGAGATGAGGGTTCAAATTTCCACTCAGCCATGAAGCTCCCTAGGTGACCTTGTTTCTCAGCCTAACCTATCCCACAGGGTGGCTGTTAGGATAAAACAGGGAGGGAGAGAAACCTAATGTGACACCCGAAGCTCCCAGGAGGAAAGGTGGGGCATAAATGTAATAACAACAACATTTGCAATCAATATGAATGAATCTCAGAGCAATGCTTTGACTAAGCCACTGAGAAATGCTGGTTGCTTGAGTGATGGTCGCTCTGCTGCTGCTGAGATTAGGGGGCTTTTGTCTTTGTTTAACTGAGGAAAATAGTGACCAGGTTTACACACTGCAGAAACCATAGTTTAGAAAAACGATTCACTAAACCTGTGGCTTAATGTGAACAAGCAATGTGCCTTAAGCGTGCTGCTGAAAGGTTCTCACTGCACTCCCTGCCTGCTCCTGCTCCTGCTTCTGCTGTTCTGTGGACAAAACAAGCCAGAGTTTGGCTTCTTGTAGCTTCTGGGTCATGGCCTGAAATTTGTCTCCAAACCACAAGCAGTAACAAGGGTTTGTTCTTGGCTAGCTACTTGTGGTTTCTTCGGGGGAAACATACCCAACTCTGCCTGGTGTTGACTGTGGCACATCAGGAACGGGAAGAGTGCTGTGGAAACTTTGGAACAGCCTGCAACATGACACACTGCTTATTCATTTAAAACTGGCTGGGTTTCAGCTATGGTTTAATGTGCTGTGTGAATCAATCCAGTGTATGACATAGCTGTTAGCTGAGGGGGCTTATGACATCCAACTAACTTGGAGTTGAACAGATGCGGTTCCACTTTCTCGCCATGGTCGAATACCTGTGCACTGGGTTGTGACTCTGAATTGCTGTTACAGGGCTTTCCTTTCTCCTCCACTCAGACCCACCAACAGAAGAGAGACAGAGAGCAAGATCTCAGTAGTAGAGTCTAGTGAAGCTCGACAGAAGTTTGCTGGGGCCAAAGCCATCTCGTCTGACATGTTCTTTGGGCGGGAAGCTGATGCTGAGGCAAGTGCTGGATGATTTCTCTGTCTTCAGGCTGTTCCCACCTATCACCTGGCAACCACCAGCTTCTGTTTCCTGCGTCTTATTTTGTTTTCTCTTTCCAGTATGAGGCCAGATCCCGACTCCAACAACTCTCTGGCAGCAATGCCATCAGCTCTGCTGATCTGTTTGGAGAGTCTGAGACAGGGAACTCGGGTATGTCAGCAAACAACTTGAGAGACGGGTTTTCTTCTGTCACCAAGGGGCTGGTGTGGCCCTTAACACCTATTACTCAGAAAGGGATGGGCTCGGCTGGCTTGAGTGTCAAATCATGGAGCAGATTACATATCTGACTCAGGGTTACAGGATCTCCTAGCGGATTTCCCAACCTAGGATCTCAGCCAGCAAGGCCTCTTCCATAAGATGAGCATCTTTCTCATACAGAAGAACTCTCTGATGGTGTTGTTTTTCCTTCCGCCTCTCTAGGTGGCGTTTCAATTGGAAATGTACTGCCTGCTGCTGATATTGCGCAGTTCAAACAAGGGGTGAAGTCTGTTGCTGGCAAGATGGCTGTTCTAGCCAATGGTGTGATGAATTCCCTTCAGGTGAGGTAGCACGCCTGTTGTGTAGTCATGGCAAGAGGCTCTAAATGCCTCACGCAGAGTTCAAACTCTGATAGTGAAGGTTACAATCCTGGAAGCCATGTGTGATGTCTTGTCTCTGGCTTTTGTTTCGTTCTCATTCATGTAGGGGTCAAAAAGTTTCCAACACTTCTAAAGCAGCTAGCTGGTCAGTCCACTAGAAGATAATAAATTACTGCACCATGTATGCTAAATTTAAATTCCCAGCTTTTGCAAAGCTACTTGGACTCAGGTAGATGATGCAAACATATGCAAAGTAACTGGTGTTTTTATACTTTGTAGTTCTGGAACAGAAGTTAAGACGCAAACCTTAATTCAGGCCTCATCCACACTTAAACGCTGTGTGTGCAAACCTCAAGCTCACCTGCTTACACACTTGGGCTGTTCCCCTAATGCTCCTGTGCGAGGAGCTGCTTTTGTCAAATGATGGGATGACAGGGGCTACAGCCAGTTCTCATTCTGATCTTTTCTCATGTTATTGGTGAGAGCAGCTCCTTGCTTACAGTGGAGATATTGCATGATCTGAGATGGCAGCATGGAAATTCTCTGCCAGCAAAAGTAACCTTTTACATGGTTCATAAGCCTCTTATTCAGAGCTTAGTAGGATGGGCTTGCTTTTGTCATATCCGCTTGCGGGTTTCCCCATATCTGGTTGGCCATTAGAGAACAGGATGCTGCACTAGATGGGCCATGGACCTGATCCAGCCGGCACTTTTATGTCCTGATATTTGGCCTGAAGTTTTAACTGTTTGGTGGGGTTAGCGGCTGTATTCAGGTGCCGAGAAATGTGGCATCATTTCTGTGGGCAATGTGCTAAGTTGCCTCTTTCTGTCCTCCCTCTCCCACCTCTTAGGATCGCTATGGCTCATATTGAGGATTCAGGAGACTTTGCAGCTTGTGGCCATCAGCGAAACACCAATTGCACCTTGAGTCCACCTGGAAGAATTGAACAGGATTGCTTTTTAGCCGAGCATGGCTAGGGGCTTCTTGAGGAGAGAAGGAGAAATGGACATGCCTGGCACTTGCTCAAAAACTCTCTGGACATTATTTTCTATTTGAAATGACCCCAACCTTCAGCTAATGGAATATTGGCCCTTCCAGAGAATCCCCCGCTGCTGCTGCTCCTGCGCACTGCACAAGGGTTGCCAATTGACCTCTGTGCTGCTGCTGTTTCCACTTCCCCCAGCCCCTGGCTGTTATTAGCAGAATATGTTTGAGGGGAGAAGGAAGCTGTGTTTGAAACTCTTCCAAGGGAAATGGCAGTAAACAGGGGAATCCCCAGGACCTAGACTGTCTTCTAGAACAGGGGGAAGTTCCAATTTTGGCACAAGGTTATTCTTACTGGCCGTGCCTTGAACCAATGTGATATAATTAGATCCCTTTTTGAGAGCAGCGACTTTAAAGCCTCCATCTGTAGCAAGCCGCGAAGGATCAAGGCATGCTTGGGTGGGCCTGGGCAAGATATTTGCAGTATTATGCAAATATGCTGGACAGCTGGGGAAACGTACATTTCTTACCCTGACACACACACCCTGAACCATGGGTTGATGCTGTTGAGAAGAGAGCATCTTCAGTTGAGGAATGAAGAGGTTATTGGGCCTGCTGTTGCCTCGTCTCCTTGTTGCCCTCTTGGTTTCCCTTTCAGACCTTTATGGAAACTGCTAACAAAACAGGGCAGTGGCCGCTCAGTCCACTGGCTCTGTTGCTGTTTGTGCAACCACTGCTGTTGCTGGCCTCCCTTCCCCAGCGAGATCTACCTGAATATCATGGCCCCATCTGTGCTGCATGTGGGGAAAGGAAGTAGTTTCAAGGAAAGTGGCTTCCCCTTGTCGAAGCTTCACTGCTGCCCCTTTGCTCCTTCTAGCCCAGCATTCTGGGTTTCTTTCTTTCTTAAATGACTCCAGTTACAGTTCTGCTGGTGTAGATGAAGAACAGGAGAAGAGGAAAGTGCTCTCTTCCATCCCACAATGCTGCTTTGATGTTCAGGACAGAAGGTATCCTGCCACAAAGCCCCCTCTTGCTTCTGCATGCCTTTTCCCCCTGCCTTGGTTTATGTTCTTCTGTTGGAAGAAGAATCTCCTCATCACACTGGGAAACTCAATCCACGTGAAGCAGTGCTTGCTGTTGTAACCATTTTACATTTACCTTGCATGATAGTTGCTGTTGCAGCTGTGGGTTCATCTGAAGACTTGCATCGTGCCCGTTGTACATTCTGTTAAGGTAGCAAGTCTGTCTAATCGCTCTTCACTGGGAAATCAACCACTAAGAGTACACTGGAATGATGACTTTGGTTTCAATAAGATGCTCTTGCTAGAGAGAGAGATGAGGTTTATCAGGGTAGCTTGAGGACCCACTTTACGATGGAGCAACATCTTGCCTATTTCCATATCTGCATATTCATTAGTGCAATTGACCTGCTTTCTCCTTGCACACTTCCCCAAGAAGGTAAATGGCTGCATGGGCTTACTGGAAATCTCTTCCCCGCCCCCTTGGGTCTGCTCCACTTCTCATTTTTTGCTCCCTGGGTTCTGAAAATGCACTGATGTTTTAACTTCGATTATTGCAAATTTGTCTTAAAGTGCTCCTTTCCAAGGCCAGGAGTTTGCAGAGCTTTGGTTTGGCCTGGTGTGCTCTCGACTGGAAGAGGGTTCTCTTCTTGGACTGTCTGTGTACTTTGAGTTAAAACGGTAGTATTAATGAGCTTTGTTGTGGCCAGGGTTGGGCCTCTGCTGTGTGTGGGGGTCCAAAGGGGAGTGATATGGATTCTCTCCCTCCCACCCCAAGTGAATAAAATCAAATACGTGTGTGTTCCATTTCTGTGACTTCCTTTTTTTAATTCAGATGTAGCTGATGGACCCCAGGGACACTGGGGCAGGCAGAGCTACTCCCTTTTCTATGCCATGGGCTAGGAAGGGAAGTTAGCAGACTTCAGGTGAGGTGTGAAGAGGACACAGTCTGGGTATGAAAGCAGCCTTAAAGGATTACCAATTTGTGTTGATTTTTTCTTTATGAAAAATGAGCTGATTTGAAACACCGTCTGATTAATACGCTGTTTTTTAAAAAACCTTTGTACCTTCCCTAGGAAGACACTTACCAATAATTCAGTGGAGTTTTGAGCGGTATTGTCACCTTTCGCATTCCCTCAAGGTTGTAATGAATCTCAGACACATTACTTGCCTTTTACAACATGCTTTATTTACTATATATTATACTTTGTTTGCAGGAAAGTTTAAAGCTTTGCAAATTAATAAATAATGCCCTACTCCTTTCTCCTACAATAGAGCCCAGTAAGCATTTGAAAATGCTCATCGGCAATGGCCATCCCACAAAGTATGGAAGCTTAGCCCCAAATTTCACATCTGGTGACTGGGGTCATGTCTTACTAACTTGTTTGAATTTTGAAGTGAAACTTGGAAGGTGTTGGAATAGCTAACCGACTAGCAGATAGGGCATATACAGGAGGAGAAAGTAAAATAAATCTCGTGAGGACAAGAAGAGTACTTTGAGTTACAGGCTTCATCTTGTATATTTCCTATCCTTGGATGAGGATGAAAATGTTTCACAGTGCATAGTTTTGGGATTAGAATTGATTCTTCAAAGGTACTTGCCCTAGTGCTAGAATGTTTCTACTAATTTGACTTAGCCTGCCACCAGAGGGCAGTCCAACCCTGCAGCTGATGTCAGCTTTCATGGCCTAGCCATCCAATTTCTCTGCCAGTATGAGGAGAAAACAACAGTTTTTGTTAGAATGGGGTGTGCCTTGCTGAGAGGGAGCTCTGAGCTATAATACTGATAAAGAGTAAAAAGGAGTAGGTCACACGTTGAGATTGTGGAGGAAGGTGCTTAAACAGCTATGTTTCATCAACGCCTACATGGCTTCAGTTACAAGGGCTGGAAATAAGCTTGTCCTCCCATGCATATCTATCCATCAGTTCTCAGAGGAATCTGTCTCTTCGGTGGAGCCGTCGCTTTCCGCATCCATTTTCCGGCGGTGGAGGAGAGGCCTCCAAGGGGAGCTGAGTCGGAGAGAGGGGCGGGAAGGCACATTGGTCGCATCCCCGCTGGCAGGGTTGGAATTGGAAAGGGAGAGCCCGGAAACTTGAGCTACCCTGCAAGAAGAAAAATGGGGCTGAGAGATTTGTCATTGCAGAATCTTGTGCACTAGTACATGGGGGAAGGGATGTGGCTCGCAAGTTGCCGTCAAGAGGGCTCCTCTGCCGCATGGAAGACTTTATGTTTGCAACAAGCCAAGAGCTTCCTCTGCTGGCATTTAGTTTCCACTTCCTAAACTGCTCTTGTTTAAGTGACAGGACTCTTGACTTGCACAGCTAAGACACAGCTTAGTTAGAAGCCTCTGGGTCTCTCTTAAGGTGGCTAGCCAAACTGCTGTGTGAGACACCTTTTGCACTCTTGCACAGGTGCTGTTTGTTGGGATTAGACTTGGGCTGGAAAGTCTTCCAGTCCTCCATGTCAATTAGCAGCAACTGCTTAAAAAGGCAATTTGCCGTCTCATCAACTGCACCACTGAGCTGAGACGGATCCAAAGAGGAGTCCTGCTGCATAACCTGTGCCTGTAGCTCAGGGGCAAAATGCATGTTTTATAAATGGAAGGTGTCGGGTTCAGTCCCCAGTATCTGCAGACAGGGGTGGAAATGTCCTTGAAGGAAGAGGCACTGCAGAGTAGACTACTGAGCTAGAGGGACATGTTGCCTGACTCTGCTTTCTCCGCTGGAAAGGGACTTACAGTTTCTCCAGTTCCTGATCCATATGTGGGTCAAGCAGCAGATCTGCCTTATCTGGGAGAGCACCTGGAGGAGAAAAAAAGCAACAAGGTGAAGATCAGCCTGACACTTCAGCAAAAACTGCTGTCATCCATATGCCATAAGAACTTGACAACTTCTATGTCCATTGTGTGTGTGTGCTTTTCAGTTGAACACTTAAGTTCATAATGCAAATAGAGCCTTCTGCAGAGTGGATGATGCATCCCTTTGAGAACACGCAGTTAAGTCAAGGCGATGCTGGTCAATCTCTTTCCCAAAACAATGGGATTTGCGGGTACTCTTTTTTTTTTTTTAAATGATATTTATTAAAAGTTTAACAATTTAACAATTGTAATTGTTAAAATAATTGATTTGCGGGTACTCAGTTATGTTAACTGATTACCTTTTACATGCTCTATTGCTTGTTATCTTGCTTAGAAGGAGCTACATGATCTCGGCCACTTGCAACAAGGGTGCCTATGCAGCTGTCGTCTTCTGAGGGATGCCTCATAGAAAATCTAACACATAAACCCACTGAGGTGTCTGGAGGGGGGAGCTGAAAGCAAGCACCCTTGCTGCTGTCTTTCCATTGTGTCTTCACAGAAATTGCGCAATTGTGTAGAATGAAATCCTGATGGCCTGCTTCCTTGCTGCAAAGCAGTATTGATAGGAGACAACTTGGGGTGGAGAAAAAATGCCTTAACCCTTTTTGCTTCCCACAATGTACTGGAGGCATGTTTGCAAGATGTAGTGGCTTGGGGTGGGAGCTAAGCTGGGAGAGCCGCTAAACTAGATGGACCAATGGTCTGACCACAGGAAGGCAACTTCCTGTGTTCTCTGACACTACAAGAAATGGGGTTCTTCAGCACCCCTGGCAGAAGCCTGCAGCAGCCAAGAAAATGCTCCCGCCTGCCGCCAGCCTTCCACAGCCTCAATTAGCTGAACCCAGCCAAATGCTGGTCATCTTCCTGCATGTGCAAGAAAGTCTCCTGGGACGCTTGAATCTCTTGGGAGAGTCAATAGGCAGCACTTAGAGGACTGGTGAATCAATATTGACGTGAGGCTGGGCGTTGCCATCTGCCTGAGAAACTCATCCGCTGTGCTCTAATCCCTGTCTCTCGTCATGGCAGGGCTGCCGCCTCTCCAAGGCCCCTGCCTGAAAGCGCCTCCCAGCCCTCGCCTGGAACTGCCCTCGCTGCAGGGCTCTGGGGAGCCTGTGATCCCCTGCAGACCAAAGCCTATTCAAATCAGCCTGCGTGCAGGGAAGATGAAAAGGCACCAGGAGAAGAATCCGGCTTCCCTTGCCAAGACGAGAGCACCTGTTCGACTTGCGGCTGCTGCCCCTCCCTGTGAGAGGCCTCGGCAGGAAGCTGGCAGGAGGCCAGAGGCCAGGCCTTCCTTAATGGAAGGGAAAACCCAGGCACTTTGTGCATGGCACAGCGATGGCAGTGGGCAGGGCTTGCTCAGCCCATATGTTGGCTTTGCACCTTTACTGGAAAGTGGCTTTTGCAGAGTCCAGGCACCCTCTTCCTCCTGTGAATGGATGGATGTCTCTCTAAGCCTGTTTGCAGAGGGGATTGCAGGCTTGTATGCTCTGTCCCCTTTGATATATAATCTCCTTGCTGCTGGGTAAACAGCCCTGCACCAGGATAGCATTAGCAGCTCAGATGGCTGGCTGAGGCACAGGGAGGGAGAGAGCAGCGCTGGCTGTGTGTGACTTAGACCCTCGGCTGGCGGCTCACACGGGCCAGAAAACAAGAGAGGGCAGAGGGACAGAGAAGCAGCTTCGTACAGGGACTTGCAATGGGTTGAAGATACTCAGAAGTCACTAGTACTAGTCACTAGGTACCACTGTATAGGACAGAACCCAACAATAGCTAGAAATTTAGCACAAAGGAATACATGAGATTAAATGTGAAATCTGATGGGCTCACTTTAGCCAATCATAATTCATTTGATCCAGTGCAGGCCACAAAGGATTGGGCCAAGAATTAAACAATTAATTTAAGAACCACTTCTCTCATTTTGCAGAAACAAATCAACAAATGTATACTCAGCAGACGGTTGCAGCCAGTCACAGCTGCCTGACAAGGGAAACCGGTATGAAACCCATGTTTCCAAACACGCATCTGCCACAGTCACACTTTACAACTAAAAGATAATGCATGATGTGGTCTTTGGGCAACTGGAAGGAATTAAAGCAGTTTAAATGAAGGGTTTTTCTTTATTTTTTTGTACTGTCCCGCTTGCCTTTCTTGACTGATTCATTCCAAGTTTCTTTACTCCAAAGGGACCTTTCTAAAATGCTCCTACATTGTTCTTCTGGTATATTTGGTCACGGCAAAGGCATCTTTCTCAGTGGTCACTTTAAAACCCGCTGTCAACTTCCCTAGACCACATCATTGCAGGGGAGAGGGAAGAAACAGGGTGGGACTTTTCTTTACCCAGGGCTCTGTTGATCCCATGATGCTTTGCAAGAGCCATCAGAAATCCATAGAAGGTCAGTCTCTGCACACTGCTCAGAACTTCCTTCACAATAGCAGATGGGGGACAGCTAGGCAAACGAGAGGAACACAGGAAGAAATTGTGCTGCGTCAGTTTCAGCAATTTCAGCTTATGGATGGAGGGATGGATCAGGTGTCACTTTGCAACATGAAGCCGTCTTTTAAAAGTACGCAGGAGGAAATCATCTCCCCATAACTCCCTCCTCCTCTGGCCATGTGTGAATTGGGCTGCACCCCCTTGCCTCAAGGGATTTTGGTGGGAGCTGCCGCCTGGCATGTTACCAGTAAGGGAAGACTCCTTCCACCATAGGCTTGACAGGATCCAGCCACTTAGTCCCATTCCCTTGCCTCAGGGGAGGACCGCTGCCTGCTATGGCATCAAGGAAGAAGGACAAGGACAGGAAATGATGCCTGGACAAGCCTGGCTCTGTGTGGACCCTGTACAATTCCTGCTTCTGTACTAGATTTGAGAATCTTCTGTGAGCTGCTTTGAGAGTGTCTTGGGGCTATAAAGCAGGGTATGAATAAATAATCAATCTCCACAGGCAACCATGATTGCCTTTTAATGTGAGGAGGTGAAGGGCATTTCCCAACAACTTTGACCAGCAGGTACTGCAATCCATTTCTGTCAGCGCTGGCATAGCTCTCCTACTGAAGGAAGGATACTGTCAGCACTGTTTCTTTTGAGAAATGGGCCCTATTTCACGCTCAGTCTGAAATGCCCTAGATGGGCCTGAGAATACTGGGGTACTCTTAAGTCAAAAGACCACTTCCCTCTAGCAGAACTCAGAGTTAAGAGGAGGCTCAAAACGTGCTCACTTGTTACAGGGGAAACTGCCTTTTTGCAGTTGTGTGCTCCTCGAGAAGCTGGTATCATAATTTCTGTCACCCATCTAACTATCAGTGGTATTTAGCTGTGCTAGTTTCAGAGAGCAGAGAGGCAGCATTGGGCTAAGGATACAGGGCAACTTGCCACATCTCAGTTCCTAGATGTGACGAGTGTCTTTGCCTCGACTTCAGGGAGCCCCTCCCCTCCCTGCAACGTAGGAAAGATGAACCATGGTTTATTCATGTTAGCCGGTCACAAGCCTTACCTGTATTTGGACCTGTCACACAGAGACTCAAGGCACTGGTAAAATGCAGATGCCTCCACCCCATCGAGCGGGCTGCACTCACTTAGAGTCTGGCGCGAACGATGCTGCCCAGAGGATGATGTAGGCACAATGACAGTGTTTGGGTTCTTGCCCGTCAAGAGCTCTTGATAGATGGCAGCCATGCTTTCAATAAACTCTGTAAAAACAGAAAGGCAACTTAGAAATCATGGTTATTGGCACACATGGGAATTCTCCAGGCTTGGGGACATGTGTAGCAAATCGATCCCATTCTTCCTCCTGCAGTTACTTATGCATGATACTGACAAAGAAGCCTTAGAGCATGCAATACTGTGATTTTACTTGTGTTACTATGTGAGGAGGTGACCCAAAAGGCCTTAGTGCAGGGGACGTCAACATGGTCCCCTTCACATGGTTTTGGACTAATACTATGGTATGTATTTTTGTGTTTTCATATTGTAAACTGCCTTGTGATCCTCGGATGAAGGGTGGTCTAGAATTGTTTAAAAAAAAAAAAAGCAGCCCCATCATCCCTGGCCGTTGGCCATGCTGGCTGGGGCTGGTGGGTGCTGTAGCCCACAACATCTGGGAGGAAATCACACTGGCAACCTCTGTGCCGTAGTGACACAGCCTAGCACTTAGCCTTTTCAGGATGGGACAAGAAAGCCACAAGAGGATTTCACAGGGCCACCTCTGAAAATCTTGTGGATGAATTGCTGGTCCTGCTCTTTGTGCTTTTTAAGAAAAATTCCTTCCAACTTTGATTCTACGAAGGAGAGTGAAAGTCAAGGCCACCCAATCAGACTAGCTTCTTAAACACGCTAACTTCCACGGTCACAGAGATAAACACCACCCAAGTTAGGAAGAAGCTGTTTGGAATTGTTGGAGGAGGCAAGGGAGTTGGGTCAAGCAGTCTCCAGCCTGCAGCCCAGTGTACTTCAGCACAAATCCAAAGTAAACACAAGACAGGGTCCAAAGGGAAGATTAGGGGGAGAAGCTGGCCGAAAGCATTTTCCCCCAGGCTCCAAAGCTTCCCCGCTGTTTACTCCCAGAATCTAAATTTAAACAAGTTTGTTTATGGTCCTGGTCAGCCATTTACAGATGGAGATTCCACACTGAGTGGTTTGCATGCATGTGGACTGGTAGGGTAGCCTGGAAAGCGGACGTGCGCAGATGAGCATGGAAGTGGTGACCTGTGGTCTGTGTCTGCTGACCTCTATGCACACAACAAAAGCCTGGAAGGCTATGATGCGTCACGAAGATGGGTGGCTTTCTAAGGTTATCCTGAAGGTCCAGAGTTTAGAGCAGCTTTCAGAACATGCTGCATACTTGAAATAGACCCCATTCACGCAGGAGAGAGTGACAGAGAGGGGTTCATTATCTGCTGTGCATTTGGATTCCATCCCTGCCCAGAGATAAACAACAGAGAGGCATGTCGTAAGGATGAAGCAGGACAAGGAATTTAGCACACGATTCCATCTCTCAGAAGCAATAAAATGTAAACAGGCATTTCCACACGGTTACCATGAATATACACTGTCCCCAAATTTCAGGGGTTTTCCCCCTGACAGGTGCTAGAGTCTTCACTCAGACCCATTCTCTCGCTGGTTACTATTAGAAAGGAAACTGCTTTCCAGAAATAAAATACTTGGGGCTGCTTCAAGCATTTTGAATTTGCTACATGTAAAGGGTTTTTGTGAAGATGTGAGAAAACCATGCACATGATGCCTATTTGCAGTTGTGCTGGTTGTATATTGATATTTTTCTTCTCCAGGTGTTTTGGGTTACAATGCAATCTGAGGCAGCATGGCCAGTGTTCAGGTATGGTGGGTGCACATATCACTGGAGGTTTGTTCACAACAGATTTCTGATGGGGTTACACAGAATCAGGTGTGTGGTTTGGGGGTCTCCTGGGCATAGTGTTATTTATGGAGGTGACCTCAGTGGCTGGGAGTGACTTCTATCAGTTTGGGTTCAATCACCAACTGCAGCCTTGTCTGGAGAAAGTGGAGCTGGCCCCAGTTACACATGCACTGGCCACATCCAGACTAAACTACTACAGTGATCTGCATATAGGACTGCCTTTGGAGACAGTCCAGAAACTTCAGCTGCTACAAACTTCAGCTGCCAGAATGCTTGTGGGAGTAGACAGTTTGATCACATCACACTGATTTTGCATCAGTTGCTCTTGCCACCCATTTGTTTCTGGGCTCAGTGGGAAGAACTGGTAGTAACCTTTAAAGCCCTGAACAGTTTAGGACCAGATTATTTGAAGCGCTGCCTACACCCATATGAACCTAACAAGGATAAGGACCTCCTACTAAGGTTGGCAAATACCAAAACCAGGGCCTTTTCAGTGTCAGCTCCACACTTGTAGAAGAACTGCTTCTCCCCTTTTCTTGTCGTCCTTAAGCAGACCCTAAAGACTTCTTTATTTCACTGAGTTTCTTATTTTTCAAGCTGGACCCCCTGTATATGCTTTTATCTCATGTGTTTTCACAGTGGTACCTTGGGTTAAGTACTTAATTCGTTCCAGAGGTCCGTTCTTAACCTGAAACTGTTCTTAACCTGAAGCATCACTTTAGCTAATGGGGCCTCCTGCTGCCGCCGTGCCGTCAGAGCACGATTTCTGTTCTCATCCTGAAGCAAAGTTCTTAACCTGAAGCACTATTTCTGGGTTAGCGGAGTCTGTAACCTGAAGCGTATGTAACCTGAAGTATATGTAACCTGAGGTACCACTGTATTATTTGTCCATTGTTTTTCAAAAGCCACCTTGTGAGGGCTTGCCTTTAAAATATATAAAAACCAATAATAATAAATATGCAGTGAAATGGATGCAAAGTTCACACATTAGGAGGAGCCACATGTACTTTTCATGCTTTAATGCCAGTTTTTTCTGGAAATGAGTTGTGTCCAAAGTGCCTCTCTGGCTCAGGAGTGTGTAGAATGAGTGACCTTCACATGCAGTTCTCTGTCAGGAGGATCTGCGTCGCAGGACAAGGCTTCCTGGCCTGTGTTGCCCACACTCCTGCCATATTTGTCCTGTCTAATGTAGCTGTGCAGGAGGACAGTGGCACCATGAGGGCAGGGCCACACTCAGCAGAGTGAAGTGCAGGGCTGCTGGCTTATCACGTTTTGAAGTAAGTGAAGCAATACATATTACCATGTAAAAAAGGGGGGTGGGCAATGGTGTGAAGCTGCTAAGTCCAGAGTCTACAATCCTAAATGGGTCACTGTAGTAAGAGAGACAAGGTTAGTAAGAATGGGCTCACCTGAGTAGTAAAACTGGATCTGGAAGGCAAACAGGAAGTCTGAAAAAGACATCAAGCAGTCCACAGCATCATCCATGAGAACAATCCTGGAATGGAGAAGGAGAGACAGATAGCTCAGCAACAACCAGTTGCTATGCCAGGTAACTCTCAGCTGAGGTCAAGTTCACAGGAAGAGAGTAAGGACTCCTCAGAGTCACAAAATGAACTCACAAAGTAGGTCACAGCCCTTTATAGATTAGAACAGATGCACAAGCTTCCATGGACTGGAATCCTAGGAATTACCTCTGCCTATTTCCCAAAGCAGGTGATGGGAGGCAGAGCCAAAAGTGGGGCAAAGGCACACCTTTCCTCTCTCTCCACCCAGCAGGCTGCCAGGGAATGAATGAACAGAGGTCTAAACTGCCAGAGGTCTAAACTGATCACATGTCAAGGGCTTCCTTGTCTTCCATCACTCCATCTGTTTTGGCTCTCTCCCAGTCAGTCACACACACACACACACACACACACACACACACACACGATTTCCTGCCTCCTGCTCTCTGTGCTCCCACCAACCACACAAATTTAGCTTGAAGGCTACAGGTTCACCACCTCTGGCTTCAGTTGTTTTGTTATACACTGGCTAAATCTTTAAGGTGCCCTGAGACTGCTTCTGCTAAAACAGACAAGCGTGGCTATTGGATCTATCTGATTTCATGGTGTGTGGATGCAACATTAGAACCCTGTGGAAATGGAAATGAAACATTGAGAGCTGAGCTGCCTCCAAGAGACTGGGTGCTTTTAAGGAAGGAGGTTCTTAACTTATTTCACTTGTTCCTAAAAAGGTGGTGATGGAGAGGGGCTTCTTGACACCTAAACTTTGGAAACCCACAAGTATCAGTCCTGCCTTGGCCAGTACGAAATAAAAATGTCATGCATGTAAGATACAGAATCAACATTTTCTGACAGCACATTCTGGAATCCTAAAAGAATGAAGGACACATTGCCTTCTGCTATCTTGGTTTAGCAATAATGGCCAAGTACTCTACACATAAAGGATAAAATGAAGACAAGATTGCAGCAACAAATTCCTCCTGTTCTGACCTTGGACAAACACAGCTAATGCTAGCAGGAAAGAAAAGGGCTTTACTGTGCCGATTTATGCTGCAGTTCCAAATAGCATTGATATTTATGAAACTAGCAGAACAAGATGAAAGCTAAACCTGGGATGCTCCTATGAAGGATTCAGGAAATAATCCTTTTGTTTCCTTCATCTCTCAAGTCTGGGCTGCTCACTACTATGAGTAGGGAGAAGGGAGCACTTTGTGGGAAGAGCATTGTTTGGGGCCCCACATCTGTTTAGTGGGTTCTGCAGGGCACATGGAACTATCATTTGTGTTTTATGCTTCCTACTTGGTGAAAAACACTGGCATGGCTCTTGGTTTGCATCTGTTTGCCAGTTGTTGTCCATATAAAGACTCCATGCACGAAACACACGAATGGGAGCTGAACTTGAGAATGGATAGACAAGAATCATAGAACTGTAGAGTTGGAAGGGGCCACTAGGGCTAGCTAGTCCAACCCCCTACAATGCAGGAATCCTTTGCCCAATGTGGGGCTCAAACCCACAACTTTGAGATTAAGAGTCTCATGCCGTACCAGCTTAGCCATCCCAGCCTAGAGAGATCCTGTTAGGGCAGCTGGGCCCACATCACAGCCTACGAACGCACCTACCTACAGATATACAATTCGCTCTTCATAAAACACGCAGGGTCAAATAGGGTGAAAACTCATTTTGCTTCCATAAACAGTAAGCTCTGCCATGGCTTTGGCAAACATCCTCCAGCATTTGTCCGTTCATATGGTTCTAACACAGAGCGAACTGTATCCTTCAGAGCAGGAATGCCTTTTACTGGGGAGGGTTTGGGACTAGGACTCCCTTATAATCCAGAGAGAAGTCATCAGTCCTGGGTTGCTCCAACTGGTGGAAGAGGCTCGCGGAAGCTGAGCAGGAGGAGGAGACGGAAGGCGGCCGGACGCATCTGCGGGAAAGGCTTCCCTCTCCGCCACTCGGACCAGCTCAGTTCAGTGAGGCAAATTCAAGCACACAGAGCAGCTTGAATTAATTATTGCCAAGAAGAAAGGCTACGGCTAAGAGGGTCCCCAGGAGAAAAGCCACTATTTAAAACAAAACCCTTTGAAGATGTCGAAGTGCTTCTGTTTTATTTATTATGTCCCAGAAACCGCCTCCTCCTCCTCCTCCCGCTGTCTAGAGCGGCAGCAGCTCCAGTTCTTAATTCCCACTAATAAGCACGTTATGGAGATTGTCGGTGGCCACATCAAGGAGATGGCTTTGAAGCTGGAAGGCAGAGCATCTTCCATCTCCCAGGCAATGCAGCGCAGCCTCTGGCATCCAAAACCGCTCTTCAAGCCCTTGGAAGTGCTACAGGCTGCTTCGGTGCCTCAAAGCTTCGCACCCCTCAGGTAGCCCCAGTGAAGGCAGCTGAAAAGCAGATGCCAGGAAATCTCTGCTCCTGGAAGAAAGAGGGTGAAGAAAAAGCCAGGGGCACTGAAGTCATGCAGAACTTCAGTGGTGAATTCAAGGTCTGACCCTTAATGGAGTCGGCACTCCTTCTCTCCCCCCACCCCGGCCCAATTCTAGAAGTGCTGGAAGGCTGTGATAGTTGTCTGAAGCTCTGCAAAGGTATTTGAGGAAGCTAAATTAAGGGAAGACCATAAAGCTACGCCAGAAGGTGTCTTGAGGAAGCACCTAGCTGGAAGCAGGTGTCCTTTGGTGTTGGGTTTCCGGCTCCAGTTGGCCCGAGTGTCTGTTCTCCAGAGAAGACCAGTAGTGGGTAGAGCCGGCCCAGTTGCTTAAGAAGAGGGTGAGCAACAGAGTTATTTCCCCAAGTGAACTGCTGGCTGCACAGCTGAAGCAACCTGTAAAGCACTGCCAGGGACATGTTTATGCTTCTCCTAAAGAGCTGAATGGGAGGAAAATCTGAGGAAGGGCAGGAGCCAAAAGAAAGGGACGTGGTCCTAATTTATGGCGACATCCTGGAGCTGGAAATGGACAGGCACAAACTCTCTAGAAAACAGATGTCTCATCCTTCCCTTTCTATTTTTCATATTGCACTCCAAGCACAAGGTTACAGAGCCTGGGTGATGCTTTGCATATTGTGGAGCACTCATTTAATGCCTATAGTTCATGACAAAAACTAAGGAAACACAGAGGTGACAGAAGGACTACAAGTTGAAAATAAGGCATGTTGTAGATCAGATGTGGTAGTCTGACTCTGCTTTTCTGTAAGTTAAGTTCCCTCTTCCTCCATCCATCCATTTTATCAATTCCTTCCTTCAGCATATTGTGAAAGTAGAGTCTGCTAATGGGGACATTTTTCTCCTAAGGTTGCTAGCTGCTGAGGGGTGGGAGGAACCTCTCTTCCAACCATGGAGAAGGAGTGAAGAAATAAGCCTCCCTCCACACCCCGTGTTCTGGCTTCCTAGTAAGAATCACACACCCCTGTAATTTATTAGGGAAAAATAAGCTCCATCACTGTATACTACCCATTAAATGAACATCTAGCTTGGCCCTAAGTCAGCGGGTGTCACAGACAGAAATTGGCCATGATATGAAACCCCAGCAAGCCTACTTTTCAGCAGCAACAAGTTGAAACTGTCAAGCGTATATTATGGGGTAGGGAAAGTTTGTTAATCAGCACAATGTCATCAAGGCCCTTGTTGAAATAGCTGAAATCTGATCATTCCTTTGAACAGATGCAGGGAGGGGTCTTGATAAAGCTCCTCATCTGCTATGGACTAGCTGGATGCAGGGGCGGGAAGCACCCCCTCCAGGGGAAGAAGGCTCAGAGCCAGGGGATTGACGGTGGGATGACAATGAGTGGTTGGAGGGAGAAGAGGGGGGCAGACTGGGAGGAGGAGGTGTTGGAAGCTGAAGAGGTAACAGGGTTTATTGAGCAGGAAGCGGCTGTGACAGACAGGAATCCAGAATCAGGGGCAGGGGGAGGTCAAGAGGCAAAGTGGAGGCAGGCTGCTGACGAAGCCAGCAAAGCTCTCCCTCCATCTGTGACCAGCTCCCCTTCCCCCTGGTCTCCCAGAACAAGAAGAGGAATGAAGAGGGTGGAGCAAAGAGAGACCAGGCAGAGGAGCTGTAGGCTGATGGAGAAGGAACCTTCAGTCCTCGCAACTGCTTCGTTGGGGCTAGGCCTACTGGGAAGGGTTGCTGTGACCACTAGGACTGAGCTGTTTTGATTTCTTTGAATAACTAACTTACCTAACTTACCTGACACTGGGTGTTTTGTTGCTGACCCACCCCTGAGATCAGAACTGAGGGAACTGCCTGGCACTAAGCAGACTTCTCTCACACCTCTGCCACCACACCCTCTGGGAAGGGCTGACTTCAGGTAGTTTCAAGGTTACGAGCAGCTGATGTGTGGGACACAGCCCATCACTGTTTCTATGATGCCGGAGACAGAATGGCCCCTGCTCTTCGAGCCAAGCTGGATCAGCTCATGTCTATGTCCAGGCTCCCCATTCTTCCTGATCACTCCTGTTATGGGACTGGGAGCCCATGCAGAGAGCACTTAATATGAGCAAAGCCTAATATTAACCAGCAGGCACAAATCATTGCTAAAAAAAGAGAGAGTTAGGCACAGTATATGGGCGCCTGCAATTCTGCTGCAAGTCCTAATATTTTGCTTCTAGCCAGATAACCCACAAATCATTTTTTTTTTTTTAAATATTTTTATTGCATTTTTTCCACATAGAAATACAAAGTCGGATATACAAAGAAATAACAGAAAAGAAAAAGAAAAAGAAAAAAATCATCTTTCCAAAGCATTTTTCTATAACCAACCGGACTTCCCCACGTCTCCCTCACCTTGCGTTCTTTACAATAAAATTTTTCAGCAAATTATAACCTTATTTTGTGCATTCTTTTGTTCTTTCAAATACTTATGGTTTACGTTTAAAATGCTTATTGTCAATTTACACTAATAACATATATAATGTTCTTTTAAACATTAGTCCTTTCATTAATATAGCTTAGTTTCCCATACCTTAATCTTATTGCTGGAGCTGAATTCCCTAATCATGCGAATTCTTAACATTCATATAACTTATAAAATCTTTGTAAATAATCTTTAAATTTTTTCCAATCCTCCT